GTCCCTCTGGCTGGGAGCTCGTCCTGCTTGGTCGGGAGCTCGCCCCCCTGGCCCGGGAGCTCGTCCCTCTGGCCGGGAGCTCGTCCCTCTGGCCGGGAGCTCGCCCCCCTGGCCCGGGAGCTCGTCCCTCTGGCCGGGAGTTCGTCCCTCTGGTCGGGAGCTCGCCCCCCTGGCCCGGGAGCTCGTCCTGCTTGGTCGGGAGCTCGCCCTGCTTGGCCAGCCGGAGAGCGGTGACGTCCTCCGGGTCCAGCTCAAAGATGCACCTGGACAGGGTTCATGTTGACAATGTGTCTGTTTGAGTTAAACACTTTTGACTAAACACTAAAATAGATAAACGACAAAAGAATATGCAGAGTTTTAGGTTTGATTGAAGCTACTTCATAGTTTGACTTTAGATGTTAGTTGACAACATGCTCTGCCAATGTAATCAATTGCAATCAACTTTACATTTCTGGCATTATTTTATTCAACGGCATTTAATTATATTCTGTCCAGTTTCATGAAGCCCAGACCTGCTGTGTTGGCAGTGATGTTAAATATGAGGCTAAAAATGACTCAATATGCCACAGTTCCACCTTCACCTGGCCAGCGGCGCCATGAAGGCGCCGTAGAGCGGGTGAGCCTCCGTGATGCCGCCTGCTGCAAACCGACGCAGAAAGAGCCAGATGTCCAGGCGCTGAACATAGAAGTTTAATTAATAACACAATCATTACAGTGGATTTGTCACTTTTTTCACTTGGCATGCTCTGAAGCATTTATTATAAAATAATACATTTTATTATCCATTTTTTTTCCTGTTTGCCCAGGAAAAAAAATTAACTGCATTACAATGTATTTTTGTCTGCCTATAGTAACGCGTTGTTTTGCTGGTGTCCAGTGTGGGCAACATAATAGAGTTAAAAATGCTCAGATTCCACATACATATATTATTGTAAAAAAGAAAATCACAACTTTATAATGTAGTTGTGTGTTTTTGTCCATTTGATCAGATAGAAATCTTAATCTATATAAAAAAAATCTGTTCCACTTCAGAAGTACCCTAATGAAGGTGGAGAGAATTATGAATCGTTCCAAATACCAGCTACTGTTGGCACAAAGCCTTCAGCCTTCCTTCAGAAAGCTGAAGAGGAACTTTATCTTTCAGTGTGACAATGATTCAAAGCACAAATCTAAATCAAGAAGGAATTGCTTGACTGGAATAAGTTTGAGGCTTTGGAATGGCCCAGCAAGAGTCCAGACCTGACCATCCAGACCATGAAGAGGGTTGTGCTCAGGTGATGCCCTCGCAATCTGTCATATTTGTAGCAGTTTAGCAAAGAAATCTGAGCTGGCTCTGTCAGCTCCCAGTCAGAAAGACGCATTTGGCTCAAACTGGACACAGGCTGACCTGTACGGATATTTACATCAACCCCCTGTGAGGAATTAAGTTTCTTTCCAGAGTTTTTGATCAAGTTAGGAGTTTAAACCCCACCACATTAGCTCTGGTTGCGCAGCTTTGTGTGAACTTGTAGTGGCGCTTTCTTAGATGCGTTGAGCAAAAGGTGAGAATAATTTATCTTTGTGGACAAAGAATTTTGTGCAGCTTTTCATCCCAGCACACTGCCCAGCGCCCGGCTCTGTCTGCGCTGGTTGGCCGGAGCTTTAGTGGTTAACAACCAGCACTGACCTCATCATGCAGGATCAGCCTGGTGAGGAGCTTTCACGCCTCCAGCATCACGCTGGTTTCATATTTTATTTTTCTTTTAGTATTATTTTTCCAGTTACACGATGCATCAAACCATATCAAATGCTTTGTCTACTTGCTGAGATCTGAGAAAGTCATCCCTATCTTGAGCAACCACAACAGTTTCTGTAATTCTTATTAAAAACTCAACAGACACAAAAAGGAAGAGCTTCTACAGATTATGGATTTTATATTCATTTATTTAGCTCTGTAAAGTCTAATTATTTCATAATTGTTGTTGTTATGGTAGTTAGCATTATTTTTATTTACTAAAATGAACTATTTTACATGCTCTTTTGTAACCACTTCCATCAAAATTTCGAATCAAAATTTGAAATAGATTGTACATTGATGTGTATTATATGCATTTATTAATTTTGAGAAGCTGCTTGTATTAAATATATAGCCTTGAGTCCATGAACATTTTATGAAGGAGACAATAAAGTATATTCTGTTCTTTTCTATTCTCTAATAACAAAGCATTTCCAATATACATAGAAATAGATTATTTCACACAGAGTGTGTATTCTTTACACACCTTATATGGAAGAATATATTTCTAGATGGTAGACATGACCATCTGAGAATATTTTACTGATGAATTGTAGCTTTTCATTGATTTGTTAATTTGTGGCTGTCATGTCCTCAACCTCCATCGCCTTGTTTGAGTCAACATTCAGATAAACTCCTCTCCTAAATGACCAGACAGACCAGAGGGTCTACGTTGACTTTTTACTGTTGGACTCTAGGGTAAAACTGACAAATGAACATACAAACTTTCAGAAATAATACACAGTAGCAAGCAATACGGCACTTAAAGACACAATAAATGTGCTCCAGAGAATTTAGCTCAAGGCTGTAAAAGTTCTCACAAAAGAAGTATTGCATTTATAAAATGGTTAAATTATTCTTTGTCGACAAAATATCCATTGAAAAATGTCATACATACCAACAGTGCTTTCAAAGACCAACTGAATCGAAATTTACTGAGAGAAAACCAGACTTTAATTCTCCTGCTTCGTCTGCTTGTTATCACCTCATCAAAACGGCACTCTTAAATGTAGTACATAAATTCCGCCACTAGATGGCAACAACTGAGCACTTCTATAGTATAAACCTGTGAAATGTCAACAAACTGACATACAACAGCACAATAAAGTCAAGGTTCAGTTTTGCTAATTAATTTATGGACATGATAAATCATTAAGATTATTCAACATCAAGACCTGACCATCTGTAAATCTTTTAATAATGTTTTAATGAATCCTCCGTCCATCCATTTTCTTAAACCCTTATCCCTAGTGAGGTCAGGAGGTCCTGGTGCTTATGTCCAGCTGCATTCTGGGTGAGAGGTGGGGTCATCCTGGACAGGTCGCCAGTCTGTTGCAGGGCAACACAGAGACAGACAGTACAAACAACCACACACACACACACACACACACACACACACACACACACACACACACACACACACACCTAGGGAGAATTCAGAGAGACCAATTAACCTGACAGTCATGTTTTTGGACTGTGGGAGGAAGCTGGAGTACCCAGAGAGAACCCAGTGAGAACCCAAAGAGAACCCAGAGAGAACCCAGAGAGAACCCAAAGAGAACCCAGAGAGAACCCAAAGAGAACCCAAACAGAACCCAGAGAGAACCCAGAGAGAACCCAAAGAGAACCCAGAGAGAACCCAAAGAGAACCCAGAGAGAACCCAAAGAGAACCCAGAGAGAACCCAAAGAGAACCCAAACAGAACCCAGAGAGAACCCAAAGAGAACCCAGAGAGAACCCAAAGAGAACCCAGAGAGAACCCAAAGAGAACCCAAACAGAACCCAGAGAGAACCCAAAGAGAACCCAGAGACAACCCAAACAGAACCCAGAGAGAACCCAAAGAGAACCCAAACAGAACCCAGAGAGAACCCAAAGAGAACCCAGAGAGAACCCAAAGAGAACCCAAACAGAACCCAGAGAGAACCCAAAGAGAACCCAAACAGAACCCAGAGAGAACCCAAAGAGAACCCAGAGAGAACCCAGAGAGAACCCAAAGAGAACCCAGAGAGAACCCAAAGAGAACCCAGAGAGAACCCAAAGAGAACCCAAACAGAACCCAGAGAGAACCCAAAGAGAACCCAGAGAGAACCCAAAGAGAACCCAAACAGAACCCAGAGAGAACCCAAAGAGAACCCAGAGACAACCCAAACAGAACCCAGAGAGAACCCAAAGAGAACCCAGAGAGAACCCAAAGAGAACCCAAACAGAACCCAAAGAGAACCCAAACAGAACCCAGAGAGAACCCAAAGAGAACCCAGAGAGAACCCACCATGCACAGGGAGAACATTCAGACTCCAGGCAGAAAGACGCTAATTGAACCCAAGACCTTCTTGCTGCAAGGCAGCAGTGCTTCCAACTGCGCCACAGTGCTGCCCTTTAATGAATCCTACATGTTTTTGAAATGTTTTAAAAATTTGTTTCAGTATTGGAAAATATGGTAATTAACATATTTTACTGAAAAACAATATGTCCAACAGGTTGTCATGAGGTCATACGTGGGTAGTTCACTGGTAGGTCCAACTGGACTACCTTGCAGAAATACAGAATTCTAGGTTATTGGGTTTCACTTTTTGTGTGAGTGCTCTTCCCATAGACAGTATCTGCGGGAGAGTTCTGGCAGGCTGGCACACCTGAAGCGGATTCCAGCAAGCTGCTGCAGGATTCTTAAGAAGCGATGGAGCTGTCATTCATCGCTCAGTGATCCCACCTGTTGGTAGAGTCAAACTTCAAGTTCATGCCACTGTCAATTTTATGAGTCATCAAGTTAATCCTGTTTTACCATCTCACAGATCCTGAGCAGCTGTTAGGATCAAGTCAGGAACCACGTCCAGCCAAGCTTGCATCTGCGACCGCTCCTTGCCAACCGGACACTACCGCCTGCCGCTCGTTTCCCCGCTACCCTCTCAGAGCCTCTGCACCTCCTGGATCCTTTCCTCTCCCTCAGCTCCCCTCCATCAGAAAACCGTAAGCCATTCTCTCCATTTCCCATCAAGATTCCCTCAACCCGCTCACTACTAGCCTCTCCCTTCTCCAAGCAGAACCTGAGCCGGCCAGCTACTCCCAATCCCAGAGGGCTAACTGGAAAATATGACATTCAACATCTGCTGTTAAATTATTGGATCAAAAATCTTCCAGCCTTAAGTCTGAACCTGCATGTGGGTGAAAAAACTCAAATCCAACATGACATGAGTATTTCTATCTGATTTTATATAAGAAAATTGGACATTTTCACAATTTTTAATTGAATATTTTTATTCTTTCTCCAGTTTAACAATCAGTAATTGAATTAGTATAAATATAGAAACCCTGACAAGCCCAATGTAAAATAAAGCAAATGTTTACTGTCATGCTAAAAAAAATCCCACACTGTAATAAATATAAAACTAAAACTGTATTATATTTTCATTTACATTTCAAAACTTTTCATAAGGAAACACAGATAATTTAAAGTCTTAAGCTGTTTGCAACAGTGATTTACAGAAGATTGCCAAAGTCAGACAAAAACATAAGTTATAAATTATATGTCAAGAATGCATAATGTTATGCTGTAAGAATTTCCAAATTTCTGATCTTTTGTCACAGAAAGAATTTTACTATAAAAGCGACATTCACCTGTTCAGTATACATTTATGCAACGCCTTGAAGTCTATCCCAGTCTTAACCTATGTAGTTCTTTTCTCTGTCATCAAGAATGAATCAATCAGAGACAATTTTAGAATTTAGGGTGTTATCCTGGGTTATACTGATAACTAATTTGATATACAAGCACTCACATTTTTAACTGCACATTTACTAAAATACTAAATAAATTTCTGGCTTTAAATAAACCAAGATTACAGTATCTCTACTTCACATGGCTTATAAATGACAAATCATCTTTTTCCAAACTTTTTATAGCCGAGTTCAGGTGTGGGCAATCCTGGTCCTGGAGGGTCAGTGTCCTGCCACTCTTACATGTCTCTCTGGTCCAACACACTTCAATGAAACAGCTGAATCACTGAGGAGGTGACTGCACTACAGCCCAGCCAATGACCTCATTATTTGACTCAGTTGTGTGGACGTAGAGACACATCTAAAGGTTGCAGGAGACCTCGACGCCTGTGGTTGCCCACGCCAGTATGACATTACTGCCTGGTGCAGTAATGTCATACAAATAATAGAAGATATGTCGACTCTGATATATTCTGTCACAAAGATATATCACTTCACTGTGCAATGTCATAGTAATATTCTCGTAGTCTTGGCTCAACGACAGCAAATCCAGGTCTTTCTTCCACCCTGTAAGAAAAGACAATAGCAGAAATTGAAGAAAACTTGTGGATAATTAATATATACTTTCTCCAAGAGTCATAGTTATATGGTTAATTCTAATTTAGTTATAAGACACATACTTATAGAGATCTTGCTGCCAGAAATGTATTGCAATATGAGACTTACTTATATGTCCAACAAGTTGTCATGAGGTCATACATTTCTGTTGGGCAGTTCACTGGTGGCTCCATGCGTTTTCCACTCTCAAGCATCTGCATAACATCATTTCCCTTCATTCCCTGTAGAAGATGATTCAAAATAAAGGTGACCATATACAAACTGAAATGCTTTTGAACAGTGATAAAAATTACATAATAAAACATATACTCCTTCTGCAGTTTTGCTTATTAACTTTCCATTTTCTAAATAGCAACCTCAACAACAGATAAACGAGGATAGACAAATTATTATATTGACTAGTGGATTGCTAATACTGCCCTTTACATGGTAGAATTGTGCAACAGTCACCTCTGCCAAGTAATTGGCTGCATCTTTGAAAGACCAGCTGAGCATATATATGTTTAGACATCATTTATTTATAAATATACATTTATGTTTTATTTGCACCAAGAACAGGTTTTCTGTCTTCACTTGATTGTTTGGAAAATATGGATTTTGTGTTCAGAAGTTGATCTGACACTGATGTGTTGTTGCCCCCCTTTCTTCTAGAGTGTCCAAACATCTCAACCTGGTGACCCCTGGGAAAATGTTCTGAGGATCATAGCATTGCATCTCTAAACTACTGTGAACAAGCAGGATATGCTACCGTATTTTCTGGACTATAAGTCGCACCAGCCATAAAATGCAAAATAAAGAAGAACAATACATATACAAGTCGCACCGCAGTATAAGTCACATTTTTGGGGAAACTTTATTTGATAAAATCCAACACCAACATGCCATCTTGATAGGTAATTTAAAATAAAAATACAATGGAGGCAACAACAGGCTGAATAATTGTATGGTATGCTGACGTTACTCAACGCATAACAAACTGAGAACTTGCCTGGAATGTTAACATAACATATTAAGAGTTATTCAAATAACTATATCATAAATAACATGCTAACAAGTTTACCAAGCAATCAGCGAATCTCCAAATCACTAAACACTATGAAATCTTCGTCCTCGATGTCGCTTTTTAACAACATCGAGGAGAGAACCCAGAGGCCTGTGTTATTCTCCAAAGGTAGAATAACACAGGCCTAGAGCGCCCTCTTATGGTTTAGTGTGAAAATAATATGATATGATATAGTGATGTGTTAATTTCCACACATAAGTCACTCTGGAGTATAAGTCGCCAAACTATGAAAAAAACTGCGACTTGCAGTCCGGAAAATACGTAAGTTGACGTTAAAATGTCTTGACTCTATTTAGTTACCTTATATGGTTTTTGGCCAAAGGAAAATGCTTCCCACATGAGTACACCAAAGCTCCAGACATCACTTTTGGATGAAAATTTGAAGTAGTTTATACATTCAGGAGCATACCATTTCACTGGCCATTTCCCATGACCTTTGGCCTGAAAGACAAAACATACACATTACTTGTGTTGAGTTGTGTTACACCTGTGGACAAACTTGTTGGTATACTTCTTTTATATAAGTAAATCTTACTACTCTTTCTTAACAATATTTTCTGGATTATCTATCCAATACAATAAACTTCAACTCAGAAAGAACAATCATATTTTAACCCAAAATGTCTGGACTACAGATTTCTGATAGTAATAATAATAATAATCAAGTAAGACCTAAACGATTCCCTGCTCCCACATCCTTTACCAATACTCTGAACTACACACAGTAAACACCCATAAAGCCCCCAATAATAGTAACTGGGTTGAAAGCTTTATTTCAGTTTAAACAAACTGGGGACCCTAGTGCTCCTCCAGAGCACACACACACAGAAAGAGAAAGAGAGATGCGTCCAAAAACCCAAACACCCTAGAATCTTGACATATTACCTTGTAGTAGTTTTGCTCTTCTGCAACAGCTTTCGAGAGTCCAAAATCACTGATTTTTGCATAGTGCTGTGTGACCAACAGTACATTCCTGGCAGCAAGATCTCTATGAACGAAGTTATGCTCTTCTAGGTATTTCATCCCCATAGACACCTGATGAACCAGCTCTGTGATGTTCTTTACTGATGTGTTTCTGTGGAAAAATCATTATTTATCCAAAATGTTATAGGAAATAAATCTCCAATCATGGAGTGACATTTAAAAAGAAAAAAAACAAATTTCAATGCTATCCAAAAACGCAATATGAGGAAAAAATGGGGGCAGGGGGAGGAAGCACTCTAGATTCAAAGATAAAAGGGAAATTTGTCCAGCTTGGATCTAAAGTACTGAAAGTTAATGTAAGGTTAAAAGAACGCTTCAGGTAAAATCAGAAACTAGTTTGAACCAGCCAGACAGTTTGAAAATATAGTCATATGACACTTTTAGTGGATGAGATTCATCCAGTATCTGTAAATACCTCTATATTTACACAATAGATGGCTAAAACCTATTTACGGCTATATTTACAGAAGATGTATAGTCATGTATTACCGTATCTTCCAGACTTATAGTCGCACTTTTTTATGTGTTTTTTTTTTTTACGTCTTATGTGTGGAAATGAACACATCAGTGGAAAATATCACATTATTTTCACACTAAACCACAAGAGGGCGCTCTAGGCCTGTGCTGTTCTATCTTCGGAGTAAGCAGTTGTTTACAAGCGACATCGAGGACGAAGATTTCATGGCGTTTAGTGATTTGGAGAAAAACAGATGGTTTCTTAACATGTTAGCATGTTATTTATGCTACAGTTGTTTGAATAACTCTTAATATGTTATGCTAACATACCAGGCACGTTCCCAGTTTATTGTTGTCATGTAACGTTAGCATATCGTACTGTTAGCCTCTATTCTATTTTTATTGCCTTTCAAGATGACCTGTCTGTTCTTGGTGTTGGATTTTATCAAATAAATTTCCCTCAAAAATGCGACTTATACTCCAGAAAATACGGTAATCAATGGTGAGTATTCTGAAGCTGAAAGTTTCATCAGTCAGAGCTACAATAAAAACAGATTTATAATATTATTTAGCAATCTAATATGACTTTAGGAACACAATAAAACTGAACTGTTGCAGTTTTTAAAATGTCAAACTCCGTTATTTTGTTTATTTTCTGAAATTTGTTTTAGCAATAGAATGAACACAAGAAATTGAACGTTAACCTTCAGAACATTTGCTAGAAAAAGGAAAACAAGGAAAAAGATTTGTTTAGAATTAGGAGTATTTACCAACATAAAGTAAAAGTATTCGGCCTCCTTGAACTTTTCAAGCTTTTGCTGTTTTTCAGGCTTCAAACATAAAGATCTAAAATATTTTTTATTATTTTGAGAAGAATCAGCAAGCGGAACACAATCATGAGGTGGAACAAAATGTGTTGGATATTTTAAACTTTTAACAAATAAAAAGCTGCAAAGTGGGGCTTGCAATATTATGCAATATTTATACTTTGTAGCGCCACCTTTTGCTGCGATTATAGCGACAAGTCACTTGGTTTTGTCTCTATCAGTTTTGCACATCAAGAGACTGAAAGTCTATTCTGCCTTGTAAAACAGCTGGAGCTCAGTTAGGTTGGATGGAGAGCGCTTGTGAACAAAGAGCAGTTTTCAGCTCTTTCCACAGATTTTCGATTATACTCAAGCCTGAAAAGCGACAAAAGGTTGAAAAGTTCAAAGAGGCTGAATACTTTTGCAAGGCACTGTAACTAGTATTGACCAGTTTTTTCCAACCCTGGTCTTGAAGGTACACTGACCTGCATGTTTTAGATGTTTCCATGCCTCAACACACCCCATTCATATTATCGTAATTCAGCAAAACCTTGTTAATCAGCCATCAATTTGAATCACGTGTGCAGAAGCAAGGGGATGACTAAATCCTGCAGAGCAGTGTTCCTTGAGCACCAGAGTGGAAAAACACCCTGCATTATTTATTCATTAGACTTCTTGATCTGGGAAACTGAGTTTGAATTTTGTACAACAACAAAGCAATTGCAAAATGCTGTGACAATAAAAATCCTTGAATCTTTTGGCAATTTTCAAGTGTTAGAAACCGCATTGAGAACAATGCGCCAGAGCTACACATGTTAATGTAAAAGTTCAAATTTAAATTCAAAAATAATTTCATAATCTCAAAGGAAAATTAAATGTTGTAACTCACCGATTTAGATTCTTGAAATAGTTATTGAAAATGGTCAGAACTGTTTTACATTTTAAAGGTAATTGTTCTGGATTAGTAAATTTGTGGAATAAATATAAATAGTACAAAATCCCTAACTACAATTTTACATAGAATGGAATAGGCATATCCTTTATTGTGGGGGAATTACATACTTGTTTTTCTGGAGGAACTTGTTCAGTGGACCCAGTTCAGCCAGTTCCATGACAAGCATAAGGTTTTCTGCCTCACAGATACCGATCATCCGAACAATGTACGGATTGTCCAGCTGCTGCATGACATTTGCTTCTCGCAACATTTCCTCACGCACCGACGGGTTGTTATCATCATTCTTCAGAATTTTAACAGCAACTGGTTTCTGTGTTCTAAAACACAGAAAGGTTAACCTTAGAATGTTTTGTTTCACATCACCTAAAAGATAAGAGCAAATTAATTATTTCAGACAACATGCAACAAAAAAAATCTAATATATAATATTTCAATGCACTACATAATATAGTTCTGACATACAATGTGAAGCTCTATTCAATAATTGACAAGGTTGCATTCATATCTACTGATCAATTTCATCAGCAGTTCAGGAAATATTTAATTCAACAAAGACTTCCATGTTGAGTATCTTCACAGACAGAGTTAGAGAAAACATTTTCATGAAAGCCTTTTTCCAGGGATTATCATTAGTGTCGTTCAAAAAAATTTTTTGGGGTTTTTGTTCTGACATACAGATCATTAATACAACCCAGGATTGCTGATTATTTATGGATTTTAAATATAACAAAGCATTCAAGTTCAATATTCTATATGAACTTATAGAACAATAGAAGCCTAGATCACTTTGATCAACATTTATGGACCTAATCAGGACAACCACTCCTTTTTTAGGAATTTCCTTTTTGCCATGCCTGGAAAATATAATTAGTGGTGACAATTGCTTTCATAACTACAGACCAATATCTTTAGCTAGTGTGATATCTAAAGTGTTAGAAAAAATCTTTCTTGGTCATCTTAATCAGTTCATTAGTGCAACAGATAATCAATTTGGTTTCAAAGCCGGGTTGGGAACTGATTTCTGTATTTATAGCCTGAAAGAGGCAGCAAAACCATATCGCAGAAAAAATTAATCTGTGTTAATTGGGTTCATTGACCCCTCTGAGGCCCTTGATCAGGCACTTGTAGGGGTGCCTGTGTAACCCTTAAAAAGGCACCCCTAAAGGCGTCACTTGTAGTGATTTGAACTTAGTCAAATAACAGAGAGGTGTTCCAGGTATTATACAAATTTTAGCTTACTGGCATTCAAACCATTCAAAATGGGGTAATAACATCTTTTGGTGTGAGTAGTGGTGTGTATCTTTCACCTACCCTGTTTAACTTCTACATGGATGACCAGTCAAAAGAAATGAATTACCTGTATGATTGGTAATACTCTGGTGAATCACTTTATGTATGCTCTGTCCTCTCACCCACCAGAGCACGTTTTTAGCAGTTATTGAATATCTGCTCTGATTAATGGTTGAGATATGATGTGCAGTATAATGCTAAGAAAACAGTTGTTTTAGTATGTAGGACTAGAGCAGACAAACAACTTTGTTTCCCTGATTATTTTCTGTCGGTGAAAAAGTTAAATGTTTGTTCAAACACTAAATATCTGGGTCACTACATCAGAGACCAGCTCAGTGTTGCATGTTGTACATTCAACACATTCTTGGGAGGAAATTTGTGCACTGATATCATATGTGCACTGATAAGGCAAAAATAAGTTTGTTCAAAGCTTACTGTACATCATTGTATGCGGCTCCTTTGTGGTGTAAATGAATAAAAGGTGGCATGCAGAAGCATAAGGTTGAGTCCCTAAGAATTCTGCTTAAGAAACCAGGTTCAGCAGTGCAAGTGAGATGTTTTGTAATGCACAAGTCAAAACATTCCAGGCACTCATGAGAAATTTGATATAGGGTTAGGGTTAGTTTATGTGTCATTTGTGGAGCTCCATGAACAGTCTTACTGTAATGTTTTCACATCCTTCTGTCAGTGCGCTAAGTTACCAGTCGGCTCTATGGAAACATTGGCAAGCAAATCTTGTATGACATTTATTTTTATTTTGCATGTGTTGTTGGGTATCATGTCTTTGTGGACCACGAGTCTGCTGAAATAAAGCGTATTATTGTTATTATTACTACTGGAGGTGGGGCACGTTGGCGAGTGCCTGGTGGCCGGGCTTTTACCCACAGGCCCACCACCTATGAGAGGGGTCAAAGGGGTCGGGTGCAGTGTGTGACGGGTGGTGGCCGATGGACAGGGTCCTGGCGGTCCGATCCTTGGTTGCAGAAGCTGGCTCTTGGGACATGGAATGTCACCTCTCTGGTGGGGAAGGAGCCGGAGCTGGTGTGTAAGGCTGAGAGGTTCCGGCTAGAAATAGTCGGTCTCACCTCAACGCATGGCTTTGGTTCTGGAACCAGTCTCCTTGAGAGGGGCTGGATGTACTTCCACTCTGGAGTTGCCCACGGTGAGAGGCGTCGGGCAGGGGTGGGCATACTTGTTGCTCCCCATCTTGGCACCTGTACTTTGGGGTTTACCCCAGTGAACAAGAGGGTAGCCTCGTTCACTGGGGTTCTGACTGTCGTTTGTGTTTACGGGCTGAATGACAGTTCACCCTACCCACCCTTATTGGAGTCCTTAGAGGTGGTACTGGAGAGTGCCCCTTCTGGGGTCCCTAGGAGTCCCCTCGTTCTCCTGGGGGACTTCAACGCTCACGTGGGCAATGACAGTGAGACCTGGAGGGATGTGATTGGGAGGAACGCTCCCCCCAATCTGAACTCGAGTGGTGTTCTGTTGTTGGACTTCTGTGCTTGTCATGGATTGTCCATAACGAATACCATGTTCAGGCATAAAGGTGTCCATATGTGCACTTGGCACCAGGACACCCTTGGCCGCAGTTCGATGATCGATTTTGTCATCGTTTCATCGGATCTGCGGCCGTATGTTTTGGACACTCAGATAAAGAGAGGTGCGGAGTTGTCCACTGACCACTACCTGGTGGTGAGTTGGCTCCGGTGGTGGGGGAGGATGCCAGTCAGACCTGGCAGGACCAAACGTCTTGTGAAGGTCTGCTGGGAACGTCTGGCGGAGTCCCCTGTGAGACGGAGCTTTAACTCCCATCTCCGGCAGAGCTTCGAACACATTCCGGAGGAGGTGTGGGACATTGAGTCCGAGTGGACCATGTTCCGTGCCTCCATTGTTGAGGCAGCTTATCGGAGCTGTGGTTGCAAGGTTGTCGGTGCCTGTCGTGGCAGCAACCCTCGAACCCGTTGGTGGACACCTTCAGTGAGGGATGCTGTCAGGCTGAAGAAGGAGTCCTATTGGGCCTTTTTGGCCTGTGGGACTCTGAAAGCAGCTGATGGGTACCAGCAGGCGAAGTGGCTGGAGTGGTTACTGAGGCAAAAACTCGGGCATGGGAGGAGTTCGGAGAGGCCATGGAGGAAGACTCTATGGCCTCTCAATGGTGGGCCAGAATCTAGACGACTCCCCATCCTGCGTCTCAGGATGGGGAAGCAGTGTAGCACCAACACTGTTTACAGTGGGGGTGGTGTGCTGCTGACCTTGACTTGGGACGTTGCGGGCCAGTGGGCAGAATACTTCGAAGACCTCCTCAATCCCACTGACATGCCTTCCATTGAGGAAGCTGAGCCTGGGGACTCTGGGTTGGGCTCTCCAATCTCTGGGCATGAGGTCACCTAGGTGGTTAAAAAGCTCCTCGGTGGCAGGGCCCCAAGGGTGGATGAGATACGCCCAGAGTTTCTTAAGGCTCTGGATGTTGTAGGGTTGTGGTGGTTGACGCGACTCTGCAGTATCGCATGGACCTTAATGTTTAATGTTTCTCAGGCAAGAGGCTGAGAAACATTCAGAGCAAAACCACCAGGCTGAGGAACTGTTTCTTCCCTTCAGCCATCAGACTGCTGAACCCCACCATCTAACTCAGCTTCATCTCATAAATTATTTATACACACACTTTCTTAAATAGAAATATCTATAAATCACAATAATTTCTTGTTTTTTATCTATATATTAAATTTCGCAATCTGAGTCCGAATTTTGTACCACAAACAAGTGAAGGTGGTATGACAATAAAAAATCCTTGAATTCTTGAACCAAACTGTACCACCTCAACACCCTGGCTGTGCCTCGAAATGAATCCATCATGAACTGATTCATTACAGAATCAGTTCAGTGTCTCATTTCTGTGATTACCCTCTGTGTATTTAATCCCACCTGTGTCTCCAGTTGCTACAGGTGTTGAGCCCTGGCTTCCACTCAGCCATGCTGCCTGGCTGTTGGACTTATCTTGGATTGTGTTTTGGACTGTGTCATTTTGGATTTTTCAATATTAAATCATCATTTTCATTTCAACCTGGGTCACTGCGTCCTGCCTCACCACTTTCACCACATTTTATGACCTAGTTTGTGTGTATTTAATCTGTATAACATGGTTTTTGTGAATTTGGAGACTGAAATAAAATAACTTTTCTGAAATATTTTATTACATGTACACTATTTTGCCAAAAGTATTTGGTCACCCATCCAAATTATTGCTATTCCAATCACTTCCATGGCGACAGGTATACAAAATTAAGCAGACTGTTTTTACAAACATTTATGAAAGAAGGGGTCACTTTTAGGAGCTCGGTGAATTCCAGTGTGGAACTGTGATAGGATGCCATGTGTGTAATAAATCCAGTTGTGAAATTTCCTCGCTCCTAAATATTCCACAGTCAACTGTATTATAAGAAACTGGAAGTGTTTGGAAGGACAGCAACTCAGCCATGAAGTGGCCAGACGGGGTCAGTGGATGCTGAAGCACATGGTGTGAAGAGGTCAATCACTGCAGACCTCCAAACTTCATGTGGCCTTCAGATTAGCTCAAGAACAGACAGCTTCATGGAATGGGTTTCCATGGTAGCATCATATTTATACTTCATAAAAGCTAGTAATGAACAAATACCTCTTACTGAATTGGCTTACAATTTACAAATAAAGCTACAAGACCTCATCAACTAAAACTTGTATGTATTGCATCATATCTTAGTTCAATTTATTAAACTAGAATGCTATGAATTGTCTCCCTTCAATGAGCTGTCAGAGAATGAGCCAGAACTCCAGCAAATGAATGTGATAACTTTGTGGAAGGAAACTCAAAAGGTTTGACCATATAATTTAAAACAGAGTTATCCATGACACAGTTTAGTATACTACCGCTAACTCTGTCACTGTTGAGAACTTCTCAGTCGTGTCCCTTAGCTGCCTGCTCTGTTCTTCATGATGCTGTTCGTTCACAAAAGTCCATTAATAAACCGCTGAGGCCTGTATGTCCTGTAATGACCCCAGCCTGTGTAAATTACTCACAGGCCATTTTATTTATCAAGTGGGTTGAATACAAATGCATCCCATACTTTAAATTTTCATTCATAAAAATATTTGAAAGCCATACATTCAACTTCATATTTGTGCTACATATTTTGTCCTGGTCTTTGTCATGAAGAGATCTTCATTACTGGGGCTATTTTACTCAAGTTACTAGGTAGCACTTTAAAAGCACTTTTTGCACTTTATTAACAAGCACTTTATTTAGCACTGCACTGTAAGAATAGATCACATAAATAATTTACACACAAGAAGTTTTAATTGAATTTATTGAGTATTCTTAGTAATTACTCAATAATTACAAAAAATTAATTGAATAATTAATTTTTAGCTAAGGCCTTTTGTTCTGGGCTCTGCACAGCTGCTTCTGTTTGAGCAGTGAGGCGTTTTCCTGTGAAGGGGGGATAATTCTTACTTAGAGCAATGAGCTACTGGTGGGTAAAACTGAGCTAATGTTTGTGCATAATCTGCTAAGTGTGGAGTACTAACATGAAGTGACTCACATGTCTTTTCTGTGTCCTCTCCAGGGTGGTTGGACAAATATTGCCTCGGGGGTCCAGACACCATTTTTAGGTTCCGGGAGAGGCCATTGAAAAGTGTGGGGGGGATTGTTTATGGGTTTTCATGGTGTTTCAGTGTGATGTAAGGATAAAACATAAAATATTTATAAAAAGTAAGTGGATGTTTATATTTACTAAAAGATATTTTATGTAAATAGGTAGAGATGGGTGAAGTGAGATCCCCCTGTGAATTAAAGATTGTTTGCTCTATCACATCTGGGACTATTTAAGGCTGTAATTTCACCTGTGAAATGAGTTATAATTGATGCTGTGTGAATTCGAGATGGTTCCTTTTGTCCCTCTGCTGACTGGCAAGGCCCACATAGCCTATGTTTTAATAGGCTATCTCTTCACATAGCCTATGTTTTAATAGGCTATCTCTTCACATAGCCTATGTTTTAATAGGCTATCTCTTCACATAGCCTATGTTTTAATAGGCTATCTCTTCACATAGCCTATGTTTTAATAGGCTATCTCTTCACATAGCCTATGTTTTAATAGGCTATCTCTTCACATAGCCTATGTTTTAATAGGCTATCTCTTCACATAGCCTATGTTTTAATAGGCTATCTCTTCACATAGCCTATGTTTTAATAGGCTATCTCTTCACATAGCCTATGTTTTAATAGGCTATCTCTTCACATAGCCTATGTTTTAATAGGCTATCTCTTCACATAGCCTATGTTTTAATAGGCTATGGTTGACTCGGAGAATTATGATAAAGTGAAAGAAGCAATTCTGACAAAATATGAAATCACTGCAGACACTTATCGTTGACGCTTGAGATGACTGAAGTTTGAAGCAGGTGAGACGCCACGTGAACTTTATGTGCGATTGAAAGACTTGTTTTTAAGATGGATTAAACCTGATAAATCTACTATGCAAGAAATATCTGAACAGATCATTCTGGAGCAGTTTCTAAGAATTGTACGAAAGACAGTTAATTATTTGTTTTCAGCCCTGTTGTTTAGTTTTTCTTTATCAAGGTGTTTTAGATATTTTATTTCAGCCACTGGGTGGCTTCACGTTAATATTTGCTACATCTTGTTTATAGATCTGAGCATTAATCTATAAACAAGGCAGGCTCTCAAGGCAGCTTCGTTTATTTCTCTTTTCTACCGTGTGCATCCCCTGAAAGGGTTAGTAATACTGCTGTTGGTTTAGTTGGGTTTAATAAATGCCTAAGAGCTGCATTGTACTCTGTCCCGTTGAATATTATGGTTGTTTGTTGTGGTTTACTTGTATTGTTAAGAGCTAAAAGTTAGCCGTTTAGCATTAAGCTATTGATCTTGGTTAATTAGATGAAGCTGTTATTTGTGTTACTATTTGCTTATTGCTCTTGTATGTGTTATCATGTAACGCTATGATTAGCAGGCTTGATTATTATTTATATTCTCATAGATATTAACCAGCTGCTAGTTTATAGTAATATTTAAACAAGTTTATTCACTTTTGGACAGTTAGGTTTATTGTGCAAGTATTTACCTGCAAGTTCTTCTAATTTGTATTTCTTCATTTTTGTAGAAAACCACACACCCACACAAAGCCTTTATATGTATGGAGAAAGCCTCAAACCTAGGACCACTCTTATTCAATATTTATATTCTCCCATTCACAAGGTAATAAAAGGAATAAGATTATCTACCATAACTACACTGATGATACACAGCTCTACATTAGTATGTCACCAGGTGACTCTGAACCACTGAACAGATAAATGTGTGGATGTGCCAAAACTTTCTCCAGCTGAACAGAAACAAAACTGAAGTCATTATTTTTGGACCTAAAGAGGAACGATCTAGAGCTATAGATCTAGAGCTATAAATCTAGAGCTATAGATCTAGAGCTATAGATCTAGAGCTATAGATCTAGAGCTATAGATCTAGAGCTATAGATCTAGAGCTATAAATCTAGAGATATAGATCTATAGCTATAAATCTAGAGCTTTAGATCTAGAGCTATAGATCTAGAGATATAGATCTAGTAGTAGATCTATGGTAGTCAATGCACAGCTTCAGTTATTACAACTAAAAACTAGCGATCAGCCCGAAACCTGGAGTAGTGATGGACTCAGACCTGAACCTTGCGAGCCACATAAAGACAGTTACAAAGTCAGCCTTCTATCACCTGAAGAACATCTCCAGGATTAGAGGACTAATGTCTCAGCCAGATCTAGAGAAACTCATCCATGTGTTTATCTTTAGTCGCATTGATTATTGTAACAGCGTCTTCACAGGCCTGTCCAACAAATCAATCCTCCAGCTGCAGCTGATCCAGAAGCTGCTGCTCCTGTTCTCACTAAAACCAGGAAGATAGAGACATAACAGCAGTTTTAAAGTCCCTCCACTGGCTCCCTGTAGCTCAAAGAATAGATTTTAAAATACTGTTGTTAGTTTATAAATCACTGAACGGTTTAGCACCATAATACATCAAAGATCTGCTGTTGTTGTATCAACCTTCCAGACTCTCAGGTTCTGGTTCTGGTTCTGCTTTTTATCCCCAGAACCAGAACCAAGAGAGGAGAAGCAGCATGTTAAAATAATTATCTTGTGTTACCAGTCTTACATTAGTCATGTTACTAGATCATAGTTCATTTAAAGGTTTAATTTGTTAAAGTTCATGTGAGGCATAGCTAACCATTCCTTAACCTTTAACAGATGGTCTTAATTCTCTTTAGACTGAGATACTCCTTAATCGTAAAACTGTCTGTGTTTAGAATATAGTTTCTGTTCTCCTATTTTTGTTGTCAGCACCAGCCCCCCTCACTCCTGCTTTGTGTTAATAAAAGACAAGCTTTGTTGCAGAGTTTCAGAACACATTGGAGAGATGCTTAGAGAAGTGGCTTTGCTATGTCTTCGTCTTTTGCAAAATAATCGATCGAAATAAATGTCTGTGGTTCTTTTTATTTAGGTTAAGAAAATACCTATCACAGCATTCAGCTTCTATGCACCACAAATCAGGAACAAACTTCCAGAAAACTGAAGTTTTCTGAAAGTTTGTTTCTGTGCAAAGAAAACTGCACTGAAACACAGAGCCTTTAAATTTAGACTAAACACCCGCTTGTTTGGAGTTGCTTTTGAAACATAACAGATTAAGAAATTAATTGCAGCATTTGACTAAATGTAATGTTTCAATTGTTGATTCTATGTTGCATGACTGTATTTTTGATGTAAAGCACTTTGAAATGCATTGTTGCTGAAATGTGCTAGAGATAAAAATTTGATTGATTGATTTAACTTTCATAAATTTGCCTCAGTTTTGTGACAAAACTGAGAAAGTTACCTTGATTTGGATCAATGAGGGTTTTGTACAATTTCCATGACTTTTCATTTCAGTGAATGATTCGTGCTGACTGAACATTTTGTGGATATATGAAGGTTGTAATTAATCCTGGTTTTCTGAATAAATAGACTGATGGAGTGCTGTTGTTTGTATCAAAGTACTGTGTCATACTTTCTCATCTGGTAGATTCCTTTCATGACAGTGCCAAAGTTTCCTGAGCCCAATTCTCCATCCTCCAAGAAAAGCTGTTTCCGATCCACGGTGGAGCTCTTCAGTTCATCAGGATCTGCATAAGGACTTTCATATACCTCTGTGTCCATTGGCATTGCCTCTGAAAATTCAAATGGAAACAGCTCTAAAAAGGCTGAAACAGCTCTCTAACGTATTAAAACAAGTCAGATTTTTATACCTTTGATAAGTGTCATCTCATCCATCAGAGTAACTTCACATATTTCAAAGAAAGTCAAACAATTTAAATTAAGAAATGTTTGAATTATTAATCTACACTTAAATCTCACCTTTAAGTGTAGATTAAAAGGGAAATTATTCTCATGTGGGGAAAAACTGAACTATTAAACCCAAATTTACCCCATTTTTTTTACATTTATTCTAAGGCTACTCTAACCCTACAATAAATGTGACATTATATGTCAAAGTCATAATATATAAATAATATTAAGGGCAACATGTAAGAAATAATCTGCCTTTATTCTCAAATAATATGGCACTGTATTTATGGAGATGGTTCATTCTTTGCTGTACCACTAATGCTCACTTTAAAGACATCTTGTAAAATAGTTATAACTAAAAGAGACTTTAAAAAGCACAAGATGTGAAAATCAAACTAATATGTGATGTGTTCTGGGGTCTCATTTATGAAGGACTGCAGATGGATACTAAAATGTACATATGCCCAAAAATGGTGTAATTAATCATGGTTTTCTGAATAAATAGACAAATCCAGATTTATAAACCGTGCATATGCATATCAGCAAGACATTTGCCTTTATAACTCACAGCTGTACCAAAACAGGACCCACCTCAGGCTCTTCCTTCTACATGCCCACATTTACCCATGAATACAAAACACCTCTTTAATGTCAGTGTTTGTTTAAATGAGCAGATCATCTTATTTAATGATTAACAATTTCACCAAGGCCAAAAGCAATTTGAGTGAGGTGAAGATTGAAAAACTATAACTTTTGGTTGTCACAGTAACATGAACTAAAGCCACCAGCCAATGTTAGGAGGTCAACGGTGTGAGCCACAGTCGAATGTGCATGATCTGTTTTTCTGTTGAAGTGTCTTAACTAAGGACACAACAATGGAGGGAGACAGAACAGATATCGAAAAACAACCTACCAATTACAGGACAAACTCCTGCCACCGTGGCCACAATTGTCCCATATTGGATAGATCACAGGCATGTTTTGAATTTATACTGTGGCTTTTAAACTCAACAAAATAGAGGGCTTTTCACTTTAGACTAGAACTTCTAAAAAAAACTATTTAGTTAATAATGCAACAAACTTTCCTAACTTTTTTTTATTTCACCTTTGCAGTATTGCCAGAACTGAAAATGTCCTGTACCCAAAACTGGCTCATTCATTTCTTACTTTGATGAAAATAAATTGTAACTGTAAAAAATCCCATAAATGTTCTGCTTAAGAGCTTATCTACGGACCGAAACATTCTACTTGAGGTTTTTTCATGTTCAGGGGAACATTTCCTTTTCACTGTCACTATGTTCAGTAGGAGAGATTGCCACATTCTCTAAACGGATCACTCATCCAGGATGAGTGATTGCTGTAAGTCAGTGGCCTAATGCAATCTCCTGGGTTTCTTAACCCTGCCCCAGTCTTAGCACAATGCTCAAGACGAGTGCAGCACACATCATGGCTGGACGGTGGGGAAGGGAGGGATGATGGTGGTGAAACGTCAGTTCCAAAAACCACACAAAAAATACTGCGTGTACTAGTGCAGCACTTTATCAAGTACAGAGAACTCCAACTGTTTCCCACTACATTCAGTGATCCACCACTTCACACACACATTCAGATGCTGATGAATGTGTGCATGTTTATTATTCAAATTTTTTAACAAATTTGAATAATGAACTGCAGTCATGTTGATTGCATTGTTGAATTGTAATGTCTCTTTCTGATTAGATAAAATTAATTTCTTTTCAGAAAATTTTCTTAAATATGTTTTGTGAATTGGCACTGAATTTAATTCAACTGAGCATTTCCGGAGCTTACCTTTGGTTTCATAGGGATTCAGGTCCGTGTTGCTCAATTGTGGTCTACGACTCTGTTTTTGAACATAGGAAGAGAATAGAATGTGGAAATCAGTGACTTTTCAAAGTGCTAGGTTGAAAAGAAATCTGTAAATAAAAAAAATAGGCTTTTTTGGAATTAAAATATTGTGAGCGTTATCATTGGTGGAACAAATCAGTCAGGCTGCAGGCAGTGCTAATAACCAGGCTCTTAATACCCAGATAACAAAGCTCATGATGACATCATTTTACAACATAGACATACATGCCAGCAACAGCAGGGCTTACAAGCTTCCATTGCATGAAGAGCCACTATCTCCTTTTGAAATCCATCAAACGAATATGAAGAATAACAAATCAAGAGAACAACAAGAACATCAGGCTACCTGGTCAGAAATGATGAAACAACACAAATTCAAAGTCGCTCATCTCCATGAATAATGATTGAATAATTTTGACATCCACTTTGGAACAGCTACCAACTGCTGAAGCTCGATTCATGGATGATGCGTTGGACAGGATTAGTGGCAGTGCGCGGCGTACCCAACCCCATGTTAACCTTGCTGGTTGTTGTGGCGCCTCGCGCACCTCTAGATTTTTGTTTGCTTTATAATGGCATGAAAAATAACTTTTTGCTCCTAACTTATAAATCTGTTTTATTTTGACATTCTATCTAGGTGCGTGTTGAAAATTTGATTTATGACATCTATCTCAGGATAGATGTCATTATCCTGTATTCGGTTCCTGATCTCGAAGCATTTGCTGCATTTCTTCCCCCTCTCTCTCCATCCTGTTGATTTACTGTTCAATAAATGCCAAAAAAAGAAAGAGAAATAGAACAGACTACGGAACATTGATTCATTCAGCTCGGTTAAATAAAGTTGGCTGCGCTGCCAACAAAAAAGTCCAGCTCATGTCCAGAGATGAACAAAATGTGTGTCCAGCTTTTGTAACTTGGTTTGTCCGGGTTTCTCCTTTTTGCTTTCCTTTCGCTTTGCCATTCCACTTTTATGCTTATATTGAAGTGCCACTCGTGTTAACTTAGTTCATGAAAAAAATGCTCCATCTAGTCTCCAATTCGTTGCCAAGTGACTGATGAGGACATTGGTGGAAGGTTGGTGATAAAAAATGCACCTGGAACCGCATGTGAATTTCTGTGTCAACAGAGTGAAAATGAAGCCAGTCATGCAGCACCACATTTTATTCAATATTTTATAGTCACTACATCACCAAAATCAGTCAGTCTTGCAAATTTTTAGAAACCATGACTTAAACTTGAGTGGGAAAGCTATATAACCTCTAGAGCGACTCCCTCATAGGGGTACGCTGCCCTTCCAGCCCCCCTGAAGCTCCACCCATGAGCATTATGGGTATCTGTTTTATATCTTTACTATGTCCTTTTTTAAGAGTTTTTAGTGTTGCAAGTGGCTAGCATTTTTTGACAGTAGACTGACAGGAGGGAGGGCAAGGAGGGGGGGGAAGACATGCGGCGAGGGTCGCCGGGCCCGGGAGTCGAACCCGCGACGTCTGAGGCCTCCGAGTGTGGTGCGTGCTAACCCCTGCGCCACCTCAGAGCACCCCCATCTTTACTAAATGAGACCGGTTGACATGCAAGGAATATTTTTTATGTCAAAGATTTTCAGTTACATCTATCAATCAGATCAAGGCAGACATCTCAAAATTGTGTCAGAAAGAGCAATGATGCTTGTTGAAGCAACTATTAAGCTTGTGAAATGTATTTACCTTTCTTCCAGGTATGTTGAGCTGGCCAAACATGGAGAGAAGACCACCTGCTGCATTTTGCTAGGAATGAAAGATGTCAAAAAAAAGTTTTTGTTAAAGATACTGTAGTCTTTTCATGGTCACTCAAGTCAAAGAACTTATGATCACTCCAGAGTGTTGATGATTGCCAATGACCCAAACTCTTACAATAGTTTATTTACAAAACCTGCTTTAAGGTGATAAAAACTTAAAACAAGTAATGAGATGTGGAAGAGTGTTGAATTTCTTTTATCCTTTCTGGAAATTTGGGACGTAAAGACATTTGTATCAAATGTACTTCTCCAATAACTTATCCATGAATAACTTACAATGGCAGAACCTAATCCAGGATGGTTCAGTGGAGGTACTGGTCGTCCTATGAGCACTGTGAACAAGAAATTTGAACCATGAGGATCAATCTGGGTTAGACTGGGATCTGGAAATACAATCAACTTTTAAACGTAAGTGCAAGAGACTAATTTTGACCAGGTTTGATCAGTTGTGTCTGTTTTTACCAGTTTCACCGTCAGGTCTTGGACATGGCTCTGTGAGTACTCGTAACAAGCCATCTGGTTTGTAGGAGTAATGCTCCACCAACTGTCATATGAAGAGACATAGTTTAAAATGTAGTCCTAATAGAAATAATTCATATAATTAATAGCCACATATCAGCATCATAAAAATAAAGTTTATACAATTTTTACCATAATTAAAACAACAAATGACCTTGACTGGTTTCTACTTTCAGTTACATATTATATCAAATGGATCATATGTAGCGCATATCTGAAGGTTTTTTTCAAATAGTGCCACCCACTGGCGCAGATCTGAAGTGTGACATATGTCACATTGGGCATATATAGCGACATTTTTCCATATTAGGAAATTGATTCCTTAAGAATTTTATTTATTGATTGATTTATATTTTGCTTATTAACACAAAATAAACTTTTCATTTGCAACTTCCGAACATGTATGATATCTTCCTGGACAAATTTTTTTCATCTTCACTTTTACGATCTCCAAAGTGTCAGATCTCCAGGTATTTGGTTTTGATCTTAAATTGATCCATTATGTCTTAGTCGTCTTTAGGTTAGCCCTTTATGGTCCTTTTGATTTTATTATTTCACGTTAGCATATACTTACCTGAAATATTCTAAATCTGTTATTAGAATTGTCTTGTTACTGACTTCTGTATTTTCAATCCTTTATAATGTTTCCAGTTAGGTTTATTCTTTAGTTACTCTTGATTCTGTTATTCCTGTATGTCTAATTCTGTGTTCCTTCTTTGTTTAGTGATTTAGATTATTTTGATTTTATCCTTCTAGTTATTCCTTATTTCAGCCTCCCTGTAGAGTTTCTGCTAATGTTTATTTCTTAGTTTTTTCTTCACCCTGGGTTCAGTTATTCTTACATGTCTGAGTTTAGGTATACTTTTCTTTAGTGGTTCCAGTTAAGTATTTATTCCTTCTAGCTTTCCCTGGTAGTGATTGTAGTTTTCTTATTTTGTCACTTTTGCTTCAGTTAGTCTTTTTGTCTGAATCTATGTCCATCTTTCTTTAGCCATTCTAGTTAGGTTATGTGTTTGTTTAGACCTTCTAGCTACTTTAGCTCTATGTTTCTTAGTTCTTGTTAGATCTGCCTTGTTTCTGTTTCAGTTTTTCCCTCATGTCTTTTTCTCTTTTAGTTTATCAGTTTCTTTAGTATTAGAAGTATTTTCAGTTCCTTAGTGTCTCCTCCCGGTTTTTCCTGTGCCACCTTCAGCTAGCTCCCGTGCCAACTACTCACACCTTCAATCAATCATCTCATCTAGTTAAGTCCATTGTTCCACTTGCCACCTCCCAGTATTTAAGACAAAACTTTGGAGCAAAAGCTACATTTTTCACCTACAATATAAATAATAGTTAATCTGTGTAAACTAACTCAAATATCCTATAGAAAGGAATCTGAATAATCCGAAAGAAAAATGATCAAAAGTGGAAATGAGAAAGGAAGAATTCTTTTCCATTATAAAATCAAAATAATCCCACATGGATGAAAACTTTCTCTTCCTTAGTCGATCCATGCTGGTATTCACATACGAGCCAAAAACCAACACAAAGAACAGAAAGTATCTCCAGTGAACAAAACCCACAAACCACATTGTTAATATTTTTTGCATTTTACAAAAAAGCAAATTACAATAAAATCGGGGGTAAATGGAGAAAGTGACTTGACTAAAGCTATAGTAAAGTTTAATCAAATATTTGAATAATCTCATAAGTTTTCATGGTTACATTTTTGAAATATGACTTCATAAAAGAAAGAGACTATATTAATTTAAAATGACTGACTGCGCTAAATTGACTCAGCAGATGATTAGTAATCATCTTATTGTAACACATATGTCACAAGAATTTATTTTTTTTTACAATTTGGAGTTTAATGCCCAATGTGAAGCAAGTGTCACAGCAATATTTGACAGATCTATTCGATATCAAATAGTTTTAGAAATGCTGTCAAATCATTTCATATGTGAAGAAAGATGTCTTATCTGAAGATTAGAATTACTAAATCAGTGGAAACATCACCTTTGTTAAGAGAAAACAAAGTTTCTCAAATCACCTTCCTGGTCACGTTAGCTGCCCAGTTGCACTGATACTTTGAAAAATGGTGACTTCATTACCCAGAATCTTTCACTGATCACATGACTGAATCAGGAGGTTCAGTAAATGTCACTTGAGGACTTTATGAGATAAAACTCAACATTCAACTTTAAAACTAAACTTTTCTCATTGTACAAAGCGGTGATAACACCAGTGTCACCATTGGTATTTTTATGGTTAAAGTTAACTATTTACCATTAATTAAAATGACAAATGCCAGCGAAAAATTTTTTGTGATTCTAAATTATTTTATCTCAAGAAAAAAAAAGTTCTTGGACTGTAAGAATTAATATGTCACAAAAGCTACATCATCTATTAAGCTAATAATGCTGGCCTTCTTAATGATATTGGTAATTTAATAAAATCTAATTGGTCTTTCAAATAACACAGAATGTAAAAAAAAAAAAAAAAAAAAAAAAACTGGTAACCTGCCACAAGGTGTCAAATTTCTTTCCATCAGGGATGGAGAGCTTGCCGGTGCTGTCTCTGTCAATGCGATAATGCATCACTTGGCCTTCATGCAGTAAACATAAAGCATATGAACCATTTTGATCTCTCTGTCGAATTCTACACATGGAAGCAGAAGAAACAAAGGAGATGATGTAGCATTAAACATTTGTATGTTGTTGTTTCATGTTATTTTGTCAGGTTGAATCTATTTTGTTACAGGAAGATGAGAGAAAGTATCAATTTATCAACCACAGGAACTTTATTTGTTAAAATTAGGAGCTTAATGTCCTGCTGAATACAAGGTAAAAAAAACGATAGTTTAAAATCAAACACAAAAATAAATAATTGTCTGCCAAAAAGTAATATTTTGCAACAAACATATTGCACTTAGATTCAGTTTTATGGTTCCAAACCAACAGACTGGGATCAAATGGCTGAATTTCCTCACTAAACAAGCCATTCAGTAGATTCAGGTTTTATTGGAGAAGGAAAGCATCTGAAAGTTGCAGGATTGTAGCTCAGGAGAACTGGACTTCAGGCACCCTGTTCTGAACTAAAGTCTCAGAATAATGTTCTTTTAAGAACTGGGCAGTAATCAGAATACCTTGCTATTTACATTTACTTTTGACCTAACTTATTATAATTACATACAGTTTATTCAGTAGTATTGACAGCTAGAAAATTCCTGAAGAAATTTAAGTCAGTTCTAAAATGCCCAAACACAAGTATTTCTAAAGGCCAGCTCCTTCCTCAGAGCTCTGCCATAATAAAAACTACAGTGATGCGTTTTTGTAGTCCTAATCAGCTGCTCTGCCCGGCTGTGTTCTGTTGCTATGGTAATGGATCCTCTGCAGCTGTCATGTGTGTGAGACAGAGAGGTGGAGACAGATTTCTATCTTTGTGAGACACCCAGTCAGTTTTGACTGAAAAAAGCGGTCCGAACAACTCCTTCCCGTTCGGAAACCGTGATACGTATCGGAAAATCATTTGGAGCGTATGAGAGGGCTATCTTTCGTCTCCGATAGTCCCGCGATTCATATCTGTACATCACTCACATTAATAACAGCTACGAGATAAAAATGGTGTGCGCTGAGGTCTGACATTTTTCAGAAATACATTGAAGTCAATCTGGCTGAGCGAGTGGAAATCCTGTCGCATCACTTCGCTCTGAAGCGCCTTGACAGAAAACCGTAAGCCCTACCAAAATTTCGAAAACATTTTACCAGAGCAGGCATGCGTATCTATGTCATGACCGAGTTTGATAACAATAGGGCGATATTTGTGGGCGTGATGGCGATTTCAAAATTTATTTGGGGTCAAAATCGAACTCCTTTCCACACTCTAACAAAACGTCAGTTACATTCTAGTTTCGGCAGTTTGTAACTGACGAAAAGTTTTGCTCGTTTTTTGCTTTTTACATCACCATAATAACACTGAATCCCACTAAAAGTAATAGCTCCACTGCCAGCGCCGAGCCACACGTTTTGATACTATTTTTGTGGGTGAGCACGCAGCGATATGCGCCGCATTAATGGTCACGGAAGAAGTTATAATAATGAAGAGGCATTCTATTATAATAGACGCTCTATTAAGTGTAGGTGTCTGCCCATAGCAATGCATAAGGAGAGCAGGCGACAGGCCCTGCTTTCCTTATGCATTTCTATGGGCAGGCACCTGTTAACTGAATCATTAATCGTCAATAATTCAATTTATTTATTTATTTGGATTACTATTCAAGCTTGTAAAAAAGTTCAGTACAAATCCTTCATTTTGTACATTATTTTTAACTTCAGTTTTAACAGTATTTAACCCTACATGTTACCACACAGCATGTGAACTGTGAAAAGTGACAACTGTGACTTGATAAAGCTTTTTTCATAGCTCAGGAAGTCAAAAGGTACCAGCTCACACATCACAACATAAATCAAAACCAGAATCTAAACAGTAACTCAAATAAACATCCAATGTTATGGTGAGAAAAGTAGTGTTCCCAAAATCACATTTAAAGTGCACAGGAAAGAAAGACCATTATGTAATTCTGTTGTGTAATATACATAACTAATTTATGTTGCTAAATGTATGTAACAAGCTACTTCTTGAAGTATATTTAAAGTTATATTTTCAAAATAACTATAAATATACTGGCTATAGACACAGAAGGACTGCAATGGCGTTCTAAAATAAAACTTGTCATGGAGTTGAGGCCATGTTTCAGAGGAAAAAGATCACTTCCTGTAAGATGTTTCATGAAAAAGGGGTCAGTCACACGTTACCCTGTTCTCAGACTTCTTTTTACATGGCTACTTCAGGAAGTCCTTTGCAAACTGTCAAAGCGGAAACCACAAAGAGAAAGACAGAAAGAGAGTGTGCGTGTGGTCGTGTGGGTGTGTGTGTGTGCATGTGGTCGTGTGTGGTTGTGTGTGGCCGTGTGTGTGTGTGTGTGTGTGTGTGTGTGTGTGTGTGTGTGTGTGTGTGTGTGTGTGTGTGTGTGTGTGTGTGTGTGTGTGTGTGTGTCTGATCATGCGACTCCTCCGCCTAGACCACTTCTGCCTCTGAAAGTTTGAGCTGAAACACATGCACTGGAACCCTCCACTTAAACGAACAAGCTTAAGCAGAAATAAAAGTTAATAATGTCACATGTGATTAGATACATTTAAAACTATTAATGTACATGATGACAGAGACGTAAATGACACATTTAGGCTACTTTTTTTTGACAACTTCTCCAATGTCAAAATTTAAAATAAGATATACATGAAGTACTGATACTAAGTAATTAGAATAATTGTAATTTCTTCATTCATTAAGTTTTTCAATGAATGAAAGTAAGTATAATTTTAATTAGACTGATTGTGAATCAATATGAACAAATTTTAAGCAAAAAGCTGTCAAGTAAAAATGATTGAAATATGTTTTCAAAAATACTGAAGTGTTGATTTTATTATTAACTATTTCTGTTGGTTCTCTATAAACATGGTCTTGAGTAATTTTCAAATACTTACAAGAATTTTCCATTTGTACGGGAACCATTCTGAAGCCTGGGCTCTGAGTTCTCTCGTGATATTGTTCCATGGAACCAGGGCATTTTTTCATGAGCAGTGGTAGCAATTAGTTTCTCCAGCTGAGGCCTCTGACTGATGATAGCCTGCTCAAGGGCTGGACCCTATGTGCAAACAAAACTTATTTTAAGCTCAAAGTTAAAATAAGGACAAGATCCAAACCAGGAATGAGTTGTCAAGCCTCATCCCTCACCCTGAGGGTGTTTCCACACCTGATAGTTTGGTAATCTCGGTTCTAGTGGGGACCAAATTTATGACATTTGTTAGATTTTCAGCTTGTGTGGTTCTCTTTCAAATACTGCACTGCGTCAGATAATCCAAATTAGTTGAAAAACCTGTTCCCCTTGGTTCAGGGCACTTAATCAAGAATTACTAATGGAAATGACAAAAAAATAAATCCTCCAAAGAAGACATAAGCTACAAAGCCCCCTGGATTTTCTTTCTTTTGCGTTCCCTTGCAAAACTTTTGCAGTACTTTGCAATAGCTTTTACATTCTCTCGCAATCATGTACTGATCAGTTCATGCGGCACTTTCTGCAAAAATAGAAACTTTTTGAAAGGTTTTTTCATGTACGTTAATATCTTGTTGTGAAATATCTAAAGTTTTACATCTTTCTTTTTAGGAATCAAAAGCAGCACAAACCTGTAATACAAACTCAAACTGTTAAAAGGAAAGAAATGAAAAATACATCCAAATTATTTGAATTATTTCTGAGTTATCAACCCAAGATAATGAGTCATCTGACAGTTTTGATCGTCTGTTTTGTATTGGTAGTCTGATTGGTTTAAAGAGCCGTTTTCCTATGCAGTTCCATCTTACACAAGCAGACAAACATGCAGTGAATAAATTGATTTTCAATAGTTTTTTGCACCAGAGTTCATAATAAATATGTTTTCACTTAGGCCCTTTAAATGCAACGTATACACTTTACATGTGTATTCATTTAAAGGGCCTTTAATTTTTTATTTTAAATTCAAATGTCAATGTGACTGTATACAAAATAGGCCAGCAAATATTGCAGAAAGCATATTGTGAGGGAACGCAAAACTTATTGTAAGGTAATGCAAAAGTAAAAAAAAAATTTCCCCATGTTCCCTAGCAGGCTTTGTATAAACGCAACTTACTTTTTCACAAAAAGTAAATAAAAATTGAGTAGCAATTATTAATTTTAATGGTTGCAGAATTTTTCTTTTGTTTTTGGTAAAAGACCACAAGCCATTTCTCCCTGTAGTGTTAGACCAGCACATTCGTTTTGATTGTATTTACTGCACTGTAAATACAACCAACCCTGCACTGCAGTTCACTTCCCATTTATGGTGCAGTCTCTGGTCCTCTTGAGGTTCAAATATATGCATTTGAACCGCACCAGAGTTTCCTTCAACTGAACCTAGGCTTTTAGGCAGACCAGAGTTTGCTCCTTTTGGTCCTCATCGGAGTTGGATTGTGCGTTCTCACCATCCCAAATGACTTTCTACGTAAATGGACTGCAGTTCGATTAAAGCAGACCAAACAGGGCTGGTCCGAAAGCACCTATAGTCACCACTAGTCTGACTCAGAAATAATAAAGTGATAAGGTTTTATTATTGTCAGAAAAATCATCATAAAAATTGCTTCTCAAAGCACCAGCTCTTACCAACACCAAGTTTCTCCACTTGTAAGTCTGTTGGCTTTCTTATGGACACTTAATCAACGATTCTAAATGTTATGTTGTTGAGCTAAACACCTCAAAAACATAGAACACAAAAAAGAAAAAAAAATTTTAACAATAAGAATAAAACCACACTAAATGGCTCTGAGACCTCCAGGCTTCTTTTCTGGTTATTTCAATTTTCTTGTCAACAAAGACTAAGTTTCAGAGTTGTCAAGAAAGCCAAATGTTAATTATTAATCATGAATTTACAAATAAAACAAATTTTTGTTTTATTTATGCTTGAAAGTTTCTGAGTTGTGGTAAGGTTGCCATGAGCAACCAGTAAAGAAGCAAAACCACATTGATGAAAATATTTCAGCTTATTTTAACACTATTTTGCTGTTGATATTTTGGTTAATATGTCACAAATAATTAGTGCGCTACAAACATGATTGATCTACATAAAAATAAATACAATTTTACTATTTGAAGGATCCAGCTCAAACTGACCTGCAGGTTCCAAGTCTGCTTCACATATTCCCGGATCAGTTTTTCCTTTAAGTCCTCGAAAGGACCAACCTTTGGCTGCATATTTTTGGGTCTGTTGCAGGGCTTCTTTAACAGACATACAAGACCATCCGTCTCTTGAGAATGATAGTCTATCACATCTGCAGGGCACCTGTGACTCTTCCCACCAGCAATAGCATACATTTCATTGGGTTGTCTCTCAATTGTGTAGTGGTAGAAGCGACCTGAATTAGAAACAGACAATGCAAAGCCTCCAAGATAGTTTCGACTTTGCCGTAGTAAGTACAAGCCGTTGCTCATTCCTGCCTGTCTCAGACAGACTTCTGCCTCCTCTCTGGTTATGTTGCCGTAGAAGAATGGTAATGCATACACATTGTCAGCCATCTTGACCGCTTCCTTTTGAAAGTTCTGTCACAAAGATAATAAGAAATAATGTATTATTGATCTTCAAACAGAGGGTACTTTGTTTATCCCAGCATAGCACAAAAAAATTCTAAGAAAATAGAAGATTAACAATAATAATAACAATATAGCAATAAATAACAATGAGCAATGATAGCCTTAAATACATCTTCATCATTTAAAATGCACCACTCTCAAAAAAGAGCATGAAATTCACAAGACACAAATGCTCAAACTTACAATTCAATTTTCAGTTTCACTGTGATCATTTGAAGCAGACTGAGGTTTTGGTGTTACTATTTCTCCATGAATGTCAAAAGATCATGATTTGACTTCCATAAAACATATCGTTTTGAAATGTAAAATGAAAAAAACGATCAGTAAACTCCAGCTATCCCTTTCACCTGGGTATCACATATCTTCTGTATCATTTATATATTATCATATTTCACATGATACATGTTTCACATATGTATCATGTTTTACTGTCTCAAATATGTGAGACAATATGTGATGCACCTCTTATAGGTGCATCAAGTTTTCACATTTGTATCATGTTGTACACATGTGAAAACGTGATAAACATAAGAAACATGTGCTACACGTGAAATTATGTGTAGCATGTGTATCCCCTGTGATACACATGTGATGTATTGTATATATTCCATGTGATAACATGGCTTTCACATGGTTTTTTTAAATTAAACGTTCCAAAGTTACACATATACATGTGCTTCAACATGTGATTCACGTCTTTCACATGTCATTCATACGTGAACATTTGTGTGGAGCTTTCATGTGGTACATGGGTTTCACATATGACTTTCACATGTGAATTTCATGGGATTTTTTGTAAGGGATGTTTTGAATGCTCAATGTTAAGCAACTTGTGAGGATTTGGTGTTAATGAAGTGTCTGTGTTGTCGTGTCTTGATTGTTCCCGGCTGTGCCTCATGTTCCTGATTACTCAATCTGTGTTCAACCTCACTGGTGTCCCGACAAAGATCCAATCAGAAGGTTGGACAAAAGATCCAACCAGGAGGTTGGATCTTTGTCGTGCTTTTATCAGCAGTTGTAAGTCTTGTCACTTTGTCGCGTTCCAGTCTATTGTATTTCCAGTTGCTACCAGCCTCACTGCCCACCTGTGCTACCTGGATTTTTGTGTTTATCTTAATTAAAATCATATTTTCACTACATCCTGGGTTCGTACTATATACTAGTACGAACTAGTACCGTATCTGTTACTTGTTCATGATACAAACGGTAATAGATATGTTCTGGAGCATTCTAGCAGTTTGACTTCTGACACAACTGATCTATTATCCTTTTTCTACCACAATCACAATAGCTTTCTGATTTTCCTCATCCTCTTTCCCTCTTTTGATCTGATGAAGGTTGAAGAGTGTGACTCTGGAAGTTGCACTTCTTTTAGGCCGATATCTCAGTGTGATATTTCTCATATGATTCAGTTTTTCCAGAAAAATTACAATCTGATACCTTCCCTCATACTTGCTCTATGACATGTCAAGATTTCTCACAAGGTTTTTGAAACTGCAGTGTATGACAAAACTGCGTGCATTGTGAAAAGAAATTAGTTGAACGAACTTAATTCAATTGTTTCAATTGGTAAGTAATTCGATTGAGTTTATTCGACTTAATTTATCAAGTTTAATCAACTTCTGTTATGTCTGTCTAACTCTATATATTATGATCAGTTAACTCAATTCATTGAGTTCATCCAACTCAATTTCAGTTTTTTTCTTTACTGAATTAATTAAGTGTGTTTAAAATGACAAATTTAAGTAAGTCTTACTCAAATCATTTAGTCTATTTCAAATAAAGAAGGAAATTAATAAATGATCGCTGTTTAACTTCAGGCGTTTTTTATTTCAGAGTAGTTAGCTGCTTGTCTGCCCTCTCTGTCATTACCCACTTTCCTGTCTAAGGTCATCTGCTAGGAAACAAACTTATGACGGCCGCGTCAACAACTAAGGTGTCCCTGTGTGAGTTGTGTTAGCCCCTGCGCCACCACAGCACCTGGTTGGTACAAGATCTGATGAAGGTTGAGTCATAAAATCATATGTCGAATACAAACCCAATAATGAACTTAGTTGTTTCAAATACACTTTCGAGAGTTCAGTGCCATGTATGTCTTACATCTGACATCGTGACATAAGCCTGCTGTGGTGGTGCAGTGGTTAACTGTAATTCATATAAGGAGATCTTTGTCCTCGATATGGTCATCGCAGGTTTGATTCCAGCCTGATGACCTTTACTGCATGTCTTCCCCTTCTTATTTATTAAGTTAAGCCAAATTAATAAATTAAGTTGGATAAGCTATTTCATTTTTTCAGTGTAGAGGATCTTTGAAAAACCAAAATAACATGTTAAAACATACATTTCAAATGACTTAAATTCTAGTTCTATTTGAAGTACAATGTGAGTCAAAAATTGTGGATGTTTTAATGTTTTAGTTTAGAACAATTTCAAAGTTTGAGTTGACTTTCTGTTGAATTTAATAAAAGAAATCTGAATTATTTATTAGACAGAAATAAATTATTTGACTAAGAGTGACTTAAGTTTGTCATGTTAAACACACTTAATGAATTAAGTTATAAAAACTTAGTTGGATAAACTTAATAATTGGATTGGTCAAATGTAGGATACAAAACTGGCAGTGAACTCAATTGTTTCAACTAAAGTCAAAGCAAAAAGTTCCTTCAAGTTAATTAAGTTAGCTAGATTTGTCATTTTTAAGTTAAATGAACACAAAAATGTAAATTGTCATCACTAAACCATTAAATGAGATTAATAAGTCCATAAAATGAATTACAGCTAAAAAGCACTTTGTAGAATGTGAAAGAATTACAAGCTGGCGTCTAACATACAAGCAATGTTTGCCCCTGTCAGGGTAATGTCCTGCCAGTGATTCCAGAGCTGCAAATAAAAGAATTTCTCCAATCTAAATAGTACAAAATGTTTTTATACTGATGTTGAGTTCTTTTTGGAAAATTGAAACCCATCTCCTATAAAGACAATAACCTCATAAATACATAATATTCATCTCTCTTCAACCATTCTTTTACAGACTGGCACAGGTACCTGGGATCAATAATCAATAATCAATCAAGCTGAAAGAGCAGACATAATTAAATGATACCATAATCTTTCAAACTTTGCCTGTTTTAAAGATTTTTCCTCTGGTAACAACTTCAACCCACCAAGATAATCTCAAAAATGTAAAACTTTAAAACTTTCCAAAGCAGACTTAACAATCCCACTTTCAATCAGCAAACTGGATGTTACAATATATAATCCACCTACTAACACATGTCCAAATTAAATGGGAGATTTACCTGATGACTACGCCTCACTCGCTCACATTGGCTGTTTGTCTCTTTTGCTCCTATCTAAAAGTATGTGAATGAGCATGTGAATCAACAAAGTTTAAATGTAATTTAATATTTAAAAAAGGAACATGGAAATAATGGAGAAAATTTTTGCTTGCTAGAATTTTAATGTGTCTGTCAGTCCAGAGCTCTAAAGGAACCACCTGCAAATTAAAATTATAATGATAGTTTTACATCATTATATTTTTATTTAGTCAATCTAAGGTGGATTTTAAAACCTCATAGTGACCTCGTGTTCTGTTGCGGCCTAAAAATCTTCAAACTAACTTAGGCTGTACTTGTTTTTAAATGACTGAATAGCAAGAAGCAGCTTGAATTTTCAAAACACTTTTCATAAACCATGACGAATGCAAATGTACAAACAGTTACTTGTTGGCTACAACTAAAATCATTGTGACCACTGAAACTTTTTACCTCTTAGCAATGCTAAAACAGTAGAATGCTGTGAGCCACATTGTCAAAGTGTACAAGAACCAGAAGACCAGAGTTTCACCGACAGCAAATTTCAGTGCTTCAACCAGAAGTGAAATAGTTTAGAATTATTTTTATATTTAATGCTTTTCAAAAAAATGATTCATATGGTACTTAAAAGCAATTAAAACACTATTTGAGGAGAATTTTTATTATTACCATTATGGCAAAATAACAAGAAAACCTTAATTTAATAGATAGTTACCATATTTTAAAACTATCCAAGCAAAACAAAGTGACTTTTTCTTTGAGATAGCTACGCTATGAGTTATGTTAAGGTATAAAATACATCTTGGGGAGAGTTTGACTTCCTGTATGTAATCATTTCTGTTTCCAGCAACCAATAAGCCTAACAACACATTCCAAAAATCTATAAGAAGTTATGACTATGTGATGTTATTTAACAGCAAAAAGCTTCTTGAAGTTTCCCAAATAAATAATTTCACATTTATGTTCAGTGTAAACTTTCAACGTAACATCAAGGGTTTCTGTTTCAGCATGTAAATCAACACTTACAAGTGAAGACTATGAAGTTGTTGGATTATCAATGCAAACATCCAAATGAACGTGAATATTTTCCTCTGAACACAAACATTTTGAATTTGATTATTTACTTATCTGATAGGCATTACTTTAACCACCACATCACATTTCCTAAGCGCCACAATAAATAAAATTAAGATGCAAAAAGTTCCTCAGATCTAAAACACAGACTCAGCATTCATTAGACACTCTATCAGTTACATATATATATATATATATATATATATATATATATATATATATATATATATATATATATATATATATATATATATATATATATACAGTTGTGTCTATGTGTAAATGATTTATGGGATGAAGCTGTATTTGCAGCTTGAGTTCAGGAGTCTGCTGACAGCTGAAGGGAAGAAATTATATGATTTTCATTATGTGTGTGTGTGCATACTTGTTAAAAATATTTCTGAAAATACACTAAAATTTCTAACTGTATCCACAATTAAGATAACAAAAACAACAACACTTAGAGCAAATAGATTGGTTCTTTCCTTGCTTCATAAAGAAATGATTTTTGAGAACATTTTGAATCAGGATCAGTAAAGTCATACACATTTTTGGCAAAGAAAATTGCTTCAATGCACTTACTGAAAACCAGAACGTGTTCCAGAGCGAGGTCCTTCCCCAGTTCAGTTCTATTGATCCTTCAGTGGCTTACAGACAAATAAACCCTCCAAAAAGTTACAGATGATCCTACAGATGAGCAGTGTTGTCCAACAGGAGTTAACTACCCGTCTGCCTAAGTGCTACGTAGAAGTTCTTAGGCTTCCTCATTTCAACAACTTCCTTAACAACTTTATTTTTCTACTTCCTTTTTTTGAAATCTGCCCACTGACCATGTCAGCTATACAACAGGAAATAAAGAACATCTCTCTCACATAACTTACTGTTTTTTTAAAACTTTTTCTAAAATGCTTTGATGTCTCAGTACCAGAAAATACCTTAACATCTAAAATACAAACACTGTTGGATTGGCAGTCAAAATACATAATTACAAATATAATTCTTGATAAAGTGAATTTATTTATTGTTTTGTTGCAGTAGACTCAGATGGCTGCGGTTGCAGTAAGCTGTCCTAATCTTGTTGTCACATGCTAAATGCCAGAACGAGACGCAGAACCAAAACAGAAAACAATAAAATGAATCAAATACCAAAGTTTTAAAGTCAAAATAAAAAATATATATATATATATATATATATATATATATATATATATATATATAATATATATATATATATATATATATATATATATATATATATATATATATATATGCATATGTATATTGGAAAAGCTTTAAGCTTATTTTGTATTTATGCTTTCTTCTAGAATGTCACATATTTTATGTCCACTGACATAAAATTCCCTATTCTGTTTAATTCTGTTCTGTTCAGTTCTATTCTAGACATAGTCATATCCTATCCAAGAGTTTTAAAATATAAATGTATTAGACTGTACCAGGTTCTAGAATTATTTGAATTTATTAGTGCAAAAATACAATCTATCATTATTTATTAAACAGGTCAATGCAAAACTAAAATGCTTGTGAAAGACAAGGTGCACTCTAAAATCTGCACATATGAATTAAGTAGAAGATTCAACTAAATACTACTTATTTCAAAAGCTTTTCTTTTATTTATTTTTTTCTTAATGAATTTTGTGTTATGCACAATAAAGGTTTTTTATTCATTTGGAATGAAGGCTTTTCACTTCAGGAAGCAATCAAGGTCCATGTTTTGTCTTCTTTTTTTAGAAACTAATTTAGCAACAAGAACATGTTCAATATAGTTAATTCTCTTAAAAACTGACAGAAACTTTGCAAATTGAAGAACTGATGCAAAGTTGCAATGTATCTGTTGTTTGAAGATTTAAGGTGAGGAACAGAGCTATATTCGACACACCATGAGAGATTGTGCAATGGTGTGACATTTCAAGCTAAAGAGTTTAGAGAGACTTTATGTTCCTCTTCTGGAAGGAGTAGTTTGGGTTCATTTGGAGTCGGTGAACTGAGAAACGGAAAATTTGTGCTATGTGAAGTGCAGCACACATGTTGTGGTCTTTGTCTTGTCGCTTTGCAACTTTACCTAAGTTGCTGTCTTGTCTTCCCCATGGGGGAAGTGAACACATTTCACTTCCTCAGTGGTTCAAAGTACGTCTAAAAATGTCCAAATTATAAACAACACTGGCATATGCACTATCATTTTTGCCTGTGTAAAATCTCCAGCTGTACAGTGAATAACAGAAATTGGTAATTAAATGAACGATTGTCGTGCTAAATAACTCCTGATCAGTTTTATAAGGCTGAAAAGGTAGTAATGTTATTGTTCTTGTCACATATTAATACAATTCTAAAACTAGCATTTCAAAAAGCTACACACTTTAAATTCTGAAGACGAATTACATTTACTCAGACAATTTAGCTCCACCTTGTGGAGGAAAACAGCAGTTCCAAACATTTTACAGAATTTTCTGTCAAGGAGTATTTACTAAGCTTTCAAAAAATAATTGCACTGCTTTAGCGTTTTACAGTGAGGTGCTGATTCTATTCTTTGTGACTAGAAGAGTTTAGATCCTTCAAGAAACTGATATAAGCAGGATAGTATATTATATAGGCAGGAGTCTCTGTGCTTAAACCCATTTTTTATGCATGCCATTCTGTATTAACTTTATAATTTCCTTTATTGGTTTTACTGGTCAATACCAATGTCCCAATCTCTTGCTGATTACTGTATTTTAATTTAACAATTGTATACAGAATAGATAGATAGATAGATAGATAGATAGATAGATAGATAGATAGATAGATAGATAGATAGATAGATAGATAGATAGATAGATAGATAGATAGATAGATAGATAGATAGATAGATAGATAGATAGATAGATAGATAGATAGATAGATAGATAGATAGATAGATAGATAGATAGTAGATAGATAGATAGATAGATAGATAGATAGATAGATAGATAGATAGATAGATAGATAGATAGATAGATAGATAGATAGATAGATAGATAGATAGATAGATAGATAGATAGATAGATAGAAAGAAAATACTTGTTTGAAACAGTTTCTGGCTCCTGCTTGTTATTTTTTTCTCTGCTCAAACTTCAACATAAAATATGGAAAGCAGTGATTGTTTGTTCACTGTATTTTTGTGAAACAAACAGTCATTTGCATGCACCTCACTCATGATGCAGTTTTATATATTGAAATGTTCATTCCATACATGAACTCTGAACCCCAGAAGATGTAGCAAAAGTAATGTAGATGTAGATGTGTCCTCAGGTTGCTCTGGATTTGTGTGGGTCTCCATGTCTAGGATCTGATCAACATGTCTACGCCAGACTGAGTTCAGGTGGAACAATCTCAAATGTTCCACCTATATAAACCAATATCTTAAAAATATATATATTGCAACATATAAAAACATGAAGTTATGTTGTGCAATGTAAGTATTGCAAGCGTTAAACTACAAATTTAAAATGGGCAAACTAAAGTGTGCCTCTGGGCTGGAAACCAGCGTTCTGATGCTGAAAAAAAGCAACAATGCTAAAGTGAACTAAATTGTAGTCAAAAGGATGTAAATTATTATCATTGTGTCTCTAACATGGAGTTGCTCCATTCAGTGTGCTAGAATTGGTGTGTAAACAAAATTAGCCCAAATTATAAGGTTAGCATAATGCTGTCAATAACATGTCAGCAGCAGGTTGATTCAGGGTATTCCAAATTCTCCACATCTGGCCTGTTCTGACTATCAGTGCTCCCTCGTCAGATTTTCCTACTGTAGCACGGATAGATTGTCAGTGCTACGCATCCAAAACTGCTTCCATCATGTTTACAAACAAAAGCTATAGCAGGTTGTTAAAGTTAAATATATTGGATAAGATTATTTGAGTGATGGGACCGAAGTGGAAGCTTAGGAGTTGTGGTTAGCTTATCATTGGAATAATTTATATCCATGACAAAACCAGAAGAAGATCACTTCCTTCATCTGAATATCCTACACTTTTAAAATGAAAAGCTGTAGATATATGCACTAATCCTTTAACTAAAATATCTACCTGTTAAAAAATATTTTAAATACAGAGCTATTTGTAAGAATAAATCGGTATCAGACAAGGGAAACACATTTTTATTGGAATTAAATTAAAGACAAATACAGATCACCGCATCTCTTTTTTGTGCATTAATCCATTGTATGACAGACTTTTCTGGGTGTCTTCTTTGCCTGTTTATGTTAGAAGTAAAAAAAAATGTTAGAACTATCATAAACTCATTTGATGCTGGCATTAACTATAATGTGTGGTTTAAGTGTGGATGTTCCAGTGAACTGCCAGGTAAACACTTCCCTCTGCCACTCGTCCATCCATCCATTTTCTGTACACTCTTGTACCTAGTAGGGTCACCAGGGGTGCTTTCAGCATCTATGCACCAAAAATTTGGAACAAACTTCCAGAAAACTGTAAAACAGCTGAAACACTGACTTCCTTTAAATCTCAACTAAAAACCAGCTGTTTAGAATTTTATTTGAACCGTAATCAATTGAAAATGTAATGATGGAATTTGACTGTGTTTATGAGAACTTTGCTGCTGAAATGTTCTATACCAATAAATTTTGATTGATTGATTGATTGATTGATTCAGAGCTGACATAAGGCATAAATGAACAAAGCAGCTGCTTAAAACCCCCAGAGTCATGTTTAGAGTTTGTCGGTGAACCAAAATGCAGCAGGTGGAGGCGCCAAGTAGATTTTGTGAGGTTTTCAATGAAAAAATGAACAAAATCTTACAATAACAGCCATGGAGAACACAGGGAACCAGAACAGAGCAAATCACAGAAATCTAAAAATGACATTAGGGAATAGATAAGGAGATAACGAGAGGAGGCAAGGAGTGAGAAGGTGTTAAAACACATGCTCATGGAACAATAAAACAATAGGTACACTTAATAGGATATGTGAAAAATATTTCACATGTTCTATAAAGGTGAGTGAATGCTAGAAAAAACAAACTTTTTTTATTTGCATGTCAGAAGGCCTGTTTATGTCCCTCAGCAATAATATTTAGCTACATTTAATAATTTTGCTAAAATAAATCAGTTTGGCTGCCCTCAGTCTAATGACTCTCAGTTTCTCTGCCTTGCAATAGCGGAAAACCCTCCCCACCTTGCCTCTAAATACAGAAATGCTTAGGCTGCAGAGAAACTTCAGATTTTAACGTAATCAGGCTGATAAAAGCACGGAACTCCCCAAATGGTTTTCAGTCGGCCATAATGGAAGTACTGGGGGACGTGGGAGCAACTGTGCACATCGATGATGTTTTTATCGTAGACGACATGGAAGAGGAACATCTAAAAAGGCTGTAAAAAGTGGTTGAAAGTCCAACCAAAGCAAAGCAGGTCTGAAATTGAACCTCACAAAATGTCAATTTGGACAGTTTCAAGTGAATAATCTGGGGTTACAGGTCACATCTGACTTGGGTCTTTCGGATGGATACAGAGAAAAGCTGATGAACATTCAACCACCACAATGATTTACAGAAAATCCTTATGCTACTGTGTCAGAGACCATGTTCCCAACTATGAAAAATATGCAAGACCATTGTACTCCTGCCTGAAAAAGACTGAAGAAGATGAGCAAGGAACCCAAAGACCTTGGACTTGGACAGCAACAAATCAACGACACCTGGAAGAGCTGAGGACAGCAATCCAAGCACAGAGAGATCTGGTATTTAAAAGAACTACTTTAAGTGACTTGGAGGGTTTTAACTGTAAAGGTTAAAGATTTTCAGTCTGAGGTTCCTTTAGGCAGGGAATCAGTCTGAGATTCGAATTAGGACCGCTGTATTTCATATTTCTGTTTTTTTGTCAATTTTCTTGTAGTGATCCGGACAGGTAATGTCCTGTTCTGCAGAACCCGGGGCCAGACACATTCTGGATGGAGACAGGTGTAAAGATAATATTTGGTCCCTGGCCTCAGACCTCAGAAACGCAAAGTGATGGATCCTCTGGGAAGTCAGGAGCAGGTGGCTTAAATGTAGTGAGGTCTGCTACGTGAGTGCTAAGGAGAGACGTGCCGAGGCGAACCTGTTGATTCATCCCATCTGTAAATTTAAGAAACTCTGGTCTGGAAGACGTTTCTTCATTGGTATCTATTGAATCCTGTGAATGATTGGAGGAGCAGAGAGGGAGGGGGGAAGCAGTCGCTCCGTCTCCAGTCGATTTATCAGCTTGTTTTGGAATATTATCCTCCTGATATGCAGCGGGCTCCATCCTAGTCAGACATCCTTGAGCCTGTTCTTCTGAAGCGGTGATCCTGTTGCTGTCCTTGTTGATAAAATAAAAAAGGTTTGCAGCGAGTAGCTTTATCCCATATTTTAAGATTGCGTCCTCCTCTTCCAAAAAGGTGAAAGCGCTGCCAATACATCCAGAGGTTATCAATGAAGGTCACTGAGCTGGTAGAGCAGCTTTTAATCAGCCATTTGTTGATCGTGAGCAGACTGGAGTGTTTTTCGTCTCCCCATTTAGGTGATGGAATGGACCACTGAGAAATAACTTCATTTTTATATTTTCCATAGTGTTCAGAAGAATATTAAAGTCCTTTTTCAGAATCTCAGACTTTTGCTTTGCCAGATCTTTGGCTCCAACATGCACAACTAAAGTCTTAATATCTGGCTGATCAGTGGTTAGAGAAAGCAGTTGTTGGTTAAATCAGATACAGTGTCACCAGGAAAATACATCACTCTTGTTTTCCTGGGATTGCAAACATCACTGATTCCCTTTACTGCCTCATCTCCAACAATAAGCACTTTTGGGTTACCTTTAGTTTTCCTGGTGGTCCATTTGTCCTTTGGAGCTTTGGGGGATGGATGTGTTGGTCTTGCCTCACTGTTGATGTTTGAAGGCAAAGTTTCACTCAGACTCAGGCTAGAGTGCAGAAAATCTGTTTTTCAGTGGGATTCCCACAGAGTCAGAATGTTTTGAGGCTCTTGCTGGTTGCTTTGTCCCTGGGAGCGGGGTTGATGGAGGCGTTTTGGTTGCAGCTGCTTGTTTGTCTTTCTTTGGCGGAGCAGGTGTTGAAGTTGAAGGTGGGTTTCGGCTCAGAGCCGGCCACCCTGATTCGTCCAGGTGCGGGGTTCTACCTGATAGTCGTCTCATCGGATCCGCAGTGCGAGATTCCCGTTTCGGCTTGGCACCCAGAGCGTTCCAGGGTGAGCTGCTCGGTGCAGGGCGCACGACCTCTCCGCTGATTTGAGGAAGAGTTGTTTCATTTCTATAGGCAGCGTTGATCTCAAAGTTCACCTCCAGCAGTTTGATCTTCATTTCTATAGACTGAAGTCGTTGTACAATACTGCTCATGTCCTTGGGGTCAGCCGGAGGCATTTTGCCCTGGTTTAACTTGGAGGTAAAGAAAAGTAAAGTAAAAATAAAAGTAAGAAAATCCCCCAGTCCTTAGGTTTGGAGTAATCCAGTTAAGATGTCAATAATGTAAATATGACTATCAAAACTGTCGCCTTAAAATTAAAAATAATTCACAGGCAGAGTTATCAGTAAGGACGAGAGAGAGCAAGATAAGCTGTTCCTCCTTCGGCAGTCCTGTGACAAGCATTGTTTTTTATGTCTACTGGCTTATTACTTAATTGACATGATACCATCTTTTAATCTTTCTATGGCTGGGGTCTTAAACTGCAGTCCTCGAGGCACGGTGTCCTGCAACTTTTAGATGTGCCTCTGCTGTACCACACCTGAATAGAATAATTAGGTCATTAAGGCTCTGGAGAACTTATCTACAGAAGGAGGAGGTAATTAAGCTATTTCATTCCTGTGTTTTGTATCTGTGGCACATTGAAAAACTGCAGGACAGTGGCCCTCGAGGACTGGAGTTTGACACCCCTGGTCAGAGGGTTTATCAGCAAGTGACCAATTGGTAGTTGCAATTTTCCCTGAAGTATATGCTTCTTATCTTGAGGAACTGAACCTCTGACAACGTTGCTGGGCTTCATCTTGCTAACGAATTGCAGTCAAAGAAATTTAGAGGAAAATAATAGGAAATTCTGGTCAAACGTTGTGAGTAGGAACATGCAATCCCGACAGCTGTTATCCAGCAGTTAGAACATGGAATCCAATTTATTACATTTGCAAAAGGAATCTGGCAAAATGTAAGAGGTGGATTAAGGCTAGCAGCTGACCTCATGTGCAGTTGAATGAAACTATGATCACCAAATACTACATGTTCTTCTGTATAAAGGTAACTGGTTGTAAATGCAACTGGGGTCTGTATTGATATTGGTGTAATTAAATGAAATGTGTTTCTTTCATGCATTTGTCTGTTCCTGTGTTACCCTGTGACAATCATTGGGGGTTTGTTCCTCATGGTCACCTCACTTTTTTCTTTTGTCCAGGCTCCTCCGAGACTGTTCTAATCCTTCCTTTTGTTATTTATTTCACTGTGAAGAGGCAGGTTTTATGATCCAGCACATAAAGTTTTTTCACTTTAGGATGTAATAATGCCTAACAGATAAGATAAGGTCATTTTATTAGTCCCCCATAGGAGAAATGCATCTTGGAAGCAAGAGCAAAACTGCAATACAACGATACAAAGCCCATCCAAAACGACAGTAACCATGACTAAATACATAAAAACAGAAAAAAAAAATCCATCAAAGCAAAGTATCAGATCAGCATTACGTCCCCATTATCATTTCCATTCACATACAATACATCCTCTACATCCTACTCTTGGTCATCGTCTGGACCTGCTGTTACTCTGTCCAGGCCCCGCTAGTCTGCCATTCATCAGCTTGATGGAGAGTGAAGGTTTCAGACGGTTATATTTGCACAGGGGAACTCTCAACCTTCTCCCAGAGTTCATAAGAACGTGTTCTGATGCCAGCACGTTATTAGACAAGATGCAGTTCTAATTGCAACTTTCTACAGTTTAATCACAACTAATAAATACTAAGTGCAAAAATAGTTGCACTTAATAACTTCTGATAATTCTGAAAAAGAATGCTTTGAGTTAAATAATTGTTAACAAACTAAAATACAGATTATTAGTCTTGCTTTAAATATGGCCAAGTATTCATTTCATTTACTTTGCATATTTATTTTTCACAAAGGAAGAATGCCAGTGTTTTACGTAGAAATGTATTAAATAGACGTCCCTACTGCTGCACAGCGGGGCGTCCTGCTCCTCAAACATCACCTGCTGTCACCCAGACATTTCTTCACACGCCACCCAGAGGAAACTGTGATGGATTCAGACCTGCCGATAAGAACAGACACGACATTTGATCGCAGCCAAAAGGCCGGGAATCAACTAACCTGACTGCGTAAGTCATACCGGATTTTCAGAATAATGTCGAAATGAACTGCAGTGAATCAGAAATGCAGCCCTTATAGGACTGCGGTCCGCAGCTCTTATTTTTCTGTGAAAGAAAGAATGACCCTGGTTTGTGCTACAGACAATTCTATATCGTTTTTACAGAAATGTGAAACGAACCTGCAAGGACGATGATCCTGGTCGAGGCTCGCAGAGCTCGGTCGCAACATAAGCTGCACAAATCCTGCAGTCCGAGTCGGAGTCCTGCCTGCTTATGGGACACCGCATCATTTGGTTCAGCTCAACTTAAGCATTGCTCTAGTACAACGTATGCTTTCAACATGTTTGGTAGGTGCTTCATTCCGCAAGCAAGTGGTTCAGTGGGTGGAGAAGAGGAGGAGAAGACGAGGAGACGAAAAGAGGACAGGAGAAGGAGAGGAGGAGAGGAGGAGAGGAGAGGTTTTTCATCATAGTCACCCAGAACCGCTTCATGGAGCAGGTAGGTAACTGCAATGACTGGAGCATTTTTTGGCACTATAGAGTGAAACTGGGGAAATGATAGCGTTTCCGGTGTCATGCAGAGACTTGCATGCCCTGGTGCGGGAACGTGCATCGCTCTAAACTCTAAAAACTGAAAGAAATATGACCGAAGAGAAGAGACATGCGTTTCTCGGCGGAACAGCAGCGCACCCTGCGATTTGATGCATCATCCGCCCACTGACTGAAATGTTACATTGATAAAACAGAGAAACTTAACTGGATATTTACTACTTTCTGATTTGCATACTGAAGTTAACATTTCTACCGAGGTAGCTGCTTCCTTGTTCCCTCCGCATTTACAGTGGTATGTTGCTTTTTATTTTATTTTTAGTATTTTTTATTAGGTCTTTTATTTATTTTATTAAGCTGCAGTTGTTTTCACAGGATTACAAACTTCAACCTGAAGAAGCACTTTATGCATTACTGGACCAACATGCCTCCCAGCTCCAGAGCTCATTTAGGAAGAAAGCTGCTTACACCGGAAAAGTGAATGATGTTCTGTCTCAGCTCTTCAGAACACATGATGTCCAGGTTAGTGTTTTTTATTATTTTATTATTCGCTTTTATTAAGTTTGACCTGTTTTTTATTTTACAAAATAAACCAATAAATGGAAGAAAATGTTCTTATTATTCAGGAATGCTGATATTCACGAATGACTTGCTGTTCTTCACACCATTTCTCCCTATTTGCACAAAGACTCCTCCACCTTCATCAAAACGTGGGATGTAAGTTTTCAGCAAATTTACCAATATCCTTTATTAACCTTGTTCATATTTCCCAAAACATAACACTTTGAAAGTGTGAGAGAAAGTATCTCCATCCCTTGGGTCTGTCTACAACATTGTCCAAGTAATGTCATCAAAAACAACTATTTATGCTAGTCCTTAAGATTATCATAAATAATGTTAGTAATTTAAGACTGTCAATGCCAACTGTCATTTATTGTCATATGTTATTATTATTTTTACTTTATTATTTGAATTTTTATTGTATATTATGTTGGGACAAACAAAATGTTCCCCCATAGGGGATCTTTATCTTATCTTGTCTTGTAATTTTCTAACCCAACCAAAGATCACTGTACAGTTTACACTGCTTAAAATTGGATTTCCAATGTGACTGTTCCAATGTCACAGGACAATGTGACTTTTCTGAAAATTTGTTGTATTTTGGCTTGTTGTAGTTGAAACAATTCATTTCTGAGCTAGATGTAATCCAGAAATGTAATTTGTATTGATGAGACTAAGAGGAACAGGAATGGTCTAACAAGGAGAATTGACACAGTCCAATTAACCAAACTGTGGGAGGAAGCCAGAGTACCCGGAGAGAACCCACCATGCACAGGGAGAACATGCAAACTCCATGCAGAAAGACCCCGGGGTGCGAATTGAACCCAGAACCTTCTTGCTGCAAGGCAACAGTGCTTCCAACTTTGCCACTGTGCTGTCCACCTTGCTTCTGAATCACCAAAATGTTTGTCCTGCACATTCAGCTTTATTCAGAAAGTCTTGATGAGGTGGAGGATGGAAAGTTGAAGCCCAGAGTTTGAAGTCTTAAGAATGACTTGTTAGCAGCAGAATAATGTCCAGCCTTGAAGTGTTTGTTAAATCAAGTTTTTCAGGATATCAATTTTCAGTCTGGAGAAATTTGAAAAAATTAGAATAGAGAAAATGTTATTTGAAGAATTTACTTTGTATTCATCACTGAACTGACCATATTCTCCCACTAGCTCAGGTTATAACAGGAAATAATATTAGCTACCATAACTATGCAGATGACACACAGCTCTACATTATGATGTCACCAGGTGACCTTTGACCCCATCCAATCACTGAATAAATGTTTAGAACAGATAAATGTGTGGATGTGCCAAAACTTTCTCCAGCTGAACAGAAACAAAACTGAAGTCATTATTTTTGGACCTAAAGAGGAACGATCTAGAGCTATAGATCTAGAGCTATAGATCTAGAGCTATAGATCTAGAGCTATAAATCTAGAGCTATAGAACTAGAGCTATAAATCTAGAGCTATAGATCTAGAGCTATAGATCTAGAGCTATAAATCTAGAGCTATAGAACTAGAGCTATAAATCTAGAGCTATAGATCTAGAGCTATAGAACTAGAGCTATAGATCTAGAGCTATAGATCTAGAGCTATAGAACTAGAGCTATAGATCTAGAGCTATAGATCTAGAGCTATAGAACTAGAGCTATAGATCTAGAGCTATAGAACTAGAGCTATAGATCTAGAGCTATAGATCTAGAGCTATAAATCCCGAGGCATTCCCAAGCCAGCCGAGAGACGTAGTCCCTCCAGCGTGTCCTAGATCTATAGATCTAGAGCTATAAATCTAGAGCTATAAATCTAGAGCTATAGATCTAGAGCTATAGATATAGAGTCAATGCACAGCTTCAGTTATTACAACTAAAAACTAGCGATCAGGCCCGACATCTGGGAGTAGTGATGGACTCAGACTTGAACCTTGCGAGCCACATAAAGACAGTAACAAAGTCGGCCTTCTATCACCTGAAGAACATCTCCAGGATTAGAGGACTAATGTCTCAGCCAGATCTAGAGAAACTCATCCACGAGTTTATCTTTAGTCGCATTGATTATTGTAACAGCGTCTTCACAGGCCTGTCCAACAAATCAATCCTCCAGCTGCAGCTGATCCAGAAGCTGCTGCTCCTGTTCTCACTAAAACCAGGAAGATAGAGACATAACAGCAGTTTTAAAGTCCCTCCACTGGCTCCCTGTAGCTCAAAGAATAGATTTTAAATACTGTTGTTAGTTTATAAATCACTGAACGGTTTAGCACCATAATACATCAAAGATCTGCTGTTGTATCAAACTTCCAGACTCTCAGGTTCTGGTTCTGGTTCTGCTTTTTATCCCCAGAACCAGAACCAAGAGAGGAGAAGCAGCTTTCAGCATCTATGCACCAAAAATTTGGAACAAACTTCCAAATTTTTATTATCCAAATTTTATTTTATCATGTAAGACAGCGGAAACACTGACTTCCTTTAAATCTCGACTAAAACCACACCTGTTTAGAATTTTATTTGAACCGTAATCAATTGAAAATTTAATGATGGTGCTTGACTTAATGTATTGTTTATTCTATGTTGCATGACTTTGTGATTATGATGTAAAGCACTTTGAAATGCCTTGCTGCTGAAATGTGCTATAGAAATAAAATTTTATTTGATTTGCACTTGCATATTGTATGTATTACATACTTTAATATTATTGTTTATATTTGCAATGCTTTGCCAGCTCCATCCATCCATCCATCCATCCATCTTCTGCTGCTTATCCGGGATCGGGTCGCGGGGGTAGCAGCTTAAGAAGGGCGGCTTGGGAATGCCCGAGGCATTTCCAAGCCAGCCGAGAGACGTGGTCCCTCCAGCGTGTCCTGGGTCCTGGTGGGACGTGCCCATCCTAACCAGATGCCCGAGCCACCTCAACTGGCTCCTCTCGATGTGGAGGAGCAGCGGCTCTACTCTGAGCCCCTCCCGGATGACCGAGCTTCTCACCCTGTCTCTAACGGAGAGCCCAGCCACCCTATGGAGGGAACCCATTTCGGCCGCTTGTGTCCGCGATCTCGTTCTTTCGGTCATTACCCACAGATTAGGGTGGGAACGTAGATCAACCGGTAAATCGAGAGCTTCGCTTTTTGACTCAGCTCTCTCTTCACCATGACGGACCGGTACAGCGCCCGCTTCACGACGGACGCTGCACCAATCCGCCTGTCGATCTCCCGCTCCCTTCTTCCCTCATTCGTGAACAAGATCCGAGACACTTAAACTCCTCCACTTGGGCAGGACATCTCCCTCAACCCGGAGAAGGCACTTTACCCTTTTCCGACTCAAGACCATGGTCTCGGACTTGGAGGCACTGATCCTCATCACGGCCGCTTCACACTCGGCTGCGAACCGCTCCAGCGAGAGCTGCAGATCACGTCCCGATGAAGCCAATAGGACCACATCATCCGCAAAAAGCAGAGATGCAATCCTAAGGCCACCAAAACGGATCCCCTCAACACCCTGGCTGCGCCTAGAAATTCTGTCCATAAAAGTAATGAACAGAATCGGTGACAAAGGGCAGCCCCGGCAGAGTCCAACCCTCACCGGGAACGATCCCGACTTATTGTCGGCAATGCAGACCAGACTCTGACACCGGTCATACAGGGACCTGACAGCCCGTATCAAAGGGCCCGGTACCCCATACTGCCAGAGAACCCCCCACAGGACTTCTCGAGGGACACGGTCAAAAGCCTTCTCCAAGTCCACAAAACACATGTAGACTGGTTGGGCGAACTCCCGTGCACCTCCAGGACCCTGCTGAGGGTGTAGAGCTGGTGCAGTGTTCCATGACCAGGACAAAAACCACACTGCTCTTCCAAAAGCTTTGCCAGCTGTTTGGGCTAAATATATGTTAAGTGCTTGCTGAGCTGTAAACGCCATTAATGTACGGCAAGGAGAAGCCGTCCATTAAAGTTGATCAAAACAATGCTTAATCAGACGAGCAGAAGGTGGAGTGTTGGAAAGAGACGTACATAATCACTTTCATGATGTACAAAAGTATTTGAAATTTAGTGCCTATCTCCAGCTAACATTCCGGGCAAGAGGCGGGGTCACCCTGGACAGATTGGCAGTCTGTCGCCGGGCAACACAGACACAGACAGGACAAACAACCATCCACACATGCACACACTCATGTGTGCATCAGTCTGATTTATGGTTTTATATTGTACATGTAAATATCAGCAAAATATATTATTTTTGGCTAATTGATAACGTTAATGTTAGGGTAATTAAGTGCTCGCAATGTTACGAGATCTGTCTATGAATTGTACAATTTCTAAGATTTTCACAATAAATTTATGTGTTTTATTCATTTTATAACTGTAAAAATGACATTAAATTAGTTTTTTGAGTTATGGTTATTAAGTTTACTTTCTAGGACAAAATAATGCTTTGGATATTACGGTCTGCAATAGTTGGTATTTCACATTTTTTTAACCATGAATTTTATGCATTTTTTACAGTGTAAGGCCACCAAAAAGGATCTCCTAGGGATCTATCCAGGGGAACTGAATAGGGATGGTGGTTAGGCTTCGGGTACTGACCCTAACCCTACCTATTGAAAAAAAGGGTCTCTGCAAACTGTGTTCCAACTACAGAGAGATCACACTCTTAAGTCTCCCAATAAATATCTGTTCAGAGCTTCTGAAGAGGAGTGTCCATTGGACAGTCAAACCTCGGATTCAGGAAGAGTAGTGTAGTTTTTGACCTTGTGGAACACTGGATCAGCTATACACCCTCAACAGGTTTCTGGGGGATGCAGACGTATTGGTGTGGCATCTTCAGCGAAGTGACCACTGTACCTGTCTGTAGTGGTGAAGAGAGAGACTTGGTCAAAAGGCAAATCTCTAGATTTACTGGTCAATCTACTTCCCTACCCTCATCCATAGTCATAAACTTTGGGACCTGACCGAAAGATTACAGATGAAATTAGCTGAAATGAGTTTTCTCCTCTGGGTTATCAAGCATCTCTAGAACTCATTACCTTTCCATCTCGGAAAAATCGATTCACTCTCCTGTGACAAATTACAACTCAAAACATATTTGTTCAAAATAATTTTTCTACTTTCTGCTTTCTGCTCTTTCTATCTTGGTAATTTTATTATTGCGTTGTTCATCTGTTCATCCATCCATCCATTTTCTTCTGCTTATCCGGGGTCGAATTGCGGGGGTAGCAGCTTAAGAAGGGAAGCCCAGAGACTTCCCTCTCCCCAGCCACTTCTTCCAGCTCCTCCAGGGGGAACCCAAGGCGTTCCCAGGCCAGCTGGGAGACAGCCTGAGTTCTTCTTGGGGCCTCCTCTCGGTGGGACGTGCCCAGAACACCTCATCTGGGAGGTGTTCTGGTGACCTGGACCTTTTATTGTCCAGGTCACCTGAACGCCTCCCATAACGCACCGTCACGCCATGGTGACAGTTTTAACATTTTCATAATTTACATACAGAACCTAAAAGAAATTGGGTTTGTAAGGTGCTTATAAAAAAATTACTTTTTTATTATTAAAATAGTATGATTTAAGATAGAGCTACGAGGCATTTTAAGATTATTTTTATTAAAAAGTAGTTATTTTGGACCAGCTATTTTGAAATAGCTGTCTAAACAGCTATTAATTATTTTGAAACATGAAGCATGGTTTCCTAAACATTCTTAAGCTATTGTCTGCTGCTGGATTTCTAACTGTTTACTAGGTATAGTTACCTAGGTATATAAAGTTAAATCTCTTCCTATGCAACAAAACTGAGGGAGAGTGTTAGTGGTAGAGACAGCCATATTTTTGAAGGTTTTATTGGCATTAGTGACCTTTATTTCATAGTGAATAGACAGGAAAAGAGGTAATGTCAGGACAGACATACGGCAAAGGTCGCCAGGCCGGGAACCGAAACTGCGACAAACTAAAGCCTCCATGTGTGGGTTATGCTTAAGCCCTGCTCCACCACAGCACCTCGACAACCCTGTGAAATGGAATTCACCACTGATTTAAGAGTGAACACAACTGATCAGGTCCTGGAGGTGTGACGTCATTGCGTGGGGTTTCCTTCGTGTGTAGTGAACGTTACGTAGTCATGACTGAGGCCGGTTGTTTTAGGAAGTCCATGGGCCGCTAAACCTGGCTTTGCTCCCTGTAATGCGGTTTAGTGGATGTCTTTGGTATCAAGCGGGCAGTGATAGCGGCCCTCCAACAGCCCCGCCGTCTTCAGTCACCCAGAGCTTCTCTGACTGTGCGACCTACCGGGAACTGCAGCTAGCTTGAAGCAGCGTTAGCTCATGCTGCTGTCTTCACAGCAGATTTCTTGAGGACCAAAGGAGCTCTAAAACTCTGAAAATCGCATTTTGACAACTTTTTGGAGAGGGTTGTATGTAACACGAAATAAGGTACGCTAATCGATTTGGTTTTTCTAGGCATAAATGAATGAAAAAGTCAGCTAATGTTCCATACCAATGCGGCAAAAACCGCGAGAAGTGAAGAGCAAATGAAAACAAGATGGGAGAAGGTGAAGTTATGTTAGCTGCTTTTGGTTAAATAATCAAAGCGGTCTATACGCAATAGTCTGGTTTACTGTTCCGGTAGATGTTTTCTTGACTATTCACAATGGTTGGTAAAATGTGATGTGTAGTTGCTTTGGGGAAATTGATATTTTTATTGTGCCAGTATTAACATTGTATTATTATGTTAGCTTCCATGCTAGCCTCGTGCTTTGTAGCCTTAGCTGACACTTGTACACGGATCCCCAACAGTAACAGTTGCTATTTCTTTATCCAAGATGAACTAGAGTAAAACGAGACAGGTATTATATTACGTGGTATTGGATTACACTGTATTTGACGTTAAGACAAACCAAACCTTTTATTGTTTAAATTAATCAATTCCAAAGCGCAGATCTAGTAGTTCATATAGTTTAGCAAGAGCATAATTCTTTAACAGCTAACACACTTTAATGACTCAATTCGTCCCGTATAGAGAAGAAAACGAGCGTTGTCCTTCAATGAAGTCGGATTTTGAACTAGTCGCTGGCGCGGAGCGGACATCTCGCCCCGCCAATAGCCGAGTTCACTTGCGTCAGTAGTCAGATATAGCTTGTTGGCTAATGCTACAAGGTTAATTGCAGCCGTGCGTTATAATGTCTTAGATAGATAAACAGTCACTTATTAGGTGATTGACATTAGGCACTTGAGTTATTTCGTATAGAGAAGGCATATTTTTTGATGTTTTATGACCGTGGAACACGGGTGCTTTATAGGCCTCTCAGGCCTCAGAGTGCGGTGGTTTCGGTCGACCGTGCTCTCATTTTAACATCACAAGCTAAACAGGAAGCGTCGCTGGTTGCCGCTAGCTACGGTTGGGCTTAAGCGCTATAGTTAAGGAGGACGAACATTCAAAAAAGGTGAAAAATAAGAAAGATTCCCAGAATGATCTATTAGTAGAAGTAAGTGAAAAGATTGCAGTTAAATTCATTTTATTCATATAGCACTGATTGTCAAGTATTATCACTGATTGAAAACACTTCACAAAAACAGATCCAATTGATAAACACAATTGTTTCAAATTAAATTTGAACTGAAATGAGATTATTCTTCCAAATGGTAAAATTCAAGTAAACTCAACATTCTGAATCATGTCATGCTTGCAGCAATCAGTCCTATGTAAAGGCAATTTATGAATCAACTTTGCACTCATCCCTTATATTGAGTGTGCATTGAAATAAAGGTAGAATGAAAAATGTTCTTTTAATAGGAAGAATCCTTGAACTGAACTGGTCTCAGTGTGATCGACCTTTGGAGAGATTAATTTTATGATTTCCAAAGTAGAATGAAGTTTTCAATTTGTTTTAACAAATCACTGTTTATTGCAGAGAACCAGCATAATTATTCTAGACATAAAACTAAAGGTGTACAGTTAGACCTTCAAAGCATTGAAATATTCCTTTCTGGACATTTCGAATCAGCTGTTGAATCAGATGTTGACAAACAGAATTGTGTTAAAATCAGTCACTCATATTTCCTCTTGTTAGGCCTGTCACGATTTTACTGGGCGATTAATTGTCTCAAAGAATTATTGCGATAAACGATAATATTGTTTGAAAACCTTTATACACTGATTTAATGGAAATTATATAATAATACATGCGGTTTCCTGCCAAAGATAGATACATTTTATTTTCAAAAGAACACTTAACACTGGGACTGACACACAAAAAATATAAGACAACCAAAAATAAAAATAAAATAGATTCTTAGTCTCCATTAACAATAAATGTACTTGAATAAAAACTAAACAACATGAAGCCAAAGTGGAAATAAATACTGCATTCAACCAAAAGACTGCAGATTATGAAGTCTGTATTGTATATTGCCCTTCAGTAATAATTAGATTTAAATAGAGAAGAATCCGACTGCCTGGTGCAAAAGTTCAAACTACAGGATTTTTACCCAGAACGACAATCTGAGAACGTTCTTCGTTCTGAGATTGTCCTTGTGTGTTACGGTAGATCGTTGTGGCCGCTCCGATCTAAATCAAGAATTTATTCAGATTGGGAGCTGAACGCAGCCTGTCGAATGTGACCGGTAGCCAATCAGAAAGCGCGGATTCCCTCCTGCTTTCTGAGGGGAAACACGGAGGGAATCCCAAACAGCTGACACGGTGCAACCCGAAGTCCAGCAGACATCGGAGATGATATGTGGAAACATGAAAGTTTATTCAACATTTCTTGCAAAGAAAATATAAATAACTGGGGGAGGAGTTGAAGCGAAATTACTACCAGAAAACCCGGTAACTTTTCAGCTGTTCTTTGTTAAAGTGACATAAATAGGTTATAATGATTTTCATTCAGTCAGGACTGACACTAGCTGCATGCATTGCAGGTAGATTGTAGTAAAGCATTGATTGATGCCTGGTTTTAAAATTAGTGAACTGGACTTAATATTTTGTGTCCATTGTTGGACACAACATGGTTCGATCGAACCGTTATAGCGAGGCTTTCTGTCGGCTGATGTGTCTCTCAGGTTTTGATAAAGGGCCGACAATCGGCCACAAGATGGTGCAGCGCTTGCTGGGCCTTACACTAAGAAAATAAGGAAGGGAGGGTCAGTGGAGAGCACCGGAGTTTAGTGTCATCAACAGTAAGAGAAAAGGGCAGGAAGAAACGATATAGCCGATAATTGAAACGAGGTCGATAGTTTTAATTTATCGTGCGATTAATTGATTTATTGTTCATCGCGACAGGCCTAGCACTTGTTCCATGAACGTTAATGTACCAACAATAAGATTTAAAACATGAAAAAGACTCACTGAATTTTGCATGTGATATGTTTAGAAATACCTGTAGGGAATAAATGCTCTGCTGTGGACAGGCTGCATTCAACGTGCTGGAAGAAAGAAAAGGCAATTTTCACAATTTCCACTGCAGTTATTCCAAGTGGAAATGTCATTCTTTTAAATTCTTCCTTTTCTCATGTAAATCATTCATTTATGGTATTTAAAGTAGAACTATAATGCTTCGTTATAGAATTCAGACCCCTTGTTTTGTTGTGATCTTTTTAAATGTGAAAGAGACACTTCAAGCCCCGCCCCCTGTAGGTCCACTTCACTCCATTTGGCCATATTTGTAGTCTGATAGCAGCGATGTCCATAATTATATACTGGCAGAGAAACCTTTTATTCCAAAGTTTATTAAAGATGTCAACAATAGAAGACTTGTCCATCCAGTCTCAGAGTCTGACCCAGAGCAGGAGAATGAAGATGACCAACCTGCAGAACCACATATCCAAATAAATGCATCACAGTGGTGTGATTGGTGTATTTTACAGTCTTTCTATCCACGCTAATTACATACACTATGGAGTTTCCATGGACGTCAGAAATCTATTGAAATATTAATGGTGCCATAATGTGAATGCAGTAGGAATGCAGGATACGGTTTAGGACAGCAATTCTGTTGAAGCCAGGAAATGGCTGCAGCTGAACTCTCCTAAACCATAAAACTATAAGGAAGGGAAATTTTTGTTAAAAACTTTGAAAAATAGAAAAAAAAGGACATAAATTTAATAAATGATATTCCAGTGTGTGCTGAAAATATTGGTTTTAACTATATGCTGACTAGTCAAGACAGCTGGGCTCCTGCATGTGGAGGGAGCACATGCAGAATTTTCTTTCCAACAGATTTCATGATTTAAAGAAATGTGGTCTTCTATGATTCATCACTCAACATAACTAGCAAAACTCCAGTATTAGTTCTGACTGTTTAAAAAAAATTAAAAAATAACCAACATTCTCTCTTTCAGGTTTATTTCTGGGAACTTTTTTTTTACCAGTGGTTTGCACATCCCTGTTGTGGAGTTCAAGATGGCGGGACGCAGTGAAGATGAAAGTGTGAGCAATAGCAATGGAGAATCAAGGTAAAGTAACTCCTTACAGGACAACTGCACACTGAACCTGATGGCCACATGTGAACATTCTGTTTGTGTTTTGCACATTTAAAGCAAATAATACCATATAAGGTATTTTTGAAAACTTTGTCTTGGCTGTATTGCAATTATTTTTAATTGACTGCACATTTATGTTGTTTTTCATCATTGTTCTGATCATTTTTCTGACTATTGAAAAAATTGACATTAGTATCCTAAATTTAATTAATTTAGTTTTTGCTTATGTCTTGTTTTATTTGAGTTAATTTAATGTAAATTCAGAGGATTGAAATACTGGCTATAAAAGGAGATTTTTTAAGGCTTCCTGCATGTTTATGGAAAATCCTGCTGTACAAAAACATTACACTAGGACAGTGGTTCTTAACCGGGGTTCGATGGAACCCCAGGGGTTCGATGAGTCGGTCTCAGGGGTTTGGCTTCAGAGGATCACATGACATTGCTTGGCCAATCTGTGCTGTGGGGAATTTAGTACGTGCAGTATTCAATGGCTGTAGTAGTTGTATGTCGTGTGGTTTCTTTCTCACTATTTTAATCCATATTAAACGTGTCGAGCTAAAAAAGAAAATGGTCGGACAAATATGTACAACTGGGGTGCTCAATACATCAGTCGAAGGTTTTAAGTCGATTGATGTCGATTGATCTCGGCAGCAGGTGACAAACTGAGTGCCAGGACGCTGAGACCTCTTGACAGGCTTATCAAAAATATTCACTAAGATCCAAAAAGTTTGTAGCTTCATTAAGGAATACCAATTAAAAAAAATCAACAAAAAGTGTTAAAATTAATAATCAGTAATTATTGTTTCAACAAGGTGTTGCGCAGTTCAGTGCATGTTGGTGCTATTAACAAAAAAAAGAAAAAAAAGGTGACTCAAAGACAGACTGAGGAGCAGAGCAGGAGTTTAAATGAGCTGATCAACCACCGCTGTGTTCATGAGAGGCTTATTAATAATCGAGAAATAAATATCAAACCTGGAAACCTCATATCATAACGGACTGAATGTTATGTTTTTAACGTAATCTCTGCTGGGCTTGTAGGGCGCAGGCGGTTGCTACGGCAACAGTATGTTTAAAACAATAAACAGACGGAGAGTAAAAATGTGCGAGTGGTTTTGAGCTGATCACCTGTTTGTGTTGTTTCACCTCTATTTACCTTTGCTGTCGTCAATAAACAACAAATTTGGACCAATGACCTCGTTCATTTGCAGTAAACGTCATAACAAACATCAAATAGGACAAATATATTTAAGTTTTGACAAACAAATGTCTTCTACCACAATAATTCTGTGAAATTAAATGAATTATATCCCAAGTTCAGAAGATGTGCCTTTACTTTAACAGAGCTCTTTGGTTCCTCTCATCAGGCTGAAGTTTATCATATTCAAACCAAATTTCATAACTGACTGACACCTGCTGGCCTCAGGTTTGCAACCAGCTTCTGACTGAGAAACCAGTAACTTTAGAATCTCACTGAGGAAGAAAAAGCATTAGGTCTTCTGTCACTTTATCATTTCTGATATAACTGAAATGATAGTGACATAAATGTATATTCGTATAGAAAATGAGTCAATAGGGTTTAATTTACAACTTTTATGTCTTCGTTTCATGAGGTAGATCTCAGCCGGCTGGTAAGAGAAAAAGTAATGAAAAAAAATATTTTTGGGGGCTGAAATTCTTTTATGGAACCAAAATATTTTTGGGGACCAGAATAAAGTAATAGCGTAATTTGTTGTGAGTTCATGCACTGTGTTAGTTTTGTTCTTTGAGCAAGGTGATGTTCATGCATGACTCATTTTGTGCACCAGTAAAAAAAGCATATGCCTATGTCTTGAATTTGGAAATAAAGTCCTATTTTATTGATCACTAAAGAAGGGTTCAGTGAATGCGCATATGGAACTGGTGGGTTCAGAACCTCAGAAAAGGTTGAGAACCGCTGCACTCGGATTACATGGATGTAGTTATATTTTTGTAACATGCCGATGCAAACATTAACAAATAGGTTTTAAGCCAGCTTTATTTCTATAATCTTTTTCAATAAATCCCACAAACCATAAAACGATCTGGAATAAAACCAATTCAAAAATAAAAATAATCAGATTATTTTATGCATGTACATTATTGCTAGCAGACCTGTTCTACCAGAACCACAAATATGTACTGGAAATACTAATGTTTTTCCCACATATATACTGCTACTGTGAAATACCCTGAAAGTTTCAGATAGGTTTTATGAGAAATATCTTTAATATTATCAGGGGTTTAAACTGAATAAATAAATTGAAAAATTCTGAAAATAGTATTAGAAAAGTAAAAAACTGGCAAAGAAGTGTCCACATTCCAGTGCAAAAATGTCTAAACTTCATTATTAAAAATCAAGAATGAAGCAGAATGAACATTTCAAAGATTCATCTTTCAAACGTTCAACAATGTCAGTTAGTAAGACTGTCTGTTTTAGTTTTATGGTGATACTTTGCTTATCTTCCATCTGCATCATAACAACAAAATCAATTGCTTCTCTTAATTGATAAGCCATCCTTTGCCATTAGTCTGTTTTGCAGAGGACTACTCTTTTTTTTTTTTTTAAGCAACACTGATTGACAAGCATTAGGATTAGTTAGTTTCATATGTAAGATATAATCTTTTATTTTAATCATAAGTTTGTATTTACTGGGATGCTAACAAACACTTGTTTGTTGAATTTCGATTTAAAAGTTATAAAGTTATGATTTATTTATTAAACAACTACTAATATGTTTCTATCTTCTCACATTCAAGTAATTCTGATGATGAGTCTGGATCAGGCTCTGCCTCTGCTTCGGGTTCCGGCTCCAGTTCCAGCTCTTCCAGCAGTAGCAGCCAGTCGGGGAGCAGTGACTCAGGAAGTGCCTCAGACTCTGGCAGTCAGTCTGAGTCTGACACTGAGAAATCCAATGAGAAAAAAGAATCACCAAATAAGCCAAACATTGATGGAGCTGAGGTAAACAAATTCAAGATGTCAGCAAAACTTTGCCACTAATTTGTGGCCTGCATATAAATGTATTTATGACTAATTGAAATTATTCTGGGAAATGGTTCTTTCGTTTGTATTATGGCTTTTTTAGACAATTATTTTAGTAATCGAATATTCTATCGATTATTCTGACAATTAGTCAAGTAATTAAATAAAAATGTTAAAAAATAATATGCTACCATAACAGAAGTATTACTATTGGATATCAACATTGGCTCAAATTTTCATGTTTAGCATCCCTACAGTAACTTTTCTATAGGTTAGAAAACTAGCCATTAACAATAATAGCTCACTTTTTAAGTTAGCCAGGACAAAAATTATACAAAAATCTGAAATTATACAAAATTTAATCATTATTTAATAAAAGGACTTCTAAAAAATGTCTATACTCTAGTTTTTAGTTTATGTATTCATCTTCAGTTCATTTAATAGGTGAACTCTCCCTTTGCACAGCCATTTATAGCTTTTGTGTCCATGTTAGTGACTGGATTTGGGTCCTCCATCACACACAGAAAGGCATCTGTCAGCTTGTACTGCCGTGATTTCAGCCATTTCTCATATTTTTCGATAAATGCTGAGATGAACAGTTGCTGTTTCTGGACAATTATGTATTCATATATTTGTTCATAAACCTCCTATTATATGCCACCCTGCTTAATTTGTGTGTGTTTCTCTAAATATGGCAGATTTTATTTATAAGTATTATCTTTTCCTGCTTTATGAAATATACTGTTTATACAATAACATAATTATGCCACTAGGTAGACCATAGGTACATATAAAATAAAGAAATCCTTTAAAATCCTGAATCTGCTCCAGTGGTCAAGTTTTGTGTGGTAAACATAGTGGTTAGTTTGACACATTTTTCTCCTTGCACTTAGGTGCTTTTTGACTTTTGTTCCTGCATTTTTTCTGACCTGCCCCACCACCTATTTGCTCACTTCTCTCCAACTCTGGTTAGCTGACAGCAAAGGTCAACGGGCTGGGACTCGATGCCATGATTCAGCTACACCCATAACATTATTTTTGTAATTTCATAAGGCTGGTTTCAATAGGCAACCAGCCTGTTGAAATGTTTTTATTTGTTTGGCTGTAAAACACAGTTTTGACTTGTTTTTGCATCCAAATTAATTTTAATGATCTGATTTCTAAAAGTTGACTCCTGCTTCTGTTATGCAGTTTTTATTTTTAGGCAGATTGCTTTCAGTTTTTTTATTATTTGTGTTTCTGTTTTTGAGTAGACTTGAAAATGCTTGATCCAGCTGACTGGTAAGAAGGGAATATTTTTTGCATAACTGAAAAAGGTCCTGCTATTTTTATCCTATAGCTCTGTTGGATTGATGTTTCCAGTTAGTCAGGCAGCTGCTTTGACCATTTAACATTTGTAGACTTTTCTTTTAACTGTACACATATTTAGTGTTGTACAGATATTTATTTTGGAGCAAATGTCAATTTTTTTTTCTTTAAAATAAATTACACAAATTTGACTTGTATTGCTTCATATATTTTATTAAATAAAGTCTAAACGTTAAGCTCACAGAAGATTATTTTCTGTCAAATGTATTTATTGGATGCTGCAGGAATTGCATTCTTTTTTTCTGTTGCTAATGACTTAGTTGTTTCCTAAACTTGGGTTTAGATTACTAATTTGTTTTGCCTTAAATCACAGTTCTGGAAGTCCAACCCCAGCATTCTGGCAGTTCAAAGATCGGCTATGCTCAGGAAACAGCAGCAACAACAGAGACAAGCCTCTTCTAACAGTGGGTCAGATGAGGTCTGTATTCAGCTGCTTCTTGGTGTGTTTTTGATGTTCAATTGGGGAGTATTACACATAATATCTTTTTTAAAGTTTTCCATAATGTTATTATGTTATTCCCATATGCTTGTTTGAGAAATACTTGAATCTCCAATGGCACCTAAACTCATGCTCTGATAGGATGCTCCTTTTACCATCTTTGGAGCTTATTATATGAAGTGCTTGTCATTGTAACACTCTTAAAAAATGCTGAATGGTAAATGGACTGAAATTGTGTAACATTTTTCCAGTCATTTTGATTACCGTGTTTTCCGCACTATAAGACGCACCTTAAATGAATGGCTTATTTTGAAACTTTTTTCATATAAAAACTTTATAAGGCGCATGGAATCGACGCTACAGTAGAGGTTGGGGTTAAGATATGCATTCATTAGACAGACCTGCGCTAAACGGAATGTCAACAAAACAGTCAGATAGGTCAGTCAAACTTTAATAGATTACAAACCAGCGTTCTGACAACTCTATTCACTCCCAAAATGAATAAACAGCTGTTTTATTATTTTTCCCAAGGAAAAATATTATATATTAAATATTATTATTATTATTATTTTCGTGACAGTTTATCTTTTTAACAGCAAGGTATAACATGTAGTGCAACATTTATCTCACATAGTGGAGGGGAACTTTTTCTCAATTCAATAAACACTTAAAAAACAGTCTGATACTATTGCGGTAAATCAAACGATAGTGTAATCACATTATTGTAACACTCAAAATAGTGCAAAGCAATAGCAATAAATCTATAACTCAATGTTGTTCAAACGTTATGCCAATATTCACAATATGTCAAACCCTGTTCAGATGTAAACACACAAAATAAACATGTATATTAATTAATTTATTCCTCATCCACTAATCTCTCGAATTCTTCTTCTTCGGTGTCCGAATTAAACAGTCGGGCAAATACGACATCCAACATGCTTGGCTCCGTCTCGTCAAAGTTGTCATTAGTCGAGTCAGTGTCGCTGCTTTTGTCTGGCAGTTAAGTGACAATTCCTGCCTTCCTGAAAGCTCGGACCACAGTTGAGAATGATATATCAGCCCAGGCATTTACATTCCACCGGCAGATGGTGGCGTATGTCGTCCAGCGCCGTCTCTCCGCCTTAGTGAACGTGTGTTCGCCTTCTGTCATCCACTGCTCCCACGCAGTTCTCAGTCTAACTTTGAAAGCTCTGTTGACACCAATATCTCGCGACTGGAGTTCTTTTGTCAATCCACATGGAATGATGGTGAGTATTGAATTAGTGCGCTTCACTTGTTTTTTGACACCATTGGTGATATGGGAGCGCATGGAGTCTTAGATCAATAGGGACGGAGCTACGTGAAAAAAAACACCCAGTCTCTTCACAAAAAATTCTCTCAACCATTCACTCATCTTTTCTTCATCCATCCATCCATCCCTTCGAGTTAGCTTTGATGATTACGCTGGTTGGAAAGTTTTCTTTTGGCAAAGTCTTCTTCTTGAAAATAACCATGGGTGGAAGTTTCTGGCCATTAGCTGGACAAGCAAGAACTACAGTGAAGGATGACTTCTCATTCCCTATGGTGCAAACATTTACTGTATGTGCTCCCGTTTTATCCACAGGCGGTTCACAGGAATATCGAAGATGAGTGGAATCTTGTCCATGTTGATAATGTGCTCTGGCTGGATCTTTTTTCAGTAATCTTGTTTTTGAAATATGCGCGTCTGGCAGTTGTGAAATGGATCACACAGGACTCAGGATCTGTGTCAGTTTATTCCTATAACACAACGTGGGACACACTCAACCATCAGTGTGGCACACACAACCAGTCAGATCCCAGCACCTCAGCAGCTGTGTAGGCAGCTTCTGCCCTTTTCACATTAACCACAAATGGAATGAAGAAAAATAAAATTGTGTGTAAATCAGCATCAAAGAAATATGTTAATGCATAATGCAAAATAATATAATTAAAAATCAAAATTATAATACAAAACAAAATTTTTTTACTTTACGTAAAATAATACATATAAAGTAATTAAATTTAAAGCTATAAAACTATAACAGAAATCTGTGCATTTATTACATACCTATAACACAACGTGGGACCCACTCAACTATCAGTGTGGCACACACAGTCAGCTCCCAGCAGCTCTACAAACATTTTGGAGGGAAAATTTCAAACAACTTTAAAGGGCAACAGTTTAATTCTAATCGAACCTGAAGTTTTTTTTAAGACACATAAAGACAATTAACATAATTTATGCAGCACAAAAGTGTGAGAACAATTATGAACATCATAAACATCACTAGGGTGGGGGTAGCATTAGCACATCTTACCAGCAGCTGTGTGGGCAGCTTCTGCCTGGCTGCTGCAGCTGCCTCACAGAACCTCACTCTGTGCGACATCAATAACCGTCCTCCCAGAACAACAGGCATGTCAACTCAACAAAAAGTGTTTTGAGAAGGTTCATAATAATTATAAAAAAATAAATAAATAAAATCAACTCAGCTACACGCGGAAAGTGGCCAGCTTTTTTTTGGTAGTCTTTTGGCAGTTGTTGTGAAACAGTAGTTCGTGTACAGATTGAGAGATTACTTCTTTTCATAAGCCAAAAGCACCAAGAAGGGCTGCCTCTCAATTTATTGATGTTCAGTTCGCGCTGTTGCTTTCATTCGAATAGTGATTGTACTGACACTTCTACTTGCTGCTCTCTGTTTAACAATCCACTTTTCGAGTTTATCCTCCAACTGTAGCCATCTCTCTTTGCTCCCTCTGAACTCTGTTTAGTCTTCTTTACTTGACGCAGGTCATCTTGTTCCCTGGCTCCACTTCTGCAACATTGATTCGTTAAAATTAAATTCTCTCGCTTCTGCTCTATTCCCTTGTTCTATTGTGTGACTGATCGCCTTGAGTTTAAACACTGCGTCATAAGCGTGTCTCTTAATAGGAGCCATTTTGGGGTCTTTACACAAACACAAATGGAAATGAAACGGCACGCTTCGCGCAGTCATATATCCCATTATGCACTGCGTGCTTCTTCTACGGGGGAAAATGAAGTCAGCTGCTGCTTACCGTAGTTCTGGGCTCAATATTATTCCAATATCATAAGGCGCACTGTCGGCTTTGAGAAAATTGAAGGTGTTTGGTGCGTAAAATACGATACTCATAGTGCTGTCCACAAGAGCCACGTTCACCCATTTGCACTCAGACACTCACACATTTATAAACTAATGTGCACATCGGTAGGGGCACATTGACATGTGACAGGAGGAATCTAAAATTGAACCTACAACCTTCCAATTACAGGACAACTACTCTGTCTGCTGAGCCAGTCACGCACTAAGACTTAGTGAAGAAACGCATTGTGCAGACGTGTTGTCAGAAAAAGCAGAAGCTTCTTGAAGAGACCCAATTTCAAGATGTTAAAAATGCAAAGTCACATTTTTTTCTTGTCAAAATGTTTTATTGGGGGATTAGTCATGAAAAATCAAAGCATCAACAGTATGTGTCCTGTTTTTCTAATTTAAGCATAAAAATATAGCGACATTGCAAAACTCAGCAACTCGACAATCTGTGAGGAAGACTTTTATTCCACATGTCGTAGCAGTTAATTTGGTGCCTATTCTTCTTCAATCAATTAGATTCCTTCCCGACGCCATGAACAAAATGTGAAAAGTGGACAACCTTAGGAAAAGAGGACGTTTGGACTCTGCTGTGCTAATAGCTTAGCTTAGTAATTGCCAAAAACATATTGGCAGAAGTCAGAGTTTTGTGGATCACAAATAATCTTCTGGATGAAAGACAGTGCACTAAACGGTAACACATAATTTCACAAAACGGGTCGATAATTTGCCTTGAGGAATTTTAATAATCAAGGTACTTGAAACATTTTATGAATAATTACAGCCTGAGTCCTAATATTCGAGAAGTGAATTGACTGACGTGATGGCATAACCGAATAATCTTTTCCAGTTTAGGAGAGCTTTTTTGATGTTACTTAAGTTCTATAGATTTTCACATGATGGCTTTTGTTCCAAAAATGCTTATTTGCAGAATGTATTTCTAATTATATAAACCTTTTGTGTTCGAATTTCAAAGAATTTACAATGGAATGCAGTCAAAGTTTTCCATGGTCTATGGAAGAAGCACAGATTCTGTTGTTACTACATGTTAATAGCAGACTGACTTGGACTCTTAGTTGCTCAATAGCCTAATATTGATCTCATCTGACCAAAGCACAGTTTAGGGTAAAATTGAAGGAGGGCTTGGTACCTTTCAAATGTTTACATTTGTGTGTTTTGTTTTTCAGGACTCTTCAAGTAGTGATGAATCTGACACCTCAAGTGGATCCAGAAAGCGAGGGAATTCGGACTCTTCTGACTCTGGATCAGGCTCAGTCTCTGGGAGTGATACTGGGTCAGATTCATCGACAGACGAAAACAGTAATGAAACTGCATCAGACTATGAGCCCAGTCTCAAATTTAAAAGCAGAAAACTTCCAACCAAGTAAGTGTATTGTTGATGATGAATAGTTGCTGCCAACCAAAAAGAGATTTACAAGATTAGGTCACAAAAAAAACTGACACTTTAGGTTAGGTTTTATTAAAACATTCTTACAAGGACTAAAATGGCTTTGTTTAATCATCTTCCAAAACATTGGAACCTCCCCTTTAACAGAAAGAAATTGCCAACACAACTTGGCTCAGAGAGAGTGGTCATCTGCCTCGGGATGCACCGACCCACCTTTTTCACTTATACACATATCTAAGATTTAGTATCGGTCAATACCTATCAAATACAGAAAAACAGTAGTCAATTGATTTAATTTTTTTAAAAAACATACATAAATGTACTGAATTACACATTTATTTGATAACTCCTGTACAACTGACTGAATTAGTGGGAAACAGTTTCTTTATTAACGATACTAAAACTAGCAAAATTGTTTATATTAGTCTTACATGCAAAGGTTAACCTGAACAAACCTTTAATGAAAAGGTTCAAAAAGTGCAATTGGGAATGCTAAGCGCTGCAAAGTACAGAAAAAAAAATTCTCTTCTGCATCATGAAATATAAAAATTATCCACCCATTACTATCAATTGCATTTATTTATTTTATTCAAATTTAAGATGAAATAAAAATGATTGCTGTTGATGTACGTGCAGAACATTATAAGCAGGAAGTCGTGCTAGACTTTTTTGTTCTCTGCCATTTTGACTGATGGCATTAAAAAAATTGGTCATGTACTATTTTTACCCGTCAAATTATAATCATATTAACATAAGCTATTTAGCGACTTCCCTTCCAGTGATCTATATTGAGACGCCGAGACTTTTAAAACAAAATAAAGAGGACTTTTTTTGTATTTTTGTGCAGAAGCAGCCAAATATGGACTCCATTTATAATGAATGTTTTTTTTTTTTTTTAATGAATGTGTGTTTTGTGGGCTCTGGCTTGTATGTGTAAAAAATGCAGAAAATAAACATAACCCACAAACTGCTGTCAGATTAGCTAATAACAGCAGTAGCTAATCACTTAGTCACAAAATAAACATTAAGCCTGCAATCAACTGAATGTTCTGTTCTTTGTGTGAGAAAGTTTTGGTGTTGAATCCTAAAAGCGGCATTGTTGTTAGTTGCTATGGCAATTAGCCTGTGTGTAGCTAGACTGACACAGGGTGAGAAAGAAGTGGTTTTGAGTTGTAATTCATCTGGTTTTTCTGATTTATTTTCATTTTCTGTGGAGGATAGCACTAAATCAATAATACCTACATTTGTAAGTTTCATTGAGTTAGCAGAATTGTTCAGTTCTTTGTGGTTTCACCTGCACCAAGATGTGGAGCTGGTTTGATGGGAGCTAGCAATAGGTTGCAAAGTAGTGACTGAATGTTTTGCACAGTAACATTCCGATAATAAATGTGCAATATATTGTAATTAGGCATGGTAGTACTAGGGGTTTAATGGTACTCTAAAAAAATCAGTTTGGTATGGACTGATGTTTTAAAAAGAATCTATCCATCCAGCCATAATTTCTTCTAATAAATGTAATGTTCTAATAAGAATCTAGAACTTAAATATGTGGGATAGTTATATTATAAAACAATAAAATCAGTTGAAAGTGTTCAGTGTTTAGGAATTTGTAGGTTGTGGTTATATTTGAGAATAAAAAATCTTTAAGTTACTTTGGAGTGGTTTTGTTATACAAATAGTCTAGTTATAATTGAAAGCACCAATATGGAAATATTATAATGGCATAATTCAGTTTATGTAGAAGCTGAAATAAAACTGATCATACTTGTTGATGACATCAACTTTGAAGAAACCTTTACCACTTTTCTACTACTCTCTGATTTCAGGATGAATTCTCGAAATGGAAAAAGTGTCACTCAGAGAAAGAAATCCCAAAAGTGTTCATCTTCTGAGGAAGAAAATAACTACGCAAAGATAGCATGTGGAGGGCCACGACGACAGGCCACTGTCAACATAAGTTATAAGGAAGATGAAGACATAAATACAGATTCTGATGATTTGGTGGAGGTTTTGGGTGAAGATGTTCCAATGCCTGAGGAGGAAGAATTTGAGACAATTGAAAGAGTAATGGACTGCAGGTTAGGACGAAAAAGAGGTAAGATTATGTCTTTACCTAATCAGTAAAGTATATTATGACTCTGTTAGATTTTACAAATGAATATAAATGTTGAAGGTTAGTTGGGGAAATGGACGGGTTTTGCATGTTTGCTTGGAGGAATCCTGTGCAGTTTTATACTTCTCATCTATGAAATTAAATAAAAATCCAAGTGCGGATGATTCTTAGATATTTTCCCTAATGTGATGTTTAAATTTTTGGTTTTCAGCAACAGGAAGTTCAACCACCGTATATGCTGTAGAAGCAGATGGAGACCCCAATTTTGACTTTGATTCAAATAAAGAGACTGGCGAGATTCAATATTTCATTAAGTGGAAAAACTGGGCACACATCCATAACACTTGGGAGACTGAGGAAACACTAAAGTTGCAGAATGTCAGGGGCATGAAGAAACTGGAAAACTTCAAAAAAAAGGAACAAGAGAGAAAAAAATGGTAAGTGGTCTTTATCTGGGCTCTTCATTTAGGTTTTCTTTGCAGCACTGTATCTGACATTTTGTACTTGATAATGTATGGCTTGGATGCATCTGCTTTATGAAATGGAAAACCATTCCGTAAAGCTCTGTGTACCATTTTGAAGAGTAATAATAATAATAATGCATTTTATTTGCCAGCGCCTTTCGAAACACCCAAAAACATTTTACATTACAAACACAAATTAAACAGTAAAGAAATGGCTACAAGACACAAAACCACAAAATAACTACGCAGTTAAAGTGAGATGGCTTTTGAGTTGTGCTTTGAAGGTCAGATGAGAGTCAATATTACAGATGTCAGGAGGAAGAGTAAGAGAAGGCTCTTTTCCCCTTGGTGCTGAGACGGACAAGAGGCACACTGAGGTGGATTAAAGAGGAAGAACAAAGGGAACATGAATGGGTGGTGATGTGCAGAAGATCAGACAAGTAAGGAAGGACAAGGTTGTGAAATGCATTGAATGTAAAGATCAGGATTTTAAATTGAATTCTGAAAAAAAAACTGGAAGCCATTGAAGTTGTTGTAAAATTGGAGTGATGTGGTGAAATGAGGCTTTTTCAGTAATGATGTGAGCAGCAGAGTTTTGAACCAGTTGAAGTTTGCGCATTGATTTATGCGGGGCACCATATATCAAATTAGTAAAACTAATTGGTAGGTGTAAAATGGTGAGCTGCACTTTTGACAGTCTACCAGTTGGAGCGCTATGGGACACAGGTGCACAGGCTATAGTGACAAAACAATGGGAGGGTGGAGCATTTAACATAGGGGTGTAGATGAGCTCTTATGATCAGAACCATTAAACGGGCTTGCTGCTAATCAAACAAAAATACCGTTTATATGGTGGATTCCCATAGAGTTTAAACTTACTGGGGTTAAAAAGTACATCTCCAGCTTTTTAGAGCCTAGTGACCCAAATGTGGTTCAGAAAGGCATCACTTTCTCTTTTAATGTTATTATTTCTATTAGATTATTCAGCTTTCTTATTTGTTCTTTATGTTCTTCCTGTTTTTAATAGTGTTTTCTCTTGGTGTCCTTGAATGTCTAGAAAGATGCTATAATAACTTAATTGTTTGTACAACACCATGACAGGTTTAATAATGTGACAGAGGAAGTCATCAAAGAGCAATTGAAGCAACAGGGTAATAAAAACAATGATATTGCTAAGCGAGTGAGCAGTGTTTTTGAGATTTATGTTGGATATGTAAAGAATGTTATCCAGTTAATACAGACATTCCAGAGCCCTTGAAAGGAGATTCAAGTAAAAACAGGATGGAGTAAAGTTATTCTTTGCTCTGATGAAACTAGCCATTCGCTGTCGAACTTGCATCCAGGCTGTTGAGGACAATGTAATGCTGCTTTGTCCTACTCTGAACACCAGCATCCCAGAACGACTTCATGTGCAAGAGTTACTGTTTAAAGTGAAAAGAGGCAACTCAGTCTTGGTCCCAGCGTCTGTTGCCAACAACACAAGTCATAATGCAACTTTAAAACCATGCAAGCATAATACTGCAGTTATTCAATAAAAAGGACAAATGAAAAACCTGCAATCAGTAAAATTAACAATAAGATTCTCAGTACTCAAAATTATACACAAATCAAGTAAATCTCTCAGCACTGCCAAAATGAAAAAATAAAAGAGGACACATACAGTTAAAGTCAAACTCAGGCTGCATCAAACCAATTCTGCAGAACACAGGAGGAGGCAGAGGTGATCCATAATTTTTTTAGAGATTATCTGTCTTGTGTTAGGACAGCGAAAGTTTTAATACATATCTAAAATCTTTTATTTTTTTGTTTTGATGACATGCTGCAGCTTTAAGCAGGGATTTGCTGTGAGAGTTCACTGTAGTTGCTACGTCTGTGAAATATCACTTCCAGTAGCGCATAGTGGCGATTCACCGAGAACAGAACCAGCATCTTACACTGCTAGCTTGAAGACTTAAATTATTTTTCAGGTTATTTGTTTAGCTTTCTGATCATGGTGCTAATCCAGGTGAGTGTTGGTGGTTGTACGCTGCTTTACTGGCCGCTCCGGATGTTCTTTTTTCCTGCATTGAGACTCAATGTAGCTAAACTTTGTCATGTGCTTGTTTTTTAAATGTCACATTAGATTTGTTGTGTTGATGCATTTTGACGTGGTTCACCCCCAGGGAAAATTCCACTGCAACACGCAAACTTCCCCGTTCAATGTCAGCCTTGAAGTTCCACACCACATTACTTAGGATTTACTGGTGCGTGCTTACGCAGTGTGAAGGAAAGAGGAGACATGCAGCTGCACATGCAGGCTGTGAATGACACACTGTTGTGAATGTGATCGGTGGCTGAGGACCATGTCTACTAAGAACATGACAAGTGATGGAGTTGTTAAAGTTTCCTCACCTGCCAGCAGTGATATGAGTGATATTTGGGACCTTCATGTACATTTAGATCATTTAACTGGTGAGCAGTCGCTTGTAGTGAAAACAATGCTCAGGGAGAAGTGTAAAGCTTTTGACAAAGATGAAAATGATCAGTGAGGTTTAGATGAGGACAGCCAGCCACTCAAAGCATTTTTACTCAATGGGCTTTATACCAGTGGACTAGAATCCCATTTGGATTCAGCTGTTCAGCCTTAGCAGACTTTCGGAGTAGCCTGGAGGAGTGTCTGTGGGGTTTGAGTGATAATGTCTGCCCACCTTACCTTGATAACAATTTGGTTCACAGCAAATCATTTGAGGACCATGTTGAATATGTAAGAGCAGTCTTACAAAGATACTAGAAACATGGGGTTAAACTTTACTGCTAAATAGTGTGAACTATAATACTCATAAATAGACCTGTAAAGCTTGTCCGTGTTGTGTCCATTGTTGGACACAAAACGGTTCGATCAAACCGTTTTACCTCGTGTGGGCTCTCAGGTTTTGATAAAGGGCCGACAATCGGCGACATAAGATCGTGCAGCGAGCCCTGGGCATTACAACAAGGAAATGAAGGGAGGGTCGGTGGATGGATCTATATATAGATCTTTATATAGATCTATATCTCGATATATAGATCTATATATAGATCTATATAGCTGATGTTTGTTACTCCTAATAGTTTTAAAGAATACAAGGCATCACTTTCTCTTTTAATGTTATTATTTCTATTAGATTATTCAGCTTTCTTATTTGTTCTTTATGTTCTTCCTGTTTTTAATAGTGTTTTCTCTTGGTGTCCTTGAATGTCTAGAAAAATGCTATAATAACTTAATTGTTTGTACAACACCATGACAGGTTTAGTAATGAATTTTTTACATCTGACTTTTAAAATGTTTATTGTGATATAAATGCTCATTCATTTTAACTGTATCTCTTTCTTTAGGTTAAAGGCAGCATCACCAGAAGATCGGGAATATTTTAATTGTCAAGAGGAACTGATTGATGACCTGCATTCTCAGTATCGGCTTGTTGAACGTATCATAGGTACTGTTCTATGATTACTCTGAATGTGTTTGCTAACCCTGAGTTTTGTGATCCAATAAATAATTGAAATGTGTTGTGCAGGACATTCGAATCAGAAGTCAGCTGCTGGTTACCCAGACTACCTCTGCAAGTGGCAAGGTTTACCATACTCAGAGTGTAGCTGGGAAGATGGTGCTCTGATTGCCAAAAAGTTCCAGAAATGCATTGACGACTACATGGGCAGAAATCAGTCAAAGACCATTCCCTCTAGAGACTTGAAGGTAAATTTAGTCCTTATTTTTTCCAACAGCTTTGGCAAAAGTTTCAGAGTAAAATGTATGTTCTGTAAAACATCTTTTTTTCCCGTGACACATCATCAATGAAAACAGATTTACTGTACAAACCACTTAAACCTGGTTTGTTGAGTTATGTCCATTCTATTGAAATGTATTTAGTTTTGGTTTTTAGAAGATGTTTTTGGATATTAGCATTCCAGTTAAAGAAATTCAAATGAGGATTTTGTTTTTTAGTTGATGAAACAGAGACCCAGATTTGTACCAATGAAGAAGCAGCCAGTTTACATTGGAGGTGACGGACTGGAGCTCAGGGACTACCAGCTGGATGGTTTAAACTGGATGGCCCACTCCTGGAGCAAGTATGACTCAACAGTCTTTGTCGTTCAGTGATTTATCATGCATCTTAAATGGGAAATCTTCTCATTTGTCTGGAATGTCTTCATCTATCAGTGATAAGGATTGCTACGGCTGGCACACATTACTCAACTCTAGCTTGAAGTGAAAAACATTTTGCCAGCTTCAATCTGAATATCTAAATGTATTAGACAACAGGAGAAAATAAGGTTTTGTTTTAAATTTTTTAGATTTCATAAATTGTATTTATATAACTTAAATAAATAAACGAAAACTCCTGATTCAGTGCATATGAGCACCGGTGACAGAGTAAAAGAGTGTGCTTTTGTCCAGCTCTTGTCAACTTTGCCGTTGGTTCTTTTGAAAATTTGCGAGCAACCACTGAGGGATCGTTCACAACATGATCTGACTTTACTTTGAGAGGCTAATAAAATCAATAACATTAACTCCATATTTCTATATGAATACAATTTTTATTCTGGTGACCATTTATAAAGCAATGCTAAGAAAATCCCTCTGTTTTGAAGTTGCATATTTGTTTGGCCAAACCCAATATGAAAAAGCAAAATATGCCAAATATAATCTGTGCTGATGTTATGAGGTATTTAAAAATATTTCACCTACCCATATTGCAGTGAAATTAAGCCAACTGTTTCTCAGATGTTTGAGGAGTGATCAGTTCCTAATGACTTAACTTATTGGTTTTGCTTATTGGAATATATAAATGAGCTAATTTAACTTAGATATTTTCTTAGAAATTCTCATACTTTTGATTGTTAAATAAACATTTCCATTTTTCTTCTCTTCTTTTAATTCATAGAGGCAACAGTTGTATTCTTGCTGATGAGATGGGCTTAGGAAAGACCATCCAAACAATCTCTTTCCTCAACTACCTGTTTCATGAGCACCAGCTGTATGGACCATTTCTTCTAGTGGTGCCTCTTTCTACACTTACATCTTGGCAAAGGGAAATACTGTTGTGGGCCCCTGGGATGAATGTTGTCGTCTACCTTGGAGACATCAACAGCAGAAATATGGTAGGTTGATGTCGAGTAGAAATAGCATTTCAGCCATTTATTTACCAACGAAAAAAGTTATGATCTGTTTTTTATCGAACAGATACGAACACATGAGTGGATGCATGTCCACAATAAGAGATTGAAATTTAACATCCTCCTCACAACGTACGAAATTCTTCTAAAAGACAAGGTCTGCTTCATTTCTAATCCTATCTGTATATTTCTTTTTTTAAGCTATACATAAATATCTTTTTGTAAGCAAACGTGTACCTATAAAATGTTTGTCCAGTCATTTCTAGGTGGTGTTAACTGGGCCTTTATTGGTGTGGATGAGGCACACAGGCTGAAAAATGACGACTCTCTTCTATACAAAACAATGATTGACTTCAAATCCAGTCACAGGCTTCTAATCACAGGAACACCTCTTCAGAATTCCCTAAAAGAGCTCTGGTCTTTGCTCCACTTCATTATGCCTGAAAAGTAGGTTGTATTTATTTTCCTTGGTTTAAAATTTTTCTTCATGGTAATGTTGTGTACTCTGTTCACATGCATATGCTTTTGTTTTTGCTAGTTAGGACTATTTCAGTCTAATTTTGTCATTGATGAGACAACAAATGTTATGGATTTCCCTATCAATTTTTGTTTTGATTAGTCAGCAATTATGTAACTCACCTCTTTCTTTCCACCTTTTCTTCTCAGTACTGGTACAATCCTGAGCCTTCTCTAGTTTGTTGACCTTGAAACCTCACCTTACTATCTCTGCATTGTCATGTCTTCAAGCAGTAAAGAAAATGACTTGTTAGATGCAGCTTATTGCTTTAAGAGCCGTTTAGATCTGTAAGGATTGCCAAGCATAAAACCTACTAAAATGCTGAAAGCTTCTTTCCTGAACTGTCACAATAACAAATTTTGGTGTACAAAATTTGTTACAAATTGTCCCTGAAGTTATAGCGATAAATTATAACATTATTTTTGTTTGGAATCCATTATCAAGTAATATAACTGTAATGGCACAATAATGCAAGAACACATTCTCAATAATTAATGAAGCTTAAATTCAGGTGGATATTTAACCCCGGAACTGAAAAACATCTTAAATATTTAAATAAATCAACAAAATAGCAGAAACACCAAAAAAAAAAAAAAAAAATAATGAAGTTCTTAAAACAAAAGTGAGTTGAAACCAAATAACCAGACTGAAAACATTTGTGATCTAGTTTTGGTAGAGGGAAAGAAAAGAAGAAAAACACAATAAATCATACAAATGGAAATTGAGGTTGTTTGAATTTATCAGTTGAGTGATTAATTTATTGCTTATTGTAACAGGCCTAAATATGTTTTTCCATGTGGGATAAAATTTTCACTGCTCAAACTGTCATGAATAATCTTTGAAAATAGAATAATTCAATTCAAGTTTGACCAGTCTATTTTGTTGTCATAAAAAAATTGTGCCAGACTAATTTAGACCAATGTCTTTAAAAGTATGAGATTGTGAAATTAGTTGTCTAATTAATTTTTGTATTTGGTACTGCTTGCAATGTGTACATAAATTTGGGCTGGATGATACTACTAAAAACGTAAACTTCCTATCAGTCGATGCTGATAATTGTCTAGCAATAATTATTGAGTAGTTTTTTTATTTTTGTCCTAAATGTTTGAAATGCTAATAAAATGGTGCCGAGACTTTTCTTTGTTTATCCAGTTTCACTCTATGCCATTATCTACTTTTAAGCCATTACGAGGCATAGTGGCCAAACTTGAAGCTTCTGCACAAGTTACTTAACGGGTTGTTCCAGGTGACCAAAAAGTGAGTGCTTTGATTGATGCCGCCCACCTTTCTTAGCTCACCGTCAAAGGTTGAGCAACTAAATTCTTTCTGCTGCCTACATCTCCTAGAATGTTGTCCTGAATCGGAGTTCAGTGAATTATCCATACATTGAATATTCTATTTTTTTTTTTTTTATCGGAACAAAAATGTCAATTTTAAACACTTTCCAGTTTGAGTGGTGCTGCAGTTCGCTTCAGAAATTCAGTCGCCACAGTGCACAAGGCTGCCAATGCGCAGCAGCCTGGCAATGTGATTGGTTTGTGCCCCTGGCTTTTTCCCTCCGCAATGTATCAACCATGAACTTGATTTTCAGGAAGGACTCAGTTCCACTGGTGTCCACTGAAGCAAAATGCGACACAGACGCATGCTATTACTGCGATGCTGGCGGCCCACCATGCTTATAATACACTGGGAAAAACCTTGAAGTATTTTGAATTGAATTGAATGGAGATGATAAAGTAATTTAATTAATTGAAACTGCTTGTGACAAATGTCAGAGTTATTATTAAATATGAAAATTCCAATCTGCATTTCAATCTACCTTGTTTTTGTATGTTTTTTATTTCAAAATAAAAAAAAACACACAAAACACTATAAATTTAATTTATGTAGCAGTGATCAATGAAGGTCTCAAGTTAGTTAACAAAAAAAATGTAATTCAACCCAATCAAGACCAGCCAAACCAAGTTAATTCTGAGCATGCATGTAGTGACAGTAGATTGATAAAACTCTCCTTTAACAGGAAGAAACCTCCAAAAGAACCAAAACTTGATTTGGTACAAGCGTCAGTCTGCCAAGGTTTAAAGCGCAGAGAGCATCATTAAGACCAGGGGTCCCCAAAGTGGGTCCTCAAGGGCCGACATCCTGCATGTTTTAATTCTCTCCCTGGTTTAACGCACCTGGATCAAATGATGGCTCGTTAGAGGCCTAAGAAGAACATTGACATGCTGAAAAGGTTGTTGGTACCACCAAGGAGAGAACTAAAACATGCAGGATGCCGGCCCTCGAGGACTTGACTATGGGGACCCCTGATTAAGACCCAGGAGCACACCATGCAGGTCCCACATACTGCTGTGGAGAAGTTTAGGGTTAAGGTTATAACCCAACCCTACCCAAGACATGAGGTAATCACATGCCAATGAGCAACTGTAGTCAGCTGTCAATCAAATCACTGCAGCGCTTTACCTGGCTCGGCACAGCTAGTACTATCCCTAAAGAAGGTAAGAAAATCACAGAACAGCCGGGCAGAGCTGCGCCTGATCTTCTAATGGCTGACCTGTATCGTACCAGTTAGATGCACTCTAGTGGAAAATTGCCTTGATGCTTCAGACTTATTCTGACTAGTGGCCAATGTTTCATAATTAGGTTTTAAGGTGGTTCATAGTTTTCTTAAAGGTGCTTGCAGAAGATGTTTCTGCAACTGTGTTTTATCATAACTTACTCCAGTGAAGCACAAGACAAACTAGCTTTAGCTTTATTATAGTTCACAATAGAAACCATCATTATTCAGATATCTTATATTCCACTTGTTTCTTTAAGGTTTCACTCCTGGGAGATGTTTGAGGAGGAGCATGGAAAAGGCAGAGACTCGGGCTACACCAGTCTCCACAAGGAGCTGGAACCCTTCCTGCTGCGTCGTGTCAAGAAGGATGTCGAAAAATCTCTGCCAGCTAAAGTGGAGCAGATTCTCCGAGTGGAGATGAGTGCTATCCAGAAACAGTACTATAAGTAAGAGCAATGCAATCGATATTCTTTTAGAAAATTTATATTTAATTTCAGTTTAAACTACTGCTTACTGTAAACACTCACTTATCTGTGAAGAGAATCAAGAGCTTTTGTATCACCAAAATACACTGAAAAAAAATATAAACCCCCCATGTCAAATATAAGAGTTTTATGCAGTGATATCATAGTATGCCCATTTGTAGCGGATTGACAGTCCTTTGAACAGGATGAGGGTCAGCCTGATTTTGACCAAGTTGGCTTCTTGTAGGCAGTTACGGACAGTCTGAGGTGTGAGGTCTGTTGTGCAGAACAATAGTCTCATCAGCTGTGTGTCTCGCTGGTCTTAGCCGATCCAGCAGATGGACGAGTCGGATGTGGCGATCTTGTATTGGAGTGGTCAGACGTGACCGATGAGGTTGATTTGCAGTCGTGCCAGTCTGTTGGAAACAAACTCTTAAACGGCCTATGGTCTCATTATGGACATTGAGCCGTGCAGCTACTTTCCTGGTGGACGTCCCTGCATCCAGCATGCCAATGGCATGCTCCCACATAACTTGCAACATTTAAGGCATGACTTGTGACAAGATTTGACATTTTGGGGTGGCCTTTCCTTGACCCCTTTCCAAGGATTGTCCAGTTATTGTTCGTTTTGTCTAATCATCCATTGGACATGCTCCACCCATCCACTAAGTAAAAAGATAAACAGTAATGCTCACTGATAGGAAGTTGGATTAAAATTTTACACAAATCAAAAGAAATATTGTTTTTGTACAGTAGGGTTAGGGTTAACTACTCCTGGCAACAATATTTGATATGGGGTGTTTATATTTTTGTTCAGCGTAATATAAATAAGATGGTAGGAAAATGTCGCTCTCCAGCTCTGTCTCTTTTAACTTTAATTTTATTTATCTTTCGGTTTACCTATACATGGGTACTAGAAATGTACAATATATATGGAACATGGTAGAAACAATAGACATTTTGCCTATGATAGAGATTCCTGGAAGTGTGTGCAGACCAGCTTACCATCTTCAATACACCGTACCAGATCATCGTTACCCTACCATAAAGATGGTAGGGTAATGATCACATGTCTCAATAATATTGGCTGTGTATAGGTTGCCAAACTCATTAAGACTTTAACTACCTATTGTCCACCATCATCACTTCATGATGGTAGAATAACACCCTCCATCGTGAAGTGCTTGGAGACAGTGGTTAAGGGCCACATCATTTCCATACTGCCTCCATTATTTGACCCATTCCAGGCTTAGATCTTTCAACATTTTGTCGAAAGTTGCTGGAGTTGTTTTGTCAATCTGTTGTTGCCAGCATCTTGTCATATGCAGTGGTGTGATGGGGCAGAAGCATTTCCCTGACTATTATGGAGAATTTGCAGCTGATGCACATTGTCATCAGCTGCCAGAAAAGTGGGTTCAGTGGGAAACCTCTTCTTCCACAGTGCAGGGCCAACAAACTGATGAGGGACTCCTCTGTCTTTTGTCATGCAATTAGACATGGAAACTTTTATGCCTTTTGATTTTACATGAAGTGCTCTCCAAACAGTAGTATGATCAAATATGCTTCTGATATTCAATAGTAATTTCATCAGTTTTTGGTTTGTTGAAATAAGGGACTATAAAGCTGCTCCCTCTTTTAGTATTATGTGTACAAGTTATAATCTTTACCTTTTAAATGTGTTTTTGATCAGATGGATTTTGACCAGGAACTACAAAGCTCTGAGTAAAGGCACAAAAGGCAGCACATCTGGCTTCCTGAACATCATGATGGAATTGAAGAAATGTTGCAATCACTGTTACCTTATCAAGCCTCCTGATGACAACGAATCTCTGAACAAAGTGGAAGCTTTACAGGTGAGATTTATACATGAAAATAAAGTGTAGTAAAATGCTGTTTCTTTAAGGCATTAATTTTGATAAATTAATTGCATAGGTTTCAACGCATAAGACCTTTTTTATGCAATTCTTTTATTTGTCTTTTTTCATATTCCTGTGTTTGTGGTATGTCTGTCCAAGCGACATAAATAACAAATAACAGTCGTTATTTATATGTTTCTGGTGTGTTTTGTTGTCAGTGTTCTTTGAGTTATAGTCCTGCTGCATGGTAAAATTCCTCCACATTAGTTTGTATCCATATCTCCATAAATTAGCAGACAAATTGTTTCTGTACACGTGGGAATACATTTTGCTGCTGCCATCATCAGTTATAATGGCATCAGCTGCCTGTAAAAATTGTCAGTAAAAATGTACGATCCTCTTCAAGAAGCAGCCATGCCCGATCCATGACAATACCTCCACCATGCTTCCCAGATAAGATTGTGATCAAAAGCAGTTCCTTTCTTCTACACACTTTGGCACTTTCCATCATTTTGGTAGAGATTAATCACTTTTGTTTATTGTAATCCCATAAAATTGTATTCCAGAACTGGAATTGTATTCCATGTTGCACATCCCTATCTTGTTTCTGTCCATTTGTGAATGGTCAGACTTGTCTCATCTCTATGGGTTTATGACAGTTTTCTGTGAAATATGTTTGTTCCCAAAGAGGAACTTAGCATTTAATAGAAAGATGGATTTATTATCTCACTTGTAAAACAGATATTATTGTTGCCTTTTTACTGAATTGTATTGTCTACTACAGTATTTTTACAGTATTTCAAACTGTGAAAATATCTAACTTTCAGTAATGACCTCTTAATAAGCTAAAAGCAAAATTTTTCCTCCTTAAAGCAACTGGTCCGCAGTAGTGGAAAGCTTGTGCTATTGGACAAACTGCTGGTTCGTTTGAAGGAGCGAGGTCACAGAGTTCTAATCTTCTCCCAGATGGTACGGATGCTTGACATTCTGGCTGAATATTTAAGGAGCCGGCAGTTCTTCTTTCAGGTATTTACACACAATGCTGACCTGATTTTTATGCCAGATATGTCAGATACCTGTACATATGTCTAAAGAACCAGATGAAATTGAAAGTAACGGTTTGTTTTCATTATTTGTAGAGATTAGATGGCTCCATCAAAGGAGAAATGCGGAAACAAGCTTTGGATCATTTTAATGCCGAGGGCTCAGAGGTATTCTGTTTGATACATTGAAAGTAATGAAATTAAATTTAATCGCTTGACTAAAAGTGAGTTTCATCCTTCTTGCTCAGGATTTCTGCTTCTTGTTATCTACACGTGCGGGTGGACTGGGTATCAATCTAGCGTCAGCTGACACAGTGGTGATCTTTGACTCAGATTGGAATCCTCAGAATGATCTTCAAGCTCAGGCCAGAGCCCACAGAATTGGACAGAAAAGACAGGTGAGCATAAATTGTCTAAATTGTCCATTCCTGCTTATATTTGACTTTTGTTTTGAAAGCAAAGCAAATGGACTGGTGTAGTTAGTGCTTGAAGACTTCTGATTTGCATGTGTTTAATGAAAGTTAAAAATTGTTGGCAGTCAATACACTGGTGAAATAAAAAAAGAGAAACATGAAGGGAGCATATTTTAAAAAGATCCAGGACTCATTAAACATGTTGACTTAAATATGTTGCAATTTTTGTGATATGTCAAAATTCATAATTAGCCTACTTCAAAAATGTCCATCTTTTGTTGTATTTTTCAATCCTGGAGCGCATCATTTTGTCACTGATGGGTTGATGACGCGTGTTTGTTCATTTTGTACTGGAGTCTACAGAGGAAACACAGGAAGGTTAACTTTATCGGACTAGTAGTTTATCATATTCCATTTGAGTGGTGTAATTTTAGATAATTCCACACTGTGTCACTATCGACAGTGAAAAAAAATAATAATAAAGTGAGGGGAATCTTGATAATTTCCCACATGAAAGAAAGGAAAGAGTGTGAGAGCCAGAGTGGAACACAGCAAAGTACCTAATTCTTACCTGGTCTCAACAAATGAGTGGTGGAGCGCATCGTGGCGATACATAGCTAGTTAATTGTGTTTCTCAGTGTGAGAAATGAAGGTGTCAAATCCCATTGCTAACGTAAACACAAAGCTATAAATGGCTGGGCAAGGTGAGAGTTCATCTCTTAAACTAACTTAAGATGAATACATAAATTGAAAGCTGGAGTATAGACATTTTTATAAGCGTATATGTAAGCCTGTCTCTATTATTAAATTGAATGTAATGTCAGACTTTTTTACAAGTTCTCAGGTTGACTTAGAAAGTGAGCTGTTACTGTTACAGGTAAATTTTCTAAACTACAGAACAATAATTGCTTAAATATAAAAAATTGCACTGATGTTGATATCCAATAGTAACTCTGCTGTTATATGTTATATTTACCAATCTCTCCCCCGATTAGTCGATTTATCGACAGAATAATCGATTATTAAAATATTCATTTACGACAGCCCTACTTCATACCAGTTAATTATGACAATATATCCACCAGTGATACAGCAAAAACAAGGCCCCATTTGACAGAAATTGCTGATAAGATTCCAGCTCTCCTGAGCTGTGATGTGGGACTCCTTATTGGATTCAAATATTCCAGTACTTTAGCACCAAAACAAGTTGTACTCTTTGAGCCATATACAGTTATTACAGACTTAAGGTGGAGTATTGATGGAGGCTTCACACCATCACTCAATGTAACAAAGTCAAGTTTGTGTCACAGAGTCTCAAAGGAATTACCGTCAGTTACTCCTTTGGATGTCATTAATTTGCCAAAGTCAGATTTCAGGGACACAGAAGGAAGTGACAATATGTTCTCAAAAGAGGATGTCATATTTTTGGACATACTCAAGGAAGGAAATAGGAGAAATGAACAAGGATACTTTGAACCCTTCAAACAAAGGCCACACTTGCCTGACAACAGAAAGCTTGTTGAAATCAGAAAGGTTCAACAAAGAGGAAAGCTACAAAAGACAGTACATAACTTATATGAAGGCCATCATCAAAGAAGATGGCATGATACAAAATACAAAATAAAAGGAAACAAGGAGAACAATGGCATATTCCGCAATATGGGATTTATTACCCCAAAACAGCCCACTGAACTGTGTTCTGTTCAATTGCACTGCAAAATACAATGATGCAAATCTAAATGATCATCTTCAAGGGACATATATAAATAAGCCCAAGATGCTTATATATATTATAAGATAGCTTATAAGCCCAAGATGCTTATAAGCCTCTATCAAATTAACTGGAACAACCCCCTGCCAAAATTACAGAAAGCAAGATGGGAGAGCTGGCAAAATGATTTTGAGAAGGAGGAAGAGCAAATAAGTGATCCAGTTCCAGGAACTAATCAGAGGAAGAAATAATAAATATAAAGACAAAGAAAATCATCTGGATGTCATCAGGGAGCTAAGAAAACTTCATGGGCTGGAGAGTAATATTGTTTTGGGCATTGACGAACTATCACCCACACATGAACAGAGTCTTGCCAGAGTACTAGATACTGTTACTGGCAATGATGGACTCATAAGAAAATCTCCTTTAGAGATATTCTTATCTCTAAAGGAGAGCGGTGACCTAAGCGTTCTGTTGTGGAGCGTCCAGTGCAAAAGCTAATTCTGATATGAGAATGTTCATAATCTAATAACTACAAATGGTTACTGTCTGTAGAAAATTTTTTATCTGTGGAAGTCAGCAGAAAAAGACGAAAAAGTCATATGAGTCTTGATTTATTCTCAGTGTCTTCCAACCAAATCCCAAAATAGAATGAAGGACAACCGTTGGCTTCTTCTCCACCTCATCTTCTCCCCTTCACAATAAGAGCATACATTATTGGTGTGAAATATATAAATTGTATATGCCACAAGATCTTGTTTTGATTCAACCAAACACTTATATTTTTGGTGGAAGTGTAAATAACCCCAGGTGAAGGTCCTCATTTGTTGTATTCCCTGTTGGTGCTTGTTGCCTTTGTTTTGTTTTGTGTAGCATATGATTGACTTCCGGTGTTTGATTTGATGCTTTTATTTTTATGAGTGAGCATCTGCTGTTGTGGAGCATCAACTTGGCAACAGCAGTGTTTTAAAAATGTATCTTACTAGTAGCCCTCTATCAAGGTACAATATATGTTTATTTTGTGAATGAGGATATTTCTATTGATGATCGGCTGGAATTGTGAATTTGTTGTTATCAAATAGGCTATAGTATTTCAATCAGAGATGATATTTTTAGTGGTGCGCGTTAATTTTAGTTTTCAAATGTTACGGTTGTAAAAGCATGGTTTGTTGCTTACACTGTCTTTTTTGTGTGTGTTTGTACAGCTCTTACGGTGAAACTCATGGTTTACTTCCAATAAATCTGTTCATCAGTAAAGCCGCAATCCTTCATTTTGGGGGGGCAGTCTGTATATATGTGTGTGTGTGTTTATGTGAATATTAAAAGATTTAGTGTAGCAGTTAATCTTTCTAGTGATGTCTTGGTTTTTTCTTGTCACAAACTCTGATAGTTAATGATGCAAGTAAGGAAAATATCCTAGATGTACTTAAATTGTTTCTGATTACTTTTCAAACATAATTCATTTTGTGTTCTTCCTTGACAATTGTACAATGTTTTTTTAAATAATTTTTTTATGTGGACTGGCAGGTAAATATCTACCGGCTGGTGACAAAAGGCTCAGTGGAGGAAGATATCATTGAGAGGGCAAAAAAGAAAATGGTTTTAGACCACCTCGTCATTCAAAGAATGGACACTACAGGAAAAACCGTCTTGCATACTGGATCTGCACCCTCTAGGCAAGCTGCTTCACTTCTTTTTCCTGGCTGCTCTGATAACAAAAATGTTTATAATTTTTTGTAACACTAATTGAAATTAGCGTTACAAAAGTAACAATGATCACTACATCTAATGTCAGTGTTTCTTGCACACAGCTCAGCACCTTTTAGCAAAGAAGAGCTCTCTGCAATTCTGAAGTTTGGTGCTGAAGAGCTTTTTAAAGAGCCAGAAGGTGAAGAGCTAGAGCCTCAGGTATGTTGTACAACAATTACATTACTGTAAAAGTGATTATGGTAGTGGAACTTTCAACTTTTTTGCACAAATTTTATCAAGAAACCTAAATATTTTGTACTTATAGATGTGAGGGTAGGGCTTTTGTGGCATGTTTTTTGTAAGCCTACAATACATACATCACAGAGAAAACTAAACAAGATTCCACAATATGAAGGTGTGGTTAATATGCTGTTACAGTCTAATTGTACGTGGAGGCAGTTTGACAGTAGGAAGCACAGCTCACTGCACAACGAATACAAGCCTGGCACCATTTTGGGTCATATTTACCCTAACCAGCAGAGTGCAAAGTCAGAGATCTGGAAGCATTTCACACTGGTAGCAGTCTAAAATATAACAAATTGACTTCTGGCTCTGGCCTCTAATTAGATAATTTGTCAGGTTGGATCGGGCTCACAAATAATCTCTGTGGGCTCAGGCTGGGTAGGGTTGGATTTTTTAGGTCCAGGCTAAATTTTTTTGGCCTTGTGACCCTGACTCCCACTTTATGATTCATTCTGTCACGCCCCGCTTGTCGGCGATGACAAAAATGGGAGAAAGACGAGCGGAATCATAAAAACAGTAATTTAATCTGTCCAAAATATGCTCCAGCCAGTCAGAGAAAAGCGTGGAGCAGTGCTGCCTGCTTTGGTATTCTGCAGAGGTTTTTAAAGAGCTGTTTGCTCGTCTGTCAAACGAACCATTTAACAAAAAACTTTTCACCCAACAGTTTTTGTGCAGAAAAATTTGCATGTCTTTCAAGAATCAGGTTGTCTCCAGGTTTAGAAAACACCATCTCAGATGTTAATTATCTATTTTCACCTGTCATTTTTCTCTTCCCTTTCTTGATGGAGGTAAAGCCCAGTTCACACTACACGATAGTATAATAGTCGGCCGATCGTCGGCCAGGCCTCAAAACATGAGAGACCACACACTAGCCGATTTAAAATCGTAGGTATGACGGGTTAGATCGTAGTGTGAGGTTTCACTCAAGGACGTTTGAAGTCCAGATATGAAATCCCTTACAATTCTGCACACATGAATTTTGAGTAAACAAACATGGATGACGACGTTGGAGCAGTAACTTTTGTTTGTGGACTTATTTTAACCAAAAAGGATGTAACCAAAAATCAAAACTGTGGAAGAACTGGAGACATCGCGAGCAAGAACTTTATTTGTTGCACCACAATATGGATGAGAGTCTTTCTTTCCTCATAACAAATACTTTTTAATTTAAAAAATTTTCTTGGTTATCTTGTTTAACAGTTACCGTTTACTTAAAATTTTTTCGTTGTGTTGACGTTGTTGGAGAATATATGCATATACTGGATCTTGTTAGAGTAGAGTAGCTTAAGCTAGAAGAAAGCAGTTCCTTCATATTCGTTTTTACAAAATGAGATGGCAGATATGCCCCCCCACTGACTGTGAAAGGATATTCCATCTCCTTTAATTGAAACCTGCACGGGGATTTACTAGTACATTTTCTGGCATCGCGCTTGAAGCCGCGCAGTATTTTTGCAGCTTTGCACTCGTCACAGTTTTCTGTACTTATATCTTTTTTACTAATCTTTTTTATTAACAGAGCATTACAATTTCTGTATTTTTCCTCTGTTGTGTTACTACTACAGAATAAAATGAAATGCACCACTTCAACCAAAGCTTAGAATGCGCTTCTGAACCAGATGCACTCTGTGCAATAATTGCATTGTTCTCCAAATAAGAATAAAGCTTTACTTATGGTTTTATGAGATCTAATTGCCTCTAAAGCACATTTCATTCATCCTCGCACAGGTACATCGATTGCAGTCGCAGTTTCGCTCCAGCTTCTTTCTTTGTCATTTCTGTTGTGATTCTCTTCACGTTCTTTCCATCTGGAAACGATCTTCCAGGTCAGACGTCCAGCGGACTCTTGAGTTGCACCATGCCAGCTCTTCTCGGGATTCCCACCGTGCTTACGTCACAGCATTTTCTGATTGGCTACCTGTCACATTCACCAAGCTGCCTTCTCACTCCCAGTCGGGAGGACGCCACAGACACTGCGATAAACGAGCCAAGACAATCAAACATGTTGAATATCCCCGATTGTAGATCAAAGCGTTCCCGACGTTCTGCCGACTGGACCCGATCAGTCGTAACACACCACGCACTACAGGATGATTGTCGCAAGCTACAATCTTAGAACTCAGAACGTTCTAAGATTGTCTTAAGGGCAAAATCGGGCCAAAAAATCGTGGAGTGTGAACTGGGCTTTACTAAAACTGTGTGAGAGTTTTGTCTCTTAAGCCAGCATCACTCTGGCAGTCCTTATCAGCTACAGTCGTAATCCATAAATTTGAATATTAATGAAAAGTTAATGTATTTCAGTTAAAAGTTAAACTCCCCACAGAGCCATGTTTTAGAGCTTTTATTTACGTTGGGTTCTTGCTTAAAGCTAATGAAAACATTAAATTATATTTATTGGCCTGATGGAATATTACATCAAATCAATAATAAATACTCTAAATTCTGAAACATGGATCTAATGAAAGATATGTTTCATATCCACTCCACATACTTTGAGTGCTTCTGCCACAACGCCATCTTGGACATTTTCTAAATCAAAATATAAAGCATATACAATATGTCATCTTGCAACTACATCTCACGTTATTGGAACTTGCCTTTAGCCAGGAAGATTAACTATTTCAAGGAACTGAATACCTATTTGAAATGGAAAGAAAAAAAAAAAAGCATACAAAAAATATCAACGAGTCAGGCTGTTAACCCTCTCAGGCTTGCAAAGACTAGCTAAGTAGCATTTTGCTGTTGCAATTCTGCAACATCTGCCTGGAGAGGGTTAAGTTAAAATTAATTGCAATAAAGAATGTGGCACAAGAGCCAAACAAAAAAGTGAAATTAATATTACTGCTCTGATTATTTTGTTGGGAATGTTGGCACTTGTGCTGGTCAGGAAATGGACATTGATGAGATCCTGAAGAGAGCTGAGACCAGGGAAAATGACCCTGGGCCGTCCACTGTTGGAGAGGAATTGCTGTCTCAGTTCAAGGTCAGAGAACTTTCATGGCTGTTGGTCAACTATCCGGTGCCTGAAAAGTTCATATTTATTTGTTTGGTCTTAATTGTATAGGTTGCTAACTTCTCAATGATGGAAGATGAAGATATGGATATTGATTCTGAGCGAAGTCGGCGCAGCTGGGATGACATCATACCTGAAGAACAGAGGAGAAGAATGGAGGAAGAGGAAAGACAGAAGGAGCTTGAAGAAATTTATATGTTGCCACGGATGAGGAATTGTGCTAAACAGGTGCATACCTCTCATTATATTATGAATTATTTAAATAATATTATGAGAGAGGAATATTTCACTTCAGGGCAAAATATTCCATGTGATTGCTGGTGGCTGAAAGAACCTGTTTAACCAAAGCATGAATAAAGTGCATGCTTTGTCACTGCTACATTTTGGTGCATAATACCGTATGTGTAAAAAGGGTGAGAATTAAAAAGTTTTCAATTGTCACCCTGCTCTCAGGAGCAGAATTTTCAGAAAGTTTGTTTCACACTCCAACAATAATGGAACACAATTATGTCTGAATACTTTGGGTCTAAAACACAGAAAATGTGTCACAGGTTATATTGGCTGCATTTTCCACAAAATGTGTGGGTAAAGGGTGACTGAGTGGGACAGGTTACTGCAACCAAACTGCTGATAATATTTATACAATAAACACAAAATGAAAAACATTATGGTTGAACTTTAATTTTGTGCCAAGTTATTCCAAAAACAAAACAATTAATTGCAACACCTAAGACCAGAAAATCATCAACGACTCAAAAGGGTACTGAAGATAAAACAAATGCAAAAAATCCCATCACAATGCAATGGTACCAAATACTAGTGAAGTGTGTTTAAACCCTTGACTTTCAAGAAAGTAATAAAAATTACCTTAAAGTTCTTTTCTCCATTATTTTGGCATTTGAAAAAAATGGTATTCCTAATTGACCTAAAACGGAAAATGTTTTTTCTGATTACTTTTGAGGACGTATATTTTTATTGGCATTTGTTTTTTTTTTGTTTGTTTGTTTGTTTTTTTGTTGTTGTTGTTTAAGTCATATTCTTGCTTTTAGCATTGTGAGTTCTTTTTGAACAACTGGGTATTTTTTTCTGGTTTGTGTTGACAGATAAGTTTCAATTCTGATAGACGACAGAGCAGAAATAGAAGATACTCTGGCTCTGACAGCGACTCCACTTCCGACCGAAAGAGACCAAAAAAACGGGGAAGACCTAGAACTATTCCGCGGGAAAACATCAAAGGTTTTACGGATGCTGAGATCCGCAGGTGAAGCTCAGCTGCATTGCTCTTCCTTATTTTGCCTCAGTGTTGTCTTATATTAAAACTGACATATTTATGGACTACCGCCAGGTTTGTCAAGAGTTACAAAAAATTTGGAGGACCACTCGAAAGGTGAGCTGTATTAGTGACTGATTTTCGTAAAGGCTCTGACTAGCCCTAGTTAAAGAAGTATATAAAGCAACTTAACATCTGCTTTTTAACTCAGGTTGGATGCCATCGCTCGTGATGCTGAACTTGTGGATAAATCTGAACATGACTTGAAACGCTTGGCAGAGACTGTTCATAATGGATGTGTCAGAACACTACATGAAAACCCATGTGGGCCAGAGAAGACATCAGGTAGTTCTTCTTTTCTTATGAAAAATTATTAAGATAAAAAAAAACACTAAATTGCTTTGAATAGAGTTTTTTGGTAGTATTTATTAAACTGATTACAATAATGGTAAATGTGATTGGCTACAGCAAATCCATGAAGTAGAATATGTCTACTATGGGGCATTTTGAGTTATTTACATATTCCCAAAGTGTAGATTCCAAGTTTTCAAATGATGTCAAACATGAAAATAATTTAGAGGGTTAGGGTTAGAGAGTAAGCCGGAGTACTTGGACAGAACCCACTCCAGGTACTTCCATGCATGGAACCCAGGACCTTCTTGCTGCAAGGCAGCAGTGCTACCAACTGCGCCACTGTGCAGCCCCCATTTTAGTATATGTGACCACTTAATGCTGCACATTGAAAGAATGACCTTTTGCAGTTCTTTATAATCCATAAAATGTTTAGTAAATCTGCTGTGCATAATAATTTGGAACAGTGCATTTTGAGTTTTTTGTTTTTGAAAAAAATACTGTTCTTCATTAGGATCTTTGTTCAGTAAAATTTGATTTATACTGCAATTGTTAGACTTGAAAATTATACTGATCATCATTGGCATTGACCATTTAGAAAAATCTGAGAAAATATAATTTTCATAATAATTTGATATATAAATATATATGTGTGTGTGTGTGTGTGTGTGTGTATTGTATATATGTGTATATTTTCTTAACTTGCCTAAGATGAGAAGTTCTGATTAACTTCAGATAATGAGGAAAAAATTTCTGTATTCAGTTGTCTGAAGTTTTCCTGTACATAAAATTAGTGAATATGTACTATATATGTGTTGATATTGTACGTACTTCAACCTATTATGTGGCAGCATTGCTTTTTTTTTCCTGGTATGAAATGAATTATTTTTTTTGTCATTATCGTTCAATAATTATTAGGAGGCAGACGAGGAAAAGTGAAAGGGCCAACATTTAGGATCTCTGGAGTCCAGGTTAATGCAAAGCTTGTTATCTCTCACGAAGAAGAACTGGCTCCACTCCACAAGTCCATCCCTGCTGATCCTGAGGAGAGAAAGAGGTAAGGTTTCTGAATTTATGTTGTGACTTTTGCCTTTTCCTAGTTGTTTTATTGTTTTTGTAATACACGCTGAAGTATCAAAACCTCGACAGTTACTAAACAGTTTAAACCAAATAAAGGCTAGGAATTTAACTTTACTGGAATGTTACATTACACCAAGTTTTTAATTATTAAAAATTTTGACTCATGTACAATTTTCTTCATAATTGTGCACTAATTTGTGTTGATCTTTCACATGCAATTCCAGTGAATCATATTTATTTGTGATTGTAATGTAATAAAATATGGAAAGGTAGAAGCAGTATGATTACTTTTACAAGCCACTGTAATGTCAAAAAATTACAAGCAAAACAATGTATGTAGAAACAATCTGTGTCCTTATGTTACTTTTTTTTTCTTTTTGAATGATGGTTTCAGAATGTCTACATTTTGATTAACATATTATTTTGACCTCGCAAAATTTAAACAGTTCAAGCCAGGCAACTACTGCTCTTGACCCTTTGCGTGGGATGTCACGCTCTCCGCCCAGAACCCCGCCCACTCCACCTTAACTGACTTCAAAAAACCAATACACTCTTAAAGCTGGTCTAAAAACGACCATTTAATATTACTTCTGTTTAGTTTATTTCATTGTAAAAATAGTCATAGAATGCTGCACGGTCAACCACACAAACATAGAAGGATCCAAACCAAACTTGTCATTTTATTATATTACTTTTAATGTGGAAAGATAGATCGGCAATGGATAGCACTGCCAATAATAATCACTATAAACCTTCAGTGCAAAGGTGGATTTGCAGCAAACTCTTTTTACAGGGTAAAAAGACTTAACTGCCATATACTTTATAAGTATGAATGCTGAAGAGGGTCCTTGTCCCTCCTAAAATCTGCCACTGTCTTGGTCTTCTTCACATTGTTGCAGAAGGAATTTTTTCTTCTCTCTATATTTGGACTCATCATTGTTCATGATGCATTCCAGTACTGCTGTCACTATGTGACAGCAAGGATATCTTGCCAAGCTGTCATAAATTAGAAGAGCTCAGCATGCAGCCCTGCGGCGAGCGAGTGCTGAGGGTGACTGAGGAGGAGATGGTGTTGTGGGTCCTGACACTCTGAGGTGTGTTGGTCAGGATGTCCAGAATCTAGTTGCCCACTGTAGGACTCAGTCCAAGAGCGGACAGTTTCTGCACCAGGGTCTGTAGGACAATGGTGTTGAACACCAAGAAGATCACCAGGAAGAGCAGACGGATGTAAGAGTTCACATCTGAAGCGGCTCATCCTGGCTGCTTCACACGCCTCTGCGAACCGCTCCAGCAAGAGTTGCAGATCACGTCCTGATGAAGCCAACAGGACCACATCATCTGCAAAAGGCAGAGATGCGATAATAAGGCCACCAAAACGGATCCCCTCAACACCTCTGCTACGCCTAGAAATTCTGTCCATGAAAGTAATGAACAGAATCGGTGACAAAGGGCAGCCCTGGCAGAGTTCAACTCTCACCGGAAACGAGCCCGACTTATTGCCGGCAATGCAGACCAGACTCTGACACCGGTCATACAGGGACCTGACAGCCCGTATCAAAGAGCCCAGTACCCCATACTCCTGGAAAAACCCCCACAGGACTCCTCGAGGGACACGCCTTCTCCAAGTCACAAAACACATGTGGACCGGTTGGGCGAACTCCCATGCACTCTCCAGGACGTTTGGGCCGGCCAGGTCTGACTGGCATCCTCCCCCAACACCAGAGCCTAATCACCACCAGGTATTGGTGGTGATTAGCTCCGCATCTCTCTTCACCCGAGTGTCCAAGACATACGGCCGCAGATCCGATGAAACAATGACAAAGTCGATCATCAAACTGCGGCCTAGGGTGTCCTGGCGCCAAGTGCACATATGGACACCCTTATGCCTGAACATGGTGGTGCTGTGGACAATCCGTGACGAGCACAGAAGTCCAACAACAGAAAACCACTCGAGTTCAGTGGGGGGGAGCGTTCTTCCAACCACGCCCCTCCAGGTCTCACTGTCATTGCCCACGTGAGTGTTGAAGTCCTCCAGGAGAACGAGGGAGTCCCCAGGAAGAGCACTCTCCAGTACACCCTCTAAGGATTCCAAGAAGGGTGGGTAATCTGAGCTGTTGCTCGCCAAGGGCATCATTATCATCATCAGAACCTGTCCCCCCACCCGTAGGCGGAGAGAGGCTACCCTCTCGTCCACCGGGGTAAACCCCAACATACAGGCAGCGAGGTGGAGAGCAACAAGTATGCCCACTCCTGCCCGATACCTCTTACCACGGGCAACTCCAAAGTGGAAGTACGTCCAGCCCCTCTCGAGACTGTTTCCAGAGCCAGAGCCACGCATTGAGGTGAGACCAACTATTTCTAGCCAGAACCTCTCAACCTCATACACTAGCTCGGCTGTTTCCCCACCAGAGAGGTGACATTCCACGTCCTAAGAGATAGGTTCTGCAACCGAGCATCGGACCGCCAGGACCCCCTCCCTCAGCTGCGGCCCCTTTGGCCACTCTCACAGGTGGTGGGCTCATGGGAGGGAGGATCCATGTTTCCTCTTCGAGCTAAGCCCTTCATGGTTGAAAGCCCGGCCACCAGGCGCTTGTCATCGTGCCCCCTCTCCAGTTCTGGCTCCAGAGAGGGGCCCCGGTGACCCGCGTCCAGCAAGGAAACACCAAGTTCAAAGTTGTTTCTCATCATAGGGGTCTTTGGGCTGCACTTTGTCTGGTCCCTCACCTAGGACCTGTCTGCCTTGGGTGACAGGTCCTAGGTGAAGCCCCAGACAGCATCGCTCCTAGGGTCACTGGGGCACTCAAACCCCGCCATCACGATAAAGTGGTAGACCAGGGAGAGGGGTTTGGGTCGTTTCTTTTATAAATTATATGTGATCAAATAGCGAATGAATTATAAAAAATAGACCTGACAAAATGGGTATCAAAGATTCAATTGTGAGCTTTAATGTTATATTGGTACCAAATCTGTACAGTCAACGTGTGTGACGCCCCATGCATATCAATACACGAACACACCTCGCCTGAGTCGCCCCTTGAAGCTCTGGCTCTTTCTGTAAGCTAAATGTGGCTACGTAATAAAACTAGTTAAAAATGAAAAACCTGAGTTTTAAATCTCCTGCAGTTCTAAGAGTGGTGGCGTGAATGCCTCCTGAGCTTTTTACCATATGCACGTTCTAGTGACGTTTAGCCGATTTTTTGTAGTATTGCAAACTGTAAAGCGGAAGACTGCTCTGCCGCGCTTCTCCTGAGACAACGAACGGGTGGGGTAAATAGTTAAATGTATCGTATTTTCCAGACTGTAAGTCGCAGTATTTTTTTCATAGTTTGGCTGGGGGTGCTACTTATACTCCAGAGTGACTTATGTGTGGAAATTAACACATTATTACATCATATCACATGTTATTTTCACTCTAGTCCACAAGAGGGCGCTCTAGGCGTGTGTTGATAATGTGCAGAAGAAGCTACCTCGTGAGTTACCGGAATTGTTTACAAGCGACACCGAAGATGAAGACTTAGTAATTTGGAGAGACGCTGATTGTTTGGTAAACTGGTTAGCATGTTATTTATGATATAGTTATCTGAATAAGTCTTAATATGTTATGTTAACATTCCAGGCACGTTCTCAGATCGTTGTTCATGTGTCATGTAACGTTGGCATACTGTACAATTATTCAATCTGTTGTTGCCTCCATTCTATTTTTATTGCCTTTCAAGATGTCATGTCAGTTCTTGGTGTTGGATTTCATCAAATAAATTTCCCCCAAAAATGCGACTTGCACTCCAGTGCGACTTATATATGATTTTTCCTGCTTTATTATGTATTTTCGCGGAGCATTTGACACGACAAGCGTGTCCAACAAATAAGCCAGCAACGGGAAGACAACGGCTAGCGCGATTTTCACTTGCCCTCAACACGTTTTTTAAAAAAACAGAAGTCTCTCGAACAGTCTTAAAAATGTATTCACATAACGACAAAGTGGATGATTGTATTTCTTTCATCCTGATCACACTCGACCCATGTCCTCTGCTCATCCCTTGACTCACCTGTGACTGATCTGCCACATTTGTTGGAATTTTTCTAAATTTGCTATGGATGGGGTTTAGCTTTCAGAGGTTAGTTACACTTAAGAGTCATGGCATGCTTTCAAAAGAATGGCTGTAGAGTTTTATCAGTTTTCTTTTAATATCTGTCTATCTACATAGGTTGTTCCTATCTATAGATCAATACAGAAGAGAAAGATGGATAGCCACACAGGCACACCCACTAAAAGGAAACAAATGCACCCTCGATGAAGCTCCCACTGCCCAGTATAACACTTTCTATTTACAACACATTTCATTCATTCTGTTGGCTGAAACAGCTGCCAACAGAATGGTACTTTTATGTTTCGCATGAGAATTTACAAGCGAACTGAGAGGTTTGCAAGCAGAGATTTGATCTGAGCAGAGAGAAGTTTTGAGCATGACAAGAAAGGTATGGGACAACACATACCTTTCTCTTTGAAAGAAAGTTTTGAGTGTAAAAATTACAAGTTTTGAGAAAAAGACATGAAATCCTGCTTTTAGACTGAAAATGTGTGCTCTCGACTTATGGCAGTAAAATTCCTCCATATAAGTTCTATTTACAAAGGAACTCATAAACTGTGTTTAGTGTTTGTTTTTTTTTTTGTTTTTACTTGTGTAAATCTCTAAATTGACAACTTTGCTAGGAATGTGAAAAATAGCATACTATAGTTCTCAACCACCACCTGAGTTTTTTATATACTCATAATCACAAGAAGTATGTTTTTAAGTCTAAGCCTGAACTTTTTCTAATTGTGTAGGTACATTATTCCATGTCACTCGAAGGCAGCACACTTTGACATTGAATGGGGAAAGGAGGATGATTCAAGTCTTCTCATAGGAATTTATGAATATGGATATGGCAGCTGGGAGATGATCAAGATGGACCCAGACCTAAACCTCACACACAAGGTAAGTTCACATCATCTCAATGCCGTCTTAGCTTTGACAGGCTGCTTGGCCAGGATATTATGTAGAAATATGATAGACATTAAATATGGTTGTGTCATCAACCCCATACTGAGATGGGGTTGATAATCCTTGCCAATCCTCCTTGTGAGGGTTTGTCAAGGAGATTACATTGACACTATGTGACTTTATCACTCTCTATTCACCCTTGACTCTTTCATGACTCTCTATTCAGGGTTCTTATTAGGACCAGAGTAGGACTCATTTTTAACCTCGAAGTTCCAGCCCTCAGACTGGCACGCTTAAGATAATGTGGACTCTAATATTAAAATGATCTAATTATAGGTCATGATTATGTTAAATTATATTATGTTAAAAAAATAAAACATTTGCTCTTTCTATTTTCCATCTTGTAAACACCAATGACTGAATGCATTGACATTTTTTGACTATTGCTGCTTTGGAAAACGGAAGAAATCAAAGAGAAAATTCCCCGTGGAGATAGACCACTGTCCACTTCAGCAGTAGCAAGCTTATCTGATCAACCCACTGCCATATTTGGATACCAGCCCAGGGTAAAAAAAAAAAAAAAAAGAGAGAGAGGAGGGTTCTTTGCATTTTGCTGATTTGCTGCCATGATTCTGACACACCTGAGCAGCTCTGCACATCAAAAGCATGTCTCCATCGCTGCCACACAGATGTAAAACGACATAAGCATCTTAGCACTTAAATGCAACTCAGAAAAATATGTTACATGTTAGCAATGGATTACACAGTTGTAGCAGTTGAAAAAAGTGCGGGAGGCAGCAGGCTCTGATTCGGAAAGTACGGGAGCCCCGGCTGCATCAAATCGATGTAGGACTATCAGAAAGTGGGTCATTCTGAGGTAAAAATAAAATAAATTGCTTCCAGTACAGGGGGGCACGGCTGACTATGGGCAACTCTCCCAATTGCTTTGAATTGCTGACTTGCAGATTCACTCATAGACGAAAATGAAGTGATAGAGGAGTGTTGATTGCATTGAGGCATTAACATTACAGCAATCCTTCATACTGAGCATGCATGGCTCAACAGCTGAACAAACATGTCTCTGCACTTCACATTGCCTCATTGAGCCTGCTACTTTTGATTTCTGTTTTCTATTTCCCCTCTTCCTCCAGGTAATACTTTTGGATCATGCGTTTGGATTTGGTGTTAACACATGGGCTTTGTTTAGATATTGAAATCCTTCAGACTAGGCCTGTCACAATGACGAATTTTGCTGAGCGATTAATTGTCTCAAAAATTATTGCGTTAAACGAGAATATTATTTGAAGACCTTTTTACTCTGAGGGTCAGTGGAGAGCACCAGAGTTGAGCCTTTTTTTTTTTTCTCTCTTTTTTTTTTCATCAGAAAAAGGTTGGAAGAAACGATAAAGCCAATAATTGAAATGACGTCGATAGTTTTAATTTATTGTGCAATTACTTAATTGTTTAACCCTAACCCTATACTTCAGACATGTATTTTAAATCACTTCTCAAAACTCTTCTTTTTTTCTTTAGCATTTACTAGTAGTGTTTAATACTCTGCTTTTATCTACTTGTGTTATTGTCGTTCTTGTACAGCACTTTGGTGCAGTTTTACACCTGTTTTTAAAGTGCTATATAAATAAATCTGAGATTGGCATTGACATTAAGATGTATATCCTTTGCTAAAGTCAATGTCTTTTGCTAATGTCAATGTGGTAGCATAACTTATTTCATCACACTGTGATAAACAGTTGAAGTATGCTGACAACATGCTGGCTAATTTAAAACAGCAAAACAGCATGTAACCATGGCAATTGGTATCTGTTTAAAAGCACTTTGGCTCTATCTGCAGTCAGGTTGCCTGTGCTTTTGCTGTATTAACAAACAAATATTTCCTCAAAAAAAAATCATAATTTTTTATATATATTTTAGCATATAGAACTTTCATTTGAGAAGACTGACAAGAAAGGCATCTGTTTTCTGTGCTCAATAAACTGAAACTGCAAAAAATAGGTTGACTAACTTAGTCTAACATGCAAAAATCAACTGCAGCAAACCTTTTATCAAATTGTTCAGAAAGTACAATTAGGAATGCTGTTTGCATTCCTAATAATAAACTGGGAAGAGATGTAGAATTAATGTGTTCAAACCAGGGGTGGAAATGAGCAAATATGGGAAAAAGTATGAAGTGGCATGTAAATCTGAGAAATGTGAACAGAAAAAACACTGCATTCAGTTTGAATTCCTGTTCAGGGTCAAAGTAACCATCTGGCATATAGACTGATGCACATAAATGGGGTGGCCGAAAAAAAGGGATATTAAATATCTTTTTTTATTACTATTGTTATTTTTGAACCATTGAGTTGAAACCACTGAGATTACAAAAGCTAGATTCCACCTAAAGGTTACAGTTCCAGTCTGTGATCAATTACAAATATTTTTTAAACTTTATTTTTCTCATTTTAGGAGTTTTCCAAGAACACATACATACATTGAACAGTTAGACCCCACTCTAACAAGAATTACAGAGCAACTAGTTTGATAGACTTTATTATTACACAGACTCAAAGTCCAAATTTACATAAAAAAGAAAACAAAACGATAAAAGAATAAAAAAGAATTTGACAAGAAGCGGTTGAGTGATACTCAACAAAAAGATCAATTACAAATTTTGTTCTCTTTACCATTTACACTTACACTTACTGAAAGATGTTTCATCTCTGTTTTTTTATTAACCCAAGATTCTTGCATATTGTGTTTGACTAACATTGGGCACCTATTTGGACCATAGGATAGTGAACTTGTTCATTTGAAGACAGATTGAGAATGTAAATGGGTTTTTTTTTTCATATGAATTCATTAACACACTGTACATTCTTCTACAGTGGTTAGGGCTGGTGAGGTCATGGAGACGCCAGCATCTGGTGACAGTTTTGTACAGGCTGTAGATAATATACAGATATTTTGTGTTGTCAAATAAAAATTTTGTGTTACCCAGAATAAAGGCGGTTAATTTAAAAGGTATTGTAATATTAAAGATATTTTCAATATTTTTTATGTATTTCTGTCCAATGTTGTCTAATAACAGTACAGTCTGAAAATATATGCCAGTGGTTGGGTTCTGTGTTTCCACGTTGCCTGCAGCATTTAGGCTTGCCACTGGTGCAAGATATTTTCTTTTTTAGTGTTATAAAAAATCTAAGACATACAATATGTATTCATATACATAATGAATACATATTGTATGTCTTAGATGTCTTAGACTTGACATCATATACATGATGAATACATATTGTATATGTACCTATTATGCAATAACTGCATAATAGGTACTGTCATGCAGTAGCTGTGGCATTCTTCTGTGATTTTCATTTTACTTGTTTTTTCCCATTGTGTTTTCTAATATTAAGTTGAATGTATATTTATACTCTTAAGTACCTTGTATAGCCATGACATAATACCTTTTTTGGAATTAACCTCATATGCCATTAGTATTTTATTAAGCACTGATCCCTGCTCATGTAGATGTCTAATCATTTCCTGATTAAGATAATGAAGTATCTGTAGATATCAAGAAAAATCCTGTTTTTACAAGCCATAACTTTTTTTAAGTATTTGAAACTCTTATTTGTCCCTTTTTCCATGAATGAAAATGTGTTGTTATACCTTTAGATGACCAATTACAGAATCCGGTATATATTTTATTTGGTTTAACATCCGGGTCGGAAGCACACCATCTTATAATTCTCAGGTTATAATGTAGTAGGGCTGCTGTAAACTAATATTTTAGCAATTGAGAAATCTTCCGATAATTCTTAAGTTCAATCAAGTAATTGGATAAAAACAAAAAAGATAAAATAAACATGTAAGCTTGTAAATATAACATAACAGCAGTATTACTATAGCATATCAACCTCAGTCCAATTTTTCACAGTTGAGTTTTCCTAATGATAACTTTTCTGTAATTTAGAAAATTAACCTGTAATAATAAAGGCTCACTTTCTAAGTTAACCTGAAGAAAAGTTCTGCAAAAATCTGAAATTATATTAAATTTAATAATAGAGACAAGCTCACAAATTCGCTGATAAAAAATGTCAATACTCCATGTTTATGTATTCATCTACAGTCAATTTAATAGATGAATGCTCAACTTGTATAGCTTTTGTGTTTATGTTAGTGATGGGATTTGACACCTTCGTTCGTCACACACAGAAACACATCTACCAGCCATGTACCGCCACGATGCGTCTGTCACCAATTTGTTGAGACTGGGCTGATATGAAATAAATTTTCTGGTATGTCTGTAAAGCTACACTTATATTAATCATCTAATGTGCAGCCGCCCGCAGTGATCAGTCTATCTGCTTACACCGTCAGCGATCTTCCCCTCTCTGAACACTGACCACCAGGCAGCAGCTCCGGACATCGCGCCAGTCATTTTAAGGATGCTTGTTAATAAAATATAACTTAACAAAACTGCAAGGCAGATAAATTTTCCTTGACAAATTTTGATAATGGAGGCACTTGAATTACTCGAGGAATCGTTTCAGGCCTATAATGTAGTTCCAATTTCTGTTTAACTTTTTATATATATATATATATATAGACTTAGACTTGACTTTATTGATCCCTTGGGAAGACTCCCTCAGGAAATTATAGTTACCAGCAGCTCACAGGCAAAAATGTGGCACACAGTAAGCATACACAAAATACAAAAAAATACAAATTAAATACAAAACAAAGAATATAAATACAACACAAAAGGAAATTATAGCAATTTGATATATATATATATATATATATATATATATATATATGTTTATTGAGTTTTCAAAATACAACATACAGAAACCATGCACAAGAGTATGAAGCACACACACATTTAACAGATTACTATGTGAGAGATATACTCTTACCAACAAAACAGTACAAATAAAACATACAATAACCAAAGTAAAATAAATTAAGATACGAACAGGTCGAGACAATTATCT